GGAACAATAGTATTAACAGCATGTCCTAATTCAATAGATAAACCACTTAAAATAATAATTAAAATAATTACCTGACTAATCCAGTTGAAAACAATGATAAACTTGCTGAATTCATAAATAAAACTGATTAGACTTTGAGATAATCAAAAAATATTTCAGCAAGTTTTGATTTGTATTCTTTACTATTCTTTACTTGATCAATTATTAATAAATTAACTTATTGTAATTCAGATATTTATAATCCATCTTCAAGAATATATTACCAAAATTCTTTCATTGATTCAACATTATCAATTTTCTAATTAAATATAATAATTATAATTTATACTCCATCTTTGATTGGATTTGATAACTGTACATTCAACTTTTTTTCTTTAACAACTTTCTTTAAATCTTAACCAAATAAAAGTTATGGTTTATTGTTTGGATTATCATTGTCATTTTAAACTGAGTGTGATCCACATTTATTGTCATAGATAAGCTATTAATATATAATAAATTCTTAATTACTCTAGGATAATCCTCACCAGAGATTCCAACTTTGATAGTATCAGTACCATTATCAATTACAACAATGTCTTTTTAATCGTATTCACTTTCCATAGTGGCTCTCTTATTAATTTTCATTTTATATAGTTAATATATATGATTATTTATAATTATTCAATGCTAATGTTATTGATGAGCAACACCAAAAGGATTTTAATCGTGTCTCTAAAATATAAATAAATAAAATTACAAGAGATGAATAACGTCTAGCTAAACCACCTGAGGAATGATCACCTTTTAATGCAATAATCTTATGTTCAGTTTCCATAGGGTTGATTTCTTTGCTTCCACATTCACAACACATATCCTCTTTTATAAATTTAAGGAAAAAACATCCAACTATTGAGATACATCCAAATCCAATACCAATCAACCTGAAATATATTAAAATATAAGAATATACCATTATTGAATTTTAAGTCCAAAATTACCATAAAGACCAATAGCTTTAGAACCAAATGTAACCATAAGGATTTGTATACAGAAAATTATAGGTACAATTATCATGAATGCAGAATGTTTTGTTAATCCTTCAAAAATGTTGATTTCATCATTGAATCTTCTACTATTGAGAAAATTGAACAATTGAAGCATGATGAAAACATTAAAGACATAAGTAAACTAATATATAATAAATTAATAAATACATGACGAGAAGGTTCATGAGAATCTTCAAAGAATACTGCATAATCTCTACCTCCTTCAGGAGTATTTAATCTACCACTAGCTATTAAAGTACAACTAGTTTCAAAATCACATTCTTCACACATTATTTCATAACATTTTTTTTCATGACATACACATTCTGATGATAAACATGTTCCATCCTTTTTAACATCTCTTGATTCAGTAATATCTGGTATCAAAGTTAATGGTCTACCACTCTCTTCTGAATATTTCTTGAGATCATCATAATTAGTCTTGCATAAATGATCACTATATTTATATCGTTTTTTTATTCCTCTAAAAGCAGTAAGATCATATTCATCAGGATATTCAGGTAAAAATGAGTCTCCAGCAAATACTACAATTAGAACAACAGCTATTTATATAATAGCAGTTCCAACAATGAATTTAAACATCTTTTTAGAGATAATGTATTCATTTCTATCATGGGGTTTACGATAAAGTAATTTCTCAGTAGGTGGTTCAGTGGCTAAGGCAAGAGAACCTAAAGTATCCATAATCAAGTTCACCCACAACAATTAAATTGGTTTTAATATTTCTTGACTCAAAACAGCTGCACCAATTAATGTTAATCCCACACTAACCAAATTAGCAGTCAATTAAAATCTCAAAAATTTTTTAATGTTATCATAGACATTTCTACCCCACATCACAGCTTTAACAATTGAATTAAAGTTATCATCCAATAGAATAATAGCAGCAGCCTCTCTAGCAACTTCAGTTCCTGCAATACCCATAGCAAATCCAACATCAGCTTTTTTAAGAGCTGGAGCATCATTTGTACCATCTCCTGTGACAGCAACTACATGACCTCTTTCAATTAAACCTGTCACTAATGCATACTTATCTTCAGGTCTACTACGAGCCAATACATCTAAATGAGGATATATTTTATCAAATTCTTAAGGATTTGCAATAGTATCAACTCTTACATCCTTATTTTCCTTCTTTGCTGTAGTACTATCTCTTGCACAAGGGCAGATTGCTGTTCTACATTTAGTGCAGACAACTCCTCCAATTTTTGCTATGAAATCAGGTCCTTCCATAACAATAGATGAATCATCTCCTGGAGTTATGATACCACATTCTTTAGCAATAGCTCTGGCTGTCATTTTATTATCTCCAGTAACCATTCTAACTTTAATTCCTGCTCTTCTACATAATTAAATAGCTCTTGGAACTTCTTATCTTAGAATATCTTTGATTCCCAAAACTGCAACTAATATTAAATCGCTTTATTCAACAGCATAAACTCCTTTGTTATCTTTTGTTGTCAAATCTTCTCTTGCACTAATTTCTTTATATGCTAAACAAATAGTTCTTAATGCTCTGCCAGCCATAGTTTCAATAGATTTTTCTACCTTTTATTTTAATTCTTAATTCATAGGAACAATAGATCCATTTCCTTTAGAATGATATTATGAACATGCAGCTAAAACCATTTCAGATGCTCCTTTACATACTAATCTACGCCTTCCTCCATCTAATTCTAATACCATAGACATTCTTTTTCTTTAACTGCTAAATGGGAATTTAGTACTAGCTGGATATTTCTCTCTTTATTCTTCATAATTCATAGAACATCTTTCAATGAATTCAAGTAATGCAATTTCTGTTTTAGATCCTTTTGGTTCAGGTCTAAGCATAGCTGATCCATTAACAACTGCACATTAAATAAAAAATTCCTAAAAGTTTTATGGGAAATAGGATGTCAATTATTATTTTTCAGAATAAGTATCTATTTCAATGATATCATCATTCCACACATTAACTAATGACATTTTATTTTAAGTCAATGTTCCTGTTTTATCTGAACAAATCATAGAGGCTCCTCCCATAGTTTCACAAGCTGCCATTTTTCTAACTAGATTCTAATCTTAAAGCATCTATTTAGTAGAATAAGCTAATGATAGAGTAACTGCTAATGGCAATCCTTCTGGAATAGCAACAACTACGACTGTAATTCCAATAATAAAATATCCAATAATAGTAACAACCATATAATTTTCCCAATCATCATTTATTCCTCTTTCGATACCAAATCTTAAACACATTACACAAACAATCAATATTGCTGAGATCAATCCAAATTTACCAATATCTTCAGCAATTGCTGTTAATTTCATTTATAAAGGAGTTGCTATTAAATTAATGATTATATTTACCTTCTGGTTCATCTTATCTTAATAAGGCTGCAATCTTACCAGCACAGGATGAGTCTCCTACAACTAGAATAAGCATTTTCCCTTCACCACTTAAAACTCTTGTTCCACTCATCATTATTGGAGATGGAACATCATGATGACCTGCTGTATTCTAATAATTTATTAATATTCATATTTACTTATGCTCCTTCTTCTTTTAATTAGTTCCTCTTATTAATACATTCACCCAACACATTTTTCTTGATTGGATCAGTTTCACCTGTCATAGCACTTTCATCTGATGTCAAATCTGATGCCTCTAATACAAAACCATCTGCAGGTATTTCCATTCCTTCAAATATTTATACAACATCTCCAACCAACACTTCACTCATATGAATATCACATTTCTTTCCATTCCTAACTACTGTCACTCTCTTTCTCTCATCAGCAACTTCATTCAATTTTTAAAATTGTCTTTCTTTTTGATAATCATTTACAGCATTTGCATTTGTAGATATAATCACTGCCACCAATATTGCAAATCCTATTTTTTTTAATTTTATTAAATACCTTCAATCCAAGCTATTTTCCTGTAACTCTCATCAGCAGTTGTAACATCAACGATAATACTGATCACTGCTGCTACACATAAAACTTTCATTGTAAAATCATTCAATGCACCCAACCACAATTCACAATACCCTTTAGGTTCAATTTTTGGTTTTCTATTGTGTCCAAATGCTCTCTCTCTCTCTGCTTGGTCTTGCATGGTCAAACCCTACTTGAAATCTGTACAAAGCCCTTCCTATCATATTAGAAACATCTAATACCTCTATCAACTTCTCTCCTAATTCTTCTAGTTTGTCTACTTCCTCAGCAAACACTCTTTCTTAGCACATATATGCAATCGAACATAAAGTTTGCTTAGCTATTCGAAATTTTCCATATGGTTCAGCCCCATCGTCTTTCAGTTATTCCTGTTGCGTCATCGGGTCTTCGTCAGCCATTGATTATTATTATTATTATTATAATCTTTTTTATTTGAAACCATAAGAATATGAAACAGTTATATATTAATTATCATCAATAATATAATTTGTATATTATGTATCTTTTGAATCCTTTATATTCTAAAATCAGATTATTTGATTCATTTTTTTATATGTTTTTCACTCCACATGTGAATACAATATCTAATAATTAAGGATTCTATGAATTCTGATAGTTCTATTTCCTAAACCTGTTTTTTTTATTGAATTGAATTAGCTCAATTAGTATATACTAATTAAACACTGACTAAATTTAAATCCTCTTTTATTGAATGAAAAGTATTATTATACCATTTTATAGCCATATTTGGCTCTTAAAAAGGTGATTTTATTGAATTTATTAACTAGTTGCAATCAATTTTAAAAATCTATAACATTATTAATATTTGAGGTTAAGACTAAAAATGTAGTAAGGCACTCCTTAGATTTTATTTATCCCTTTATTAGATATGGGATTCATCATCATTTCATTGTTATATCAACTTAAGAAAAAATAAATTCTCATATATATATATATTTATATATTTTATAAAAGGAAATCATCATATTGAATTATGTTTAAACAATATCAATTTATAGTTGATTATCTTTAAGAAGATTACAGAATCAATTTTAAACAAATTGACAATAAGAAATTAACAAATTGATTAAGAAATACTGCAAATANCTTTCCATTCCTAACTACTGTCACTCTCTTTCTCTCATCAGCAACTTCATTCAATTTTTAAAATTGTCTTTCTTTTTGATAATCATTTACAGCATTTGCATTTGTAGATATAATCACTGCCACCAATATTGCAAATCCTATTTTTTTTAATTTTATTAAATACCTTCAATCCAAGCTATTTTCCTGTAACTCTCATCAGCAGTTGTAACATCAACGATAATACTGATCACTGCTGCTACACATAAAACTTTCATTGTAAAATCATTCAATGCACCCAACCACAATTCACAATACCCTTTAGGTTCAATTTTTGGTTTTCTATTGTGTCCAAATGCTCTCTCTCTCTCTGCTTGGTCTTGCATGGTCAAACCCTACTTGAAATCTGTACAAAGCCCTTCCTATCATATTAGAAACATCTAATACCTCTATCAACTTCTCTCCTAATTCTTCTAGTTTGTCTACTTCCTCAGCAAACACTCTTTCTTAGCACATATATGCAATCGAACATAAAGTTTGCTTAGCTATTCGAAATTTTCCATATGGTTCAGCCCCATCGTCTTTCAGTTATTCCTGTTGCGTCATCGGGTCTTCGTCAGCCATTGATTATTATTATTATTATTATAATCTTTTTTATTTGAAACCATAAGAATATGAAACAGTTATATATTAATTATCATCAATAATATAATTTGTATATTATGTATCTTTTGAATCCTTTATATTCTAAAATCAGATTATTTGATTCATTTTTTTATATGTTTTTCACTCCACATGTGAATACAATATCTAATAATTAAGGATTCTATGAATTCTGATAGTTCTATTTCCTAAACCTGTTTTTTTTATTGAATTGAATTAGCTCAATTAGTATATACTAATTAAACACTGACTAAATTTAAATCCTCTTTTATTGAATGAAAAGTATTATTATACCATTTTATAGCCATATTTGGCTCTTAAAAAGGTGATTTTATTGAATTTATTAACTAGTTGCAATCAATTTTAAAAATCTATAACATTATTAATATTTGAGGTTAAGACTAAAAATGTAGTAAGGCACTCCTTAGATTTTATTTATCCCTTTATTAGATATGGGATTCATCATCATTTCATTGTTATATCAACTTAAGAAAAAATAAATTCTCATATATATATATATTTATATATTTTATAAAAGGAAATCATCATATTGAATTATGTTTAAACAATATCAATTTATAGTTGATTATCTTTAAGAAGATTACAGAATCAATTTTAAACAAATTGACAATAAGAAATTAACAAATTGATTAAGAAATACTGCAAATACAATATATATTTTATAAAATTTACATTGATTAATAATAATATATTCATTTATACTAATATTGAATAACTATATGTATGTTTATATTCATATGATTTTAATATTAAATTAACTATAATATACATACATCAATTATATTAATAAACTATTTGAAATTTAATATAAAACTTTAGATAATTTGATATAATAATTCAAAATATTACTAAGTATAAATCAAGCTTTAAGACTTTCAAAGATTATTATATTTTTAGTTAATTATAATAATAAAATGATGATCATGAAACTATTTTCAAATGCTCAGATAAGTTTGAATTCTAATTCTATTATATTAATAATATTTTGCTATAAAATTATTTTACTAAATCTATTGCATAAGATAACTTATTTACTTTAACGATCAATAAATTTAATAATTATAAAAGTAAACTATTACAAATTTTATATTTTGATAAATATAACATTATTATCTAATGATAAAAATATCTAAACCATATATTCAATTGATTCATAAAAAATCACTATAAAATGAAACTAAATCATATGAATTCAATACTTTGATTCATAAAAAAAATTTTTTAATGCTTATAAGATATAGATTAATTTGAATTTGTATTTGTCAGTTAAGATAATAAAATTAAAAATTGTAATATAATCATATATTACATAAATTATCAAATTTAAACTCATTAAGATATAAATGATAAAATTATTAGAACTTATTGTATATTCAATTTAAAATCATTCTATTGCCATAAATTTTGAAATTTGCTGTGACTTCTTTGACTATATTCTTGATTTTGATATAAAGTATTTAGGCTAGTTATTTATCCTTTTATTAAGCAATTTCAATTGGAAGCATCCTATTCTTTTTTAATATTTAACTAAAGATGTAATTTCATCTCCTTTGAAAAAATAATAAAATTTATTTAATTATCCCTTTATTCATATTTTTAAGAAATTTATTATCATCATTACTTTAAGTATTTATTAATTATAAACATTCTTTTGAGTACATTTTATCAAAAAAATGAAGATGTTAAAATTTTCTTGATTTGGCAGAGAGCCCATAATTTATTTATTTTAATGAGAAAGACATATATATATTATATCTTTTTGATATAATAGATATTTATAGAGTTGAAGTTTTTAATTTTTAAAATCTATAAAAAAACAAAAAGAATTATAATTTTTTAAAAATTTGGAATCATAAAAAAAATTAAAATATTAAGAATTGTTTAGTCATTAATATATAATATTGTTATCATCAGTGCTAACAAATAGTGGATAATTGCATTATATGGATATTATCTAATAATTTCTTTTTAAATTAATACCTTACTGATTTAAAAAAATTTATTTTAAATTATATAAATAATAAGGATTATCAAATAAATTTCAAAAGAAATTTTCTTTTATGAAATGAAAAGATTGCAAATTAATACTTTATATTATAATTCTTATTTAAAAATTTATGAATGTTGATTTATGATGTAATTAAAGAGAATATAAGAAATGTGGTTGAATATGTAAAAGTACATTGTAAATAGAAATTAAAGACATGTAAAAAAATTAAATGAGATAAAGTATATTTGCAATCCAAATAATGAAGAACCTGAAATTCCTTTTGAAGAGGATGGTAAAAGAAATAAATAGTTTTGAAAGGATATTTTTGATAATGTTCCTTTTATGTTCTAGATGTTAGCTTTGTAAATAAATAATTCATATTATTTTAGGTCATATTTTTTATTAATAATAATTGCAACTCTATTAGTAAAATACACTTGAGATTTACATTTAGAGTATTTATAGGTTTTTGGAGAAGGAAATAAGAAACCAAATTGGATTAATCATGAGAAATCTGTTGATTATCATCCAACTGTTATGCATGCTGAATGTGATACCCTTGGATAAGGTATGATATCAAAACCATTTTGGTTTATGATATTTTATGGTTTATGTTCGATTTTATTTGGTATGCTTTTGGATAATTGCTATAAAGTATTTGGATAATTTTAATAATCTATTAAATTTAATTAGTTAGGTATTGATGATGCAAAATTAACTGTTCTTGGTTCAGTTTAAGCTGTATGTAATGGAGGTTCAAGATTTGGATAGGCAGTATTATTTGATAAGATTGGTTTCAAAAAAGTTTATTTAATAATAGCAGTTATAAACTTAATTTTTACTGTAGTTATTGGTTATATAAATGATAGTTATGCGGTTATGGTGGAGTCTTTTGGATTATATTGGATTTTGTTGTGTTACTTTCATATAAGGAATATTATTTAAAGAGGAGCATGATTTGAAAAAAAATGAACATATTTATTTCCATAAGTGTAATTATATTAATTTTTTAATCTATTTTCTTATTAATATATTTAATGTAAATGTTTATTATTGATGTTGATCACTATTTAACTAGGATAAATAGGAATAATAAACAAATAGATTTATCATAAATTTAATATTATATTATAAACTTTCGATTTATTACTTAATTTAAATAATTATTATATTGAGAATGACTGATACTAAAGGATCAATGGTGGCTCCATTATCTAAATATAAATTAGTATTCTTAGGAGATTAGTCTGTAGGGAAAACTTCAATAATAAATCGTTTTATGTTTGATACATTTGATGGTAAAGATCATGTAATACAGTTTGAATATTCAAGCCTACAGTTGGCATTGATTTTATATCTAAGACCCTCTACTATGAGGATAGAACCATTCGTCTTTAATTATGGGATACTGCAGGATAAGAGAGATTCAGATCACTTATACCAAGTTATATTAGAGATAGTGCTGTTGCTGTAGTTTGTTATGATGTTGAGGGTAAATTATGATAATAGAAAGTGAAATAATCATTTGATAGTGTTGCAAAATGGATTGAAGATGTACGACTAGAAAGAGGGAATGATGTAATAATTTTTTTAGTGGCCAACAAGATTGATCTTGAAAATAGGTAATGATTTGCATAATAATGGTAAGAGTTGTATCCACAGAGCAAGGATCTACTTTAGCTAAGGAACAAGATGCTCATTTTATCGAAGTTAGTGCAAAATCTGGAAGCAATGTTGAGTTACTATTTAAATAAATTGCAGCCACACTTCCAGGTACTGAAACATCTTAAATGGTTAATTCTGTTGTTAATAATCCAACATAATGTATTACTATTTGTATATTCATAAGCAAATAATATAAAAATAGAAAACACAAAAAATTAAGATTAGGAAACGAATGATAAAAAGTCATGTTGTTGAATTCCTAAAAATATCATATATATATATATATTTATATATATTTATTCATAACTTTTGTTAGTAAAAATAATCATCTTCTGATTTAAATTCATGATATTTTTGATGAATTTGTTAACTTCTCTTTTTTACTCCTTAAAACATACATACTTTCTAATCTCGTAAACAAGCTTCAGTTAATTTATTTTCAGATGCTTATTTAAAATATTCATTTAATCCTATAAAGATTGGTCTATTTGGTACTTTATTCCTACAAAGATAGGTTGTTTCTTGTAATTCTAATTTGCCCCAATCAATTTATTAAGGAATCATTGTTATAGATTATCTCTATTCTTTATCTCTCTTAAACATTGTTACATAACATCCTTTTGATTTCAACAAAAAGTACTTTGTAATCCAATGTGATTTTAATACTTTTTTTGCTTAAGCCATTTTTTTTTATTATTCAACAAAGAATTTTTACATTAGTAATTCTTTAAATAATTCCATCAATTAAAGTCCTTTAAAAAATTCTACTGTAATCATTGAATTTGAATTATTTATTCTATCTCTTGAATCTATTATATAATTTATTTATAATATAAACTATTCCAAAATTGATTGATATTGATTTAATTTTGAATTAAAACTTATAGATTAATACTTAAGTGTCCTTTTTATATATATTTCAATTAAATTCTCAAATTATTATCTAATTTACATTAATACTTATATTGATTATTATTATTAATCTTATTCTTCATTTCTTTAATTATTTTATACATTTAAGAAATCTAAAGTAGTTAAGAATTTATAAAAATCATCTAAATCATAATCTTCTTTTAAAATGTCTATATTTTATACATTTATCATTGTTATTTTTTAATCATCATCAAAATGTATTGATGGAGAAAATAATGACATTTTCTTTGTGCATTTTGAACTTTTCCTCATCTATATTTCTTCTTCTTCTTCTATTTCAAAATCTAAATTTGCCAACAAATTAAATTTCGAATAATTTGATATATTTTCTGAATCCTGATCGTAATAAATATGTTCAGCCTTATCACCCTAATCTAATTTTGTCATTAACATCTCGTACTCTCAAATTCTATCTGAGGTGTTCTAATATATGGACCAGGTATTCCTTTAATCTTTTATTTTATGCAATCTTCATTAATTTCCTCTCCCAATTCATCATTCTCATTAACAAAGACCTCAGCCATCATATTATGAAAATTAGAAAAATCAAAATTTAAATACCCATCAAAAGTCTCTTTTAAGTCATCTGTCATTATTATTATTTATTTTTATATCTATAATTTTATTTTCTTAATTTATATTAAAATGAAACCAATACATAAAATTTATTATTATTATTCACATATATTTCTATTTCTTTATCAATTTACAATAATATTTTAAATTTACAAATCTACACAAATATACAATCATTTAAAATTATTATTGTTCAATAGAGTTTATGAATATTAAAAAATCAACACAATTTTCATAATTATCTAATAATGTCAATAAATTATAATGAAAAGTAACTTAAAAAAGTAATAAACAGATAGAAAATAAACTAAATCTATTTAGTATAATTAAATTAATAAATTTATCATTATTTAATCCTAAATAATATTAAGCTTAATTTCAGTATTCTTTGAAATCATAACAAGATTATACTCAATAGTATAGAATTTTATGTTCCATTAACAAAAAAGTTTCTTTTGAGTTAAGAAAAGAATCTCAAGAATTTTAATATTAATAATAAAATTTCTAAATATATAAACAATAAAAATTGATAATTAAGATAATTAATCTAAGTTCAAATCATAAAATATTTCAATTTATGATTTAGTGATATATATATTTTAATAAAATAATAATATTATTTTTTATAATAGAATAAATATAACAAGAGTTTGGATTATTAATAATCAAAAAGTTTTATATTTTTTTATAATTTTTGAGATAATAATAATAAGTAATATCCTTTTATAATTAGTAAATTTAAAATGTATATATTTAATCAAAATTATCCAGATAATAAGTCAATAAATGTATTAATATTAATAATTTAATTATAAAATAGTTATTTTAATTTAGTAATATCAATTAGAATATTTAAATTTCCTTATTATAAAACATGTTCTATAATTTTATATTCTAAATCTTAAACAGTTTAATTTAATATATGCATATCTCTTGTTAATTTTTATTTACCATTATATTTATAAGGTTATATTTAAGGAATTAAATGAATAATATTTAGTAAATCACCTCCAGAAGCATTCTCAAAAATTGATGAAATTTTATCTACTAAATCAATAATGGATAAATCTTTCCAAATTATAACTTATTTAAAGAGTTTATATTATTTATAAGTAATTACTTCATAAATATTAGTACAATCTATTTAAAATGCCATTAATAATATTATTAATATCTATTAATGTATTAAAGTTAAAAACTTATGCTCTAATAGAAATTCAGATAAAGGTATTCCATATATATTCTAATATTATTTCTAAGTTTTAATAAAATTAAGATGTAGCATCTAATATCTTTATTTTTGGCTATCATTTTATTCTTCAACAACTCTTGAAATGTTTGTGTTTCTCCTTCCTTTTACCATAACATTAAATTAATAGAATCTGTTATTAGTAGTAGTATTACATCTTTTTTCTAACTGTTCTTTTTTGAAAGATGATTATTTATCAACATTTGATTTAGTTGAATAATCTCTTTTTAACATTTCTACAACTTATTTATTATTCTCATTGACTTATGTTATTTCTAACTATTTCAAATTAAATTTTTTCCTATTTCTCTATTAAATTTAGCATTTTTAATATCCATATACTCTTAACAAACTTCTATTAAAGATTAACTATTCAATAGGTTAAGTATTGGATTTTGATTTACTTTATGATGTTCTATTAATTTAAGAAGTTGGATTATTTAAAATTTCCATAAGTTTTCTCTTTTCCTATAATTTAAGCATATAATAATAATATTTTTAATTAGATTAATTTTAAAAATGGCTGGAATATTATAAATTTCAATATTCTCCAATCAAATCTCTATAATTGATTTTTTAATTAATTCTTCTTCTTAAATTTCTATTAACGAATGAGGAGTCTTAAGTCTTAAAGTAAGATTATATATATTATACTTCTTATTAAATTTATTATTATTAAGACTAAGTATTTTATTAAGTAGATATGACTTATTAGATTATTGGAGGAGATGATTATTAATTTTTTAATTTTTTTTTAGTTGAGTTTCTTAATAAATCCAAATCTTGTTTAATTTCATCATCCATTAAATTAAATCGAAATGCTATATATTTAAATTCTCTTATAATACTATATTATATTTTATTATCTTTTGTTGCTACAAATGTAATGTTTTTTTCTCTATTTCTTAAATCCTCTTATTCTATTATTGGACGTTATTTCAAGATTGGAGGTTCTTCAATTTTTTTAGGAACTTTAGGTTTCTTAATATTTTTGGAACAAGTTAAACAATGATATTGACTAGTTTCAAATTCTATTTGAATATTTTAATTTCTGTTTTTTTATTCACATACAATATGATTCTAATAGATAATCTTAATAATTACCCATTTTTTACAAGAATCACATTATATCCATCCAGCTTCATCATCATAGGATCCATAGACCTAATATGATAATTGAAATTTAATGTACTTATTCACAAAAATCGCAATAATTTCCTTTATTATATAATTTGGAACATTTATCACAAAAGAATAATATATCATTCCTTTTGGATTTGATTTTTTTGTCTCCTACATTCTTACATTGATTATTATGACATTTTTTATGTTATTATACAGGTTCATCATCCTCAACTGTAATTGGATTATCAGCGCTATTTTTTTATTTTTAATTGAAATTTGTCTATTATAGAGGATAAGGATTTAAGAAATTGGCTTATTATAACAAATGAGTTGGATTAGAAAAACATTATATCAGTTCCATAGTTTTGGCAAAAGACATATCTACATTATATATGGCAAAGATATCAGTATATATGTTATATAAATGTGAGTGACAGGGATATAAATAATAGCTTACTCAGCATATTAGGAGTAGGGAAGGCATCTTTTGATGAATTGTTTAAGTTCAAACTTTAAGTTAAATTAGGCAAGAGTGATGTTTAACATAGTTATTATAAATCTGAATTTTAAAATGCTTTAACCAATTGATGTTGCTATAAGCTAAAATAATGATAAGTAAATATAAATATATATAGGGATATCAGTAAAAAATAGTATGTTATTAATAGGATAAATGTCATACCTGAAAAGCATTTAGTATAATTCTAAATCTTAAGCATTGCCTACTAGTGGAATTAGAGAATTATTATTCATTCCTTAACTCATTTTTTATATTGTTTAAATTAAAAAGAACCTGAATTTATATAATTACATCTTTTGAATTAAAAACAAAAATATTTTCAAAGAATTTTATTTAAAATTGTTATATAAATCTATTTTATATTTTATCGATTAAATTTCATGAAATTATCTATAAAACAGAGCATTCATCATCTCCGTCAATATCTTAGATTTCATGTATCTCTTATTTATTCTAAGTCAATTCTTCAGTTATTCCTGAAATATCTTATAGAACATCAGGTCTATTCAAAGCTTCTAATAAAAATGATTATGGATTCTTCTCTAAAGCATCTAAAATTTATTAAGAACAAGCTACACAACTAAATTTTAATTTAATTAATACTGTTTAAATGCTCTTCCATAAAATAATCTAACTTCAAAATCTGATAATTAACCTCTTAAAAAATGTGGTAATATTCCTAAATCTGTTTATTATAATTATTCTGTATTATCAGATGCTGGAGTACCATCTAATAATGGACTATGAATTAAACTAACAAATAATTCTGATGAATAAGCTGAAGCTAAAAATGATAAACCAGGACGTGTAACTGTACATTATTAATCTAAAGTTCTATCCTTCATTGAATTACCAGGAGATGAAATATCATTACAAAAATAACAAGCTAATCTTTCACCATGAATTTCAGGATTATATTTTTTTAATGAAATACCATGTCTTATTATTAAAAATGAATCAAATCCTAAAGCAACAGAAAAACACATCTTTCCATAAGCATTACTTAATACAGTTGGTAACCATCTAGATTCTCTTGAATCTGTTAATAAAAATACAGCATCATGAGTACTTACTAATTCACTTAATTTATAAAATGATTCTAATGTTTATTAAACTTATAATTCTGTTACAAAATGACCAGGCATAGGAATTTAAAGTTAATATCCTTCACTTTCAATATCAGGAAATATTTTCTTTAATTTTTCAGCAGCCACTTCAGCTTTTGGTCTTCCTCCTTTTGTTGAATCTTCAAAATCATATAAACTTTATCTAACAGGATTACTATAAGATATCTTTCCATAATCTACAAATGTTATTTTTCTTATTCCCCATCCAATAAGATTTCTTGCTAATTAACATCCTAATGTCCCTGCTCCAATTAATAAAACTTTCTATGTTTAAACTTTTTCTAAATCTAATTCAGGCAATAATCTCCACTTCATTAATTTAATATTCAAATCTACAGCTTCTCTAGCTAAACTAAATAATAATAAAAAATATTTTAATACGATTATTCATCCATAAATGATTTCAAATCTATTTTCTTTTCTTAAAGATAACCTTCAATATTGAAAGCTTTATATTATCCATTTTATTCAATTATTTTAGATTCAGATAGATTTAACTCTAAATAAATAGAATTTTTCAAAGAAAATTGATTTTTATTAATTGTCAATGCATCTTTTATTACTATTATTTTAATATTATTAAGTTAATCCTTTATAGAATTATTTGTTATCAAATAAGCTAAAAAATTGTTAAATTAACCATTCAATTATGCTTAATTATAAGAATCGAAATACAAGAATATTACATCTTATTTATTTTTTTAATATTCATCAAATTGTACATATTATAAATTCTCTTTTCTTAATATAACAAATGAAGTATTAGATATCTCTTTTTGTTATTATTGAATTATAAGAGATAATTACTATTAAAATAATTACATTTGATCACCTAAATAATCTGTAAGACTTTTTTAAATGATATTCTATATGTTTTCAATCTAAAATTAGGGAACAACTAACTTATAGTAAAATAAATATTTCTTTAAATCTGCAAAGATACTCATTCTTCCTTAAAATAGATTTGGCTTCTCATCTTTAGAAAATGATTCAATCATTTTTTTAAAAGTTTATTGCACATAATTCAAATGATCAAATTCTTAATAGGTCTCTATAGTGTTGTAGTTTTAGAATTAAATTCTTGAATAAACTTCAAATGGACCAGATTTGTTTAATGTTATCTCATCTTGGAAAGCATATATATCCAAATATAATTATGAAGTTTTCTCTTGATATGGATTTATCTTTGTTTTTACTAGCAAAGATCTTTCACCATCATCTAATTTGTAAATCTCAATCTTATTTTTTGATAATTATGACCAAAATCCAATATCGATCAAAGGTGAGAATGGAATAAATTACATTTTTAAATAATAATTAAAGTCAACAAGGCGTATCAAAGAAATCTTAAACTGTAATTTATCTCTTAAATTTTCTCTCTCTTTATTAAAACCAATCTTTCCCATAAAGGTTTTCTACATAATCAGTGAAGGTCACTAATTGATATGGATTTTATTTTTAAGCTTATTAACTTATTCTTGGTATTTCAACTCCAGTAAAAAAGTCATCCACATCATTCTTATCATTTAAATCTATTTTTGGTTAGACTTCTTTTCTTCTAAAACGAAAAGGTCTTACTTCCCTTACTTCCTTTTATTATACATCACTTTCTGTCTTTATATATCGAGTACTCTCTTCACTATCAATTTTTTGACTAAAAAAGAAGCGAGATTTCTTAGAAGACTGTTAATCTAGCAAGTTGTCTAGACTATCTAGATTACCCTAAGGGGAGTTATAATTTGTTGTTATAGTATAATTGGATTTCTAAAGAGTTTTGGCAGATGAATAATCTTGATCATTTTCTAACTTCAAGACATTAGTAGAATATTAAGAGAAAGTTGTTTTTCTAAAAGACATCAATTCCTTTAAATGTTTTTCAATATTAAATAATTTATTCTTTATTGGTGTTTTAGCATTAATTATTATTACAGCTATTTAAAAAAAATAGAAACCAATTATAAATTCAGCACTGATCTTAATATTTATATTTTGTAATGAAAATATTTCAGTGCCAAAAGAAAAATTAACAAAAATAATTAGAATACTCCAATTAAAAAAAATTTATCATATTGAACTATCAAATATTTACTATCATATTTATCAAGCATCAAAAATAATACTTGAATATATAAATAGAATACTTATGATTTATGATTAAAAAATGGCAAAATTCATTTAGATTATTCTTAAACAAACATAAATTTATTATTTAAAATAAATAAATAATTGAAATCTTTAAACAAATTTAAGTATTTTAGTGTTTTAAAAATTGAATGAAATCTAATTTTCATCATAATAAATTTAAATTATTAAGTTTCCTTAAATTATAATCTAAGAGATAATCAACAAAATATTTAGTACTGGCTCTAAGATATAATTATCTTTAAAGATTATAGATTATATTATATATTAAGTTAATTTCATTTAATTATTAAGTATTAATGATAAAAACATCAAAATAGTTTTGTTAAATGGTATAATATAATATGAATATATTTATAATTTGAATTATGCTACATATTATTCTATATTATAGAAGGTTTTAGAATGTTTATTATGTAAAATTATAGATTTTTGGAGTAGCATTGAAGAATTTAATGTATTATCATTATTTATTTAGGAATTTAATTCTTTATTCTAATTTTAATACCAATAAAAAAGAATTTTACAAGTGTATGAATACAATGATTTGAGCAAAATTTTAAATAAATTAAATTAATTATGCAATAAGGATAGAGATTGAAAGAAGCTACTGAAGGATAGATTGTTTAAGCTGGAAATAAGATTGGAGGACCTTTTAAAATTGGAAAGCCTGTTTATTAAGAAAAGAGATTGAAATTGTTTACAGAAATATATCAACGATAAAAAGCAGAACTAGAAGCTAAAGAGAAAACCCCAATCACTATAACTTTAAAAGATGGAAAGAAATTAGAAGGTTTGTTTTATCATTTAAGATTTTAGGTAAAAAGTGGGTTACTACTCCATTGATGATTGCTGTTGGAATTAGTAAAAAGTTGGCTGAAAACATGGTGGCTGCTAAAGTGGTGTATGATAGTTTATTTGAGAAAAGTATGAATTCATATTAACAACTAGATTTTGTTGATGTAGATCATGAGGATTAATAACAATAAGCATCCTCATTAAATTTAAAGCCAGATTATTTAATTTGGGATTTGAGTAGACCATTGGAAGGGGATTGTTAATTGGAATTGTTAAGTTTTGATGATAATAATGGAAAGGAAGTATTTTGGCATTCATCTTCTCACATTTTGGGATCTGCTTTGGAAGAAGTATATGGATGTCATTTATGTATTGGTCCTGCAATTGATGGTGGATTCTTTTATGATTGTTACATAGGAGATTACAAGGTTACTTAGAATGATTATGTGAAAATAGAGAAGGCAGCTTAAGATCTAGTAGCATCCAAATAAGAATTTTAAAGAGTAGTCTTAACCAAAGATGAATGGTATAATTGATTATTATTATATTTTAGCTTGGAATTATTTGGTACTAATCCTTTTAAGAGACAATTGATAACAAATAAGATTCCAGAAGGAGCTATGACTACTGCTTATAGATGTGGTAATTTGATTGATTTATGTACTGGTCCACATTTACCTAATACTAGTTATGTTAAGGCATTTTAAGTTACAAAGAATTCAGCTGCATATTGGTTGGGTAAGAACACCAATGATGATTTGTAAAGAGTTTATGGTGTTTCATTCCCCAGTAAAAGATTATTGGATGAATATGTCAAAATATAAAAGGAATTAGCTCTAAGAGATCATAGAAATGTAGGTAAGAAACAGAATTTGTATCTCTTCCATCAATTATCCCCTGGTTCAGCCTTCTTTTATCCAAGTGGTGCTCATATTTACAATACTTTAATGAACTTTTTAAGAAGATAATATTATATTAGAGGATATTAAGAAGTTATTTCACCAAATATTTTCAATGCTTAACTATGGAAGATAAGTGGACATTATGATAAATATAAGGAAAACTTATTCTTTATTAATATGGGTGAAGAGGGAGAATATGGATTAAAACCTATGAATTGTCCTGGACATTGTTTAATGTTTGATATGATTCAACATAGTTACAGAGATTTACCTGTTAGATTTGCTGATTTTGGTGTTTTACACAGAAATGAAGTACATGGTGCTTTGAGTGGATTAACTAGAGTTCGTCGTTTCCAATAGGATGATGCACATATTTTCTGTAGAATGGATTAAATTTAAGAAGAAATCAAGAGTTGTCTTGAATTCTTAAGTTATATTTATTCACTCTTTGGATTTGAATTTAAATTGTATCTAAGTACTCGTCCTGAGAAATTCTTGGGAACTAAAGAAGTTTGGGATAATGCTGAATATCAATTAGAATAAGGATTAAAGAAATTTGGAAAACATTATGAAGTAAATCCTGGAGATGGTGCTTTCTATGGGCCTAAAATTGATGTTAAATTATATGATGCCTATAAAAGAGAACATTAATGTGGTACCATTTAATTAGATTTCAATTTACCAGAAAGATTTAATTTATAATATAGAGCTAGTGAAGATGTTTAAGAAGTATAGAAGGATAAAGAATAAGTTCATAATGAATAAGTGTAAGTTGCTTAAGAAATCATTGATGTTGTTAGAAAAGCTTCTCATCATTCAGACACTGATAATATTTCTACTCCTCCTTAACATCCTTAATAATAACCTGCTGAAATTCCTGTTGCAGAAAAAGTTACTTAAGAATAAAATGTTAAACAATAAAAAAAATAAAAATAATAAAAAGAACCATAATAATAATAATAATAATAATAAAAATAAAAATTACCTGAAGAAATAATTGAATCTGGTTCAAGTCAAGGATTATCATAACATGAATTACACAAAGTCTTACATGGTATTTCTTCATTTATTATATTTATTAGAAAAGAAATATGAATTGGGATATCATCATTTAAAGGCAGGATTTGCAAGACCAGTCATTGTCCATAGAGCTATTTTGGGATCATTAGAAAGAATGATTGCTGTTTTAACTGAATAATGTGGAGGCAAATGGCCATTTTGGTTATCTCCTAAATAATTAGTCTTATGTCCAGTATCTGCTTACTATAAAGATGTTGCAGAAAAGATAGCTGCAAGACTGAGATTAGAAGGATATACTGTCAGTACTGATGAATCTGATTAAACTCTTGCTAAGAAAGTTCGTAATGCTTAAATCTAATACTATAATTTTGTTGGAGTTATTGGTGAAGAAGAAGTAAGAGCTGGTGTTATTGATGTCAGAGATTGTGAAAAAAATACTAGAATTGTAATTTTATCTATTAATATTATTTTAGGGTAAATTAACTATTCCTTAATTGTGTAAATTCTTTGAATCCCTTAAACCACCTAAGTCTAATGTAGAAGTTGAAATACATGAACATGATGATTCACATTTGAAATTAAATGATGAATTATAAGAAAAGATGTTCTTAGAAGGAGATGGATATTCTGTTGGAAAAAGAGATTTTGATGAATTTGCTAAAATCAAAGATATTGATCCTGCTCTATAAAATTTGATCAGATGGCACAAATACATGACTCATTTGACAAAAAAAGATGAAGCACCAGAAAAAGTCTAATAAGTAGAATAAAAACAAGAATGAAATAAATTATAAAGAATATAATAATTTAAATATTTTCCCTTTTTATAATACTCTTAAAGGAATGGTATGTCTAAATCTATTATAGAGAATTAAGAATATTTCTCTAAAATATGATGAATTAATTGATCAGCTGATTTGCTTAGATATAAAAACTTATTAATTTAGATATAATAACATTAATGTATTTAAATTAATTTCAGAGGATATATATAAATTTAAAAATTAATGAAAAAATCTAAAAAATATTATTTATTTTAAATAGAAAGTAAAAATTTATATCTTAATTTTTACTTTAAAAATATAAATAATAGTTTATTTTTATAGATATTTTAATAAATATTACAGTAAAATTAATTCCCTTCTCTAAATTATCGAAAATGAAATTTCATTAATTTCTAGACTAATTTTTATATTTTCAGAACTGATGTTTTTCTGTCTATTAAATTAAGTGGAAATAATATAATTCTATATTTTGGTTATTTATTCTTAAAATGGAATACTCTTTTTCATTTTTAATATAAGACATAAAGTTGATAAAAGATCAAATTAGATATAGTACTTAAAAAAATTTGTGAATTATTATATAAAAGATATTTATTATTTTTTGCAATTATTTCAGTCCAGTTTTTTATTTAAATTATCATTTTAAGTTATTGGAGTGATAATGATTTTTTTGTTAAAATATGAGTGATTTCTATTCCCAGTTAATAAATATAATAATAAGAATAAAAATACTATATTAAATAATTTATAATATTTATAAAATGTTTATATTAGTGAGAAATTAATATTAATTAATTTTTATTTTAATAATATTCGATATAAACCCTTATTTAATTATTGAAAATTTTAAATCTTTTTTTTAAAAAGTTAAAAACACATGGTAAATTTTTCAGTGGATCAAATCAGAGAGATTATGGACAAATAAGACAATATTAGAAACATGTCTGTCATTGCCCATGTTGATCATGGTAAATCAACACTCACAGACTCATTGTTATGCAAAGCTGGTATTATTGCCTCCAAAGTTGCTGGTGATGCAAGAGCAACAGATACCAGAGAAGATGAATAGGAAAGAGGTATTACAATTAAGTCTACTGGTGTTTCACTTTATTATGAATATGACATTTATGACAATAAGACCTTAGAAAGATTTTTGATCAACTTGATAGATTCACCAGGACATGTTGATTTCAGTTCAGAAGTCACAGCTGCCTTAAGAGTTACTGATGGTGCATTAGTCGTTGTTGATTGTGTTGAAGGTGTTTGTGTCTAAACAGAAACAGTGTTGAGATAAGCTATGCAAGAAAAAATCAAACCAGTTGTTATGGTTAACAAAATTGATAGAGCTATTTTGGAATTAAAACATGATGGTGAAACTATGTATTAAAATTTCGTCAAAGTTGTTGATATGGTTAATGTTATCATCAACACATATTAATAAGAAGACATGGGTGATCTTCTTGTTCATCCAGAACTTGGATCTGTTTCATTGGTTCAGGAAAAGAATGCTGGGCTTTCTCATGCACAAGATTTGCCAGAATCTATGCTAATAAATTCAAGATTGAACCACTCAAATTATAAGAAAGATTGTGGGGAGATAATTACTTTGATGCTGAAGGAAAATGTTGGAGAAAAGACAGTGTTAGTGGATCAGGAAAACCAATGAAGAGAGCCTTTGTTGCTTTTATCATGGACCCAATCTGTAAATTAGCTAATGCCGTTATGGAAGGTAATATGGATATGGCTAATAAAATGTTTGAAACATTGGGATTGAAACTCACATAAGAAGAAGCCAAATTAGGAGGAAAGCATTTACTTAAAGCTGTTATGTCTAAATGGATTAATGCTGCTGATACATTACTTTAAATGATTGTTTGCCATTTACCATCACCAAGAAAGGCTTAAAAATACAGAACTTCATATTTATATGAAGGACCATAGGATGATGCTATTGCTTAATCAATGAGAGAATGCAATCCAAAGGGACCATTAATAATGTATTGTCTAAGATGGTGCCAACAACAGATAGAGGAAGATTCTTTGCTTTCGGTAGAGTTTTTTCTGGTACCATTGCTACAGGATAAAAGGTTAGAATCATGGTAGCCAATTATAAAGTAGGAAAGAAGGATGATTTATTTGAAAAACCTATCTAAAGAACTGTTCTTATGATGGCCAGTAGAGTTGAATACATTCCAGATGTTCCATGTGGTAACACAGTCGGATTAGTCGGTGTTGAATAATATTTAATGAAGACTGGTACCATTTCAGACCATCCAGATTGGCATTTAATCTGATCAATGAAATACTCTGTGTCTCCAGTTGTCAGAGTTGCTGTTTAACCAAAAAATCCAGGAGATTTACCAAAATTAGTCGATGGATTAAAGAAATTATCAAAATCAGATCCATTAGTATTATGTACAACAGAAGAATCTTGATAAAATGTTGTTGCAGGATGTGGTGAATTACATGTTGAAATCTGTTTGAATGATTTAGAAAAAGATTTTGCTGGAGTTGAACTCATCAAATCTGACCCAATTGTCTCATATAAAGAAACTGTGGCTGCTACATCAAACATTGTTTGTATGTCTAAATCACCAAATAAACATAACAGAATTTATGCTTAAGCTACTCCATTACATAAAAATTTACCAGATGCTATTGAAAAAGGATAAATTACACCAAAAGATGATCCAAAAACTAGAGCTAAATCTCTTAATGAAGAATTTGAATGGGATAAGGAAGATGGACTCAGAATTTGGACCTTTGGACCAGATAATACTGGTGCTAACATTTTGATGGACAAAACATCAGGTGTTTAATATATGAATGAATTAAGAGAATCAATGGAATCTGCTTGGTAATGGTCAACAAAGGAAGGATCACTTTGTGAAGAAAATCAAAGAGGTGTTAGAGTAAACATTTTGGATTGTGTTTTACATGCTGATGCTATTCACAGAGGAGGTGGTTAAATCATTCCTACTTCCAGAAGATTATATTATGCATGCAAGTTGACAGCTTAACCAAGATTATAAGAACCAGTCTTTTTGGCTGAAATTACTGCACCAAATGATGCAACTGGTGGTGTATATAATTGTCTCAACACCAGAAGAGGAACAGTAATTGAAGAAGAATAAGTTGCAGGAACCCCACTTTCAGTGGTATCAATATTATTCTATTTTAATAGGTTAGAGCTCATTTACCAGTTGCTGAATCATTCGGTTTTACTGCTCATTTAAGAGGTATGACATAAGGACAAGCCTTCCCTCAATGTGTCTTTGATCACTGGGCTGTTGTTAATGGTAACCCACTTGAAGCAGGAAGCAAAGTATTATTCTTAATTAATAATTTTAGGTTAATGAATAAGTGTTATCCATTAGAAAGAGAAAGGGAATCAAAGTTCAATTGCCAGACCTTAATGAATATTTGGATAAACTCTGATTTAAACTATGTATTTGAAAACAAAAAAATTATTCAATTTTAAAATATTGGTTAATCTTTAAGAAAGATCTTAAAAAATAAAAATTCAGTATTGATCTACAGTTCCAAAGTATCTATCACCAAAATCACCTACTCCTGGGAAACGTAGATCTTGAATAGTATTTAATGCATGATCCACTCCTGCAGTAATTACTTTCACTTTAGGAAATTAATGAAGCACTTTTGATAGACCTTTTTCACATGAAACTATTGTAGAATCTAAAAATATTTTGATTAACCAATTAATTAATTTAATTATTGAAAGTATGTTAACTGCTGTAATATTATCTTAATTAACTCAATTTGATAACAATGCCTTTATTGCAGTAGTGATTCTACCCCAGTTGTAATCATAGAATCTGTAAGAATTACCTAATTTTAATTTTATATATATACCTATTTTTAATCTATGTCATCTGGTAATTTACAATAAATTAATTATGCATCTTTAGTCTAAGGATGTTCCTAAACTAAGATGAATTCAATTGATGTACCTGGAAGCACTTTTAGAGCCTCACCCATAAATGCATTTCCAGATCTTATCATTACTACTACACAAAATTAATTATGTTCAAAGTTTATCACTTATTCTTTTTATTATTAAGTCTATTATCCTTCTTAAGGCAATATTTTTTTATTGTGTTCTGACACACTTTTTTCTAATCTAATTAATCGATCAGAATATAATCTAAAATCCTAAAATGACTTATTATTCTACTTTAGTTTGAGTTGTTTTATTGCGTATTACACTTAATATATGTTCAACTTGAAATTTATCTAATACATAGAGACTGGGGAACCTCAGACGAAATTATTATAATTCTGTATGAGAAATGAATGAAAAATAGGGAGCAGCACATTTAAATCAATTGTATTATTATTATTAGGCTATTAAGGTGAAGCCAATAAAACCAATCAATCCTGCCTTAACTATTTTTTAATTTATCAAATTCATATTTGGTATTTTTATTTTTATAATTATTACAAATGTGAATCTTTATAAAATATATATATCATTGTCAGAAGTAAATTTACTATAACCAAAAATTTGTACTTTTATTATTATTTAATATATTAAAAATAAATATGGTTGATTTTAGAAAATTCATGCAAATAGTAATGCGTAAATTTAATGATAAATTGAATGTTTCAGCATCTGCTGCAATGTTAATTGCTGCTTTTTGTTTATATAAAGCCAAAGCAAAACCAGCATTGCCACTTGTGAAAATCAGTAATTTTATATTAGTGTTACAAAAGAAATTGGTTGAAGAAGTCATTTATGATGGAACTCACATTTTATTCAGATGCGTCAATTAAGCCTAATGGCTATCGACTTAAGCTGAACCGATGATAAAGGGAAAGGAATTATTGAAGGCATTAATGTAAGAATCCCTCTTATAAATTTAAGGGAATATGGTGTTCCAAGATTTTAAAATTCCACTTAAATTTATTACTCCGAGAAACAAATGATGTATTTAATAATGAGTATTGCAGCCATATCATATACATTTGGCATTATTGCAACTAATTTCATTAATTCTAACAAAATTTCTAATAAATCTTTGCTTGCTTAATCAACAGGAGTTAAATTTGCAAATATTTATGGATTAGATCATGCTAAAAAATAACTATAATAAATCATTGAATATTTATAAGATCCATTGAAATATAGAAATGTTGGTGCTAGATTAAGAAGAGGAGTTATGATTTATGGTCCTCCAGGTACAGGTAAAACAATGTTAGCTAAGGCTACTGCAACTGAAAGCAATGTTTAATTTTTATATTGTTCAGCAACAGAATTTATAGAGATCTATGTAGGAACTGGTCCTAAGAGAGTAAGAGAATTGTTTAAAAAAGCCAGAGAATTAGCTCCAGCAATTATTTTTATTGATGAAATTGATAGTATTGCATATAAAAGGAAAAACCAAAATTTTGGAGCAGAAACTGGAGGTGATAATGAAAGGGTAAGTACTTTAAATTAATTACTTACAGAATTGGATGGGTTTAAAGAGAATGAAAATATTGTAGTTATTGCAGCAACAAACAGAATTTAAATCTTAGATGAAGCTCTTCTGAGAAGTGGTAGATTCGATATCAAAATAGAGATAAAATTACCATCAGAAAATGACAGGAAAGGTATCATAGGTGTTCATTTACATAATGTAAGAGAATAATTTATGATTTCTTAAGAAAAAACATTAAATTTCTTCTGGAATGATTGAATTAGTAGCCAAAAATGCAAATGGATTTTCAGGAGCTGATATGGAAAATATTACAAATGAAAGTGCATATATAGCCATAGAAAAACAATAAGAGTACATTATAGATGCAGATATCTAAGAAGCCTTAAAAAAGATCACATTAGAGAAATAACATATGAGAGATTAATGATTATATTTTGATATGTGTAGAAATATATATTAATTATTCATAAGTATCTTTCGATCAATGTTTAAATGTTATCTGGTACTTGATATGTAGTTCTGAAAAACTCTTTGAAATGACAACCTAAATCAGATTTAAACTATTATTTTAATATATCCAAAGTATTAATTTAGACTACATGATTCAATTATTATTGTAATAAGATTAAGAAAATATTCTAAAACCATATGCCTTCTTTAATATTTTAATTTAACAATTCACTCTTACTGCTACACATCCAATATACAATTCTTTATAAATTTTAGATTCCCTAAAATAAAGAAATTTATATACATCAACAGTGAAATCCTTTATTGATTAAGCTGATATCACAAGAGCCAAACCTGAAGTAATTACTTTCTCAAATAATTCAAATTTAAGCTTAGAAAATATTTAATAATTCTTACACAACAAATGCTAAGTATACAATCTATGACTTCATTTAAAAAGTATTGTTTATCATCTGCTTATTATAATACTTGAGTAAATAAATAAAATATATTAGCTTAAATATATTTTATTTAGTATTCTTCTTAACATAGTGTCTTTCTTAAGAGAAGGAAAGCATTTTTATTAGTGATATTTTTGAGAATGGTTGAAAATATCAAATTATCATAAGGAACAATTTTCAATTAGGATAGAATTACCCAAACTATTTAATTATCAATGTGTTTGAGTAGATATTCAAATAGTTTCTTATTGACTGAAAAGAATTCTTAAAAAAGTACTGCTTCAAACCATAATGGATTATTTTAATATAGTTTGATTAAGAAATGTTATGCATGTCTATGCTTCTCTTTTTTAAGCAATTCAAGAGTTTTTGAGTAGTATTCACTCATTACTGATTATTCTTAAGGAAAGAGTGACATATTTATTGAATCGAAGGATATAGTCAAAAGGAAGAATTCTAATTAATTATTGGCTGACAATTAAGCCACTAATTAATTTAATACATTGGTAAATGAACTAACACAGAATTGTTCTGGTATATCTGTAATATTTTCAAGTTTAGATTCCAAATTGACCATTATTTCTAAAGCATCTGTCACTTCATTCAAATAATAGTGATCATTAACTTATTCAATTGATTTATTGAATATTAAGGCAAGTTCCTAAAAATATAATATAAACACACCTCTTTTTTAAGTTCCTATTGTTTCAAATACAACTATTCATATTAATAAATGTATTGTTGTCTTTTTTATAGCAATTTATTTTAGATGTCTTCTTTTCTCTATGAATTTCTAACTTATTCTCTTTTTAATTGAATCAACCCATCTGTTGAAATGTTAGAGGGAAAATCTACATTTGAATTCAAATCCATTAATATTATTAAAAATAAATTAATTATAAATTAAACCATTAAATTATATAATTCTTCATACTTTTCTTTTTATCAAATCTTTGCCAGAACCTCTGAGAATGAAATCTACACTAGGGCCTTCCTAAACTTTTATTCTATATTTTGACTTATATAATAATTCAGCAGTAGGCTTTAAATTTAAATAAATAAAATACTTTGAATCTAATAAGTATCTTAAATGGTTATACACCTAATTCTCTTATATCATCAATTGTTATTTGATAAGGTAAACATGTAGCATGTGGTAAAGTGTGTACCATTGTAGATGGTCCATCTAATTTACCTTCTGTAATTTAAAATTCAAACACAGATGGATCATCAGTTTTCTTCATTTCTTCTTTGTCTTCTAAAGTCATTGTTCTATCAACAATATTTTTCCTTAATGGATTTTTTTAATGTTATAATTTCCATTAAGCAGGAACTAATGATAAATTTGATAAATAAATAGCAATAGTTTTATCTTCTTATACATCTCCAAAATCTAATACTTCAGGTCCTTCTACTTGATCAATCCCAGAAGTATTTAAATGAACAAAAGGTCTCAATAGAATACCTTCCAATTAAATTTATTGTTTGTCTCCATTAGCATAATAAATATTAATTGATCCATGATGATACACTTTATAAGTAAGTGGCCAATTAACTGGATCATTAGGTTAATAACCTTCAAATTTTACTAGTAATTCTACATGTGAATCAGTTACTAAATTAAATGTTTTTGCTATTTCAGTTTTCATACCAAGTTCATATTTTTAAGGTGAATTGGTTGATGTCTACATTATTTTAAATGGTCCTTCAATTTCAAAAGTACATACAAAACTTGATTTTTATCTATTGACTAAAACTAATTTCTTTTCTTATTTTTAATTATAACCACTAGACCATTTCTAAAATTTAACCTAAAATCCTCCTTCCAATTTTTCAAGCTTATCAAATGTTAAATAAGGTGTAATAGTTTCACTTTTCACATAAAAAGCTACTTCTCCTATTGTTTTATCTTAATTAATAAGTCTTGGTCTTGCAACTAAACAAGCACTATAATTTCCAGTATCTTATGTAGTAAAATGTAAAGTAAAATGTTTCTCTTTCCTTTATTTGATTCTCTCTTTATTTGGTACTACTTAAAATGGACCATCCTTTGATTCTGGTGGTTCATTTGCTATAAATTAAACATCACATAATTAATCTGATCCTAATTATGGTTCTGTTATTTTTATATCAAAATAATCAGAAATAGTACTATTTCCTAAATTATAAATTTTCCATTCCAATTCAACATCTTAAGGACCAGTATTCATAACTCTAAAATCTCTACTGATTGTTCCAAAATTTCGCATATAGGTACCTAAATCAAATGTAGGAAAATCTGTTTTATAATTAAATCCTAATTGACTAGGACTAATTACAATAGGAGAACCTTTAATATCTATTGCAATTGGAAATTCTTTTGTAGGAAGTCCTCTAATATCACAACACATTAAATCTTCAAATAATCCACAAATATCATTAAATACTGTTACTTAAACAACAACAGATCCATATGCATTTAATGTACCAGAAGATGGTTCAAATACAACTGCAATACCCAAATTATTAGATAAATAAACTCTTTAATCATGTTCCATCTTCTTTTATTTATTTAATTTAAGACCTGCTTCAGAAGTAAAATTATGTGTTTTCTCAATCTTATTTGTTAATAATACTACAGGTCTACCTCCTTAAGTAATTTTTCCTTTTTTAGATACAGATTTAGAAATAGAAGATTCAGCAAATTTAATTGTTCTTGCTGCTTATGATTTAGCATCAAAATCATCAAAAAGAGTTGATTACTCTTCTAATGCATGTGGTTAATATTTTCTCATAAACAAAGTAAATTATGTATGAATACCAGATGTATTTTTTATTAAAAACTTAGCTTGTTTTGGTTAATTAATTGTACAATTATAAAATTCTAATTTATCCATTTATTAATTTTTTATTTCAGTATCTGCTTTCAAAAGTGATTTCCTTGAATCTTTGAGACTTTTAGATTTTGAACTAACTGATGTTTTAGAAGATATATGTGCACTATCATCAACTAATTCATATTCTACAGATAAACCATATATCATAGTATTCATTTCAAATCCTAATGGATATTACAATCCTTGTACTTCACAAACAAAAAGTTCATTTAATTTTCCACCTTCTTTTGGTTTAATAGAGAATTTAATTATTTAATTTGTTTTAGGTTTAAGAACTCCTTTTTTAGGTTCAAATTAAACCAAATATTTATCTTATTTTTCATTATCAACTACCCATTCAAAAGGAGTACTAATATTACCTAAATTTTATAGTTAAATGTATTATTATGCTCTTTAATCAAAAGTGTATGTATTACCACAATACAAAGTATCAATATTAAGAGATAATCTATTTAATGAAACACTTGGATTTTATACTTCTGCAAATACATCTAAAACAACACAATCTCCATTTTCAACCTAAAAATATAAGAAATCATTATAGGTTTCAGCTTCTCTAGATTAAAATTCAACTTTAAATGAAATTGAACTATTTGGTTTGATTTCAAATTAATCTTTATTAAATAATAACCTTTAATCTGATCCAGATTATGCTTTTATTAATGCAGGAACTGGTGATAAATTATTAATAGTTAATTCTTATGATTCCAAAGAATAAGTTTAAATCAATCCATAATTCAACCAACTTTATTTTACTGATATGATAGGAGCTATAACTTCAGCAAATACTGTAATTAGTATAGAATTAGCATAATCAAAGTCTATTCTATATTCTAATTTCATATGACCAACTTCAGAACTTTAAACTCCTAAAACAATTTCAGCTTCATTATTAATAACTCCTTATTTATCTTAAATATAAAAATAATCTAATTGAAGTGGATTAATTTAATATTTCATTTAATTTTTAGATGTTGTTTATAATTTAAATTTATAAGTAGCTAAAGTATTTACACATAAAGGAACAGGAAATTTATAGAATTAAGGTGTAACACTGACTTCTCCAAGTGCAGACTTACTAATTAATTCAAATTCAAAATATGTAATTGATGGTTTAATACTATTAGATCCAATAGCAACAGATTATGTATTATTTTCAAATTGTTATCTTAAATTAGGAGGTGGATTTCTAATACTTTCAAATGGAATATCATCAATAATTAAATAGGCTGTTTAAAATAGTGGATAATATTCTTCACTCTATAGAAATATCTTAAAATCTATAATTTCATTAGGTTAAAAATATCCTTCTTAAGGTTAAATAGAATAATAATTTTATTCATCTTCTAATTTTAATTCTTTATCATCATTTTATAGATACCAATGATATTTAACTTTAACAGATGTTTTATTTCTTATCTTTAATTGTCTACTAGTTTCAACTTTTGGAATAGGATCATTAAAAAATATCTTTTATAATTGTTCTTAATTTTCTAAATTAATATTATCAATTCCTAATATTCCTAATTCTACCATATTTCCTCTACCAATCAATTTTAATGTTGCCTAAGTTAAATTATCACATCCTAATATAATGTTTTCAATAACTTCACCTTCAACATCTGGTTTAAATATTGCTTAAATGATTTAAGTTTCACCTTTATGTAAGAAGAATTCAGCAGGTGATAAATAGAAATTACCAACTTATATATAATTCTCTTCTTCTTATTAATCTTATTGATTATTAATAAAAAAACGATAACCTGCTTCTCCTCCAGAATTTTTAACTACAAATCTTGTTTCTACTTAATCACCTATCCAACAACTCTAACAATCTAATTATGATGGCAAATCTAATTAAGGTGGTTCCTTTCTTGCTAATAATGGAACTTTTAAAATATGATCTTCTGTTATTACGGCTATAGTATCATCAAACTCTGCCAATGAAGATGGATTAAATCTAACCTTTAATATTGCACTCATCCCTGGAGCTATAAATCCATCCTCTTTTGTTGGATATTTAATTGCTGCTATCTGAAACTCCTTTCTAAAATAATGTTAAATCACTCACTTTTCAGGTGGTAACACTTTGATTCTTTACAAAGTCCCAGTAGCATTAGTAACATACAAATCTATTTCATACATACCATTCAACATGTACTCTCTAAATATCAATTATTTTGGAAAAACTCTAAAAGATGTAATTTAATCTTTCTCTACAACAATATCCTAAATTAATTCAAACTAATCTTACTTGCTTTGTATTGATATATGAAAATAGAACCGGTGCTTTATTAATTTTGAATCGAGGATTCTTTAGATAATTAACTCTCTTATTCATGTTCTTAATAATCTGATTATTGATTTCTTTATCTTTCTCATTCATTTCCAATAAAAAATTGCTTTTATTTTTTTTCTATGTCACCGGTTTCAATGAAGTTGTTTCTTTCATTAGAAGTTATTTAATTATATATATATTTATATTTAACTTTATTATATATTTTAAATTCAAGGTACCATTATAATATTTGCCTTTGCCTTTTTTAATAATTCATCAGCTGTTGAACCAAAAAATGTTTTGTTTTCTAATTATGCTCTATATCCATTTGAACCAAATACAACAAAATCAAGATCATCTGAATTATTTATCATTTCAATCACATTTTCTATTGCTCTATAAGATGCATCCAATTATTTATATTACCATTTTCTTTAATATTTTCCCATAAACTCTTCAACCTTTGTCTTAATAGTAGTTCCAAATGCCTCTCTATCAGGAGTAGGAGCAAAACATATCAATAAACTATCACGTTCATCAAAAGATAATGCAATTGCACTTTCTAAAGATTTATAAGATTTCTTAGATCCATCTATACAAACCACAAATTTAAATCCATTTGTTTCATCCCTTTTATAGAGTTTCTTAACTGCTATCAAAGGTACTTTACTATTGTATACTGAATTTCTCACTGTCTATCCTAAAATTGTGACATCTTATTTCACTCCCTTTCTTCCATTAAATCCAACTATCAAATAACTCACATTCAAATCACCAGCAATACTTAAAATTTAATTTCTAACATTTTCTTAACCTTAAGCTTTCTCCTAAAAAACTAATTAGTAATTTGCTTCTGGATACTAAAAATTAAAAATATGTTAATCAATTACTCTTGATAATAATTCAACTTTATAATCCTCATAAATTGTAGTGCTTTGGAATTCAAAAGGCAAATAGGTTTTTGATCCATCTGATACATGGGTTACAATAATTTAATTGAAAATATTCTTATATTCAAAGAACTCAACTGCTTACTAATCAATATCTTAAAATATGGTACAAAGAAAGCTTATTTGGATGCTTAGGATCCATCAGTTGCAACCATTATATTCGATTTATTTAATTCCATAAAATTATTAAAATAAAATATTTTTATAATTAAATTTATATAAATACCATTTATAATTCATAAATCTGTAGGTTATACCTTAAATTCAGGAATACTATCCATATTTAAAAGAAATAAAGGTTTTCTACAATCCTATAAACTTTCTCCTCTTAATCTATAATAGCTTTAATCAATCAAAAAATCACCAAAATAAAAAGAATGTAATTCTGCTCTACTTAAAGAATTTATAGTTAAAGTTCCTAATAAAAATGGATGTGTAAATAATGACTAGGGTATAGAATGTTTCACTGATACTGTAGCCAATACCCAAAAACCCTCCGATATTATTAAAGATAAAAACCCAGACAAACCATATGTAAAGGTTCTTTTACTCTTGTCAATTCTATAGGCTAGGCTTAGAAATAAACCTGGAATAACTTGACTAAATAGTGAAATCCAAGCACAATTTTTATCATATTGCATTCTTATTAAAGGTAATTGCAATTCTAAAGGACAGTTCAAATATTGTAATACAGTAGTATTATAAGATTCAGGTTGTGTATAATGAATAATAAGGGCAAATGTTGAGTCTAGTATAACATTAGCAATCATTAAAGCAGCTGCTGTCTTTAAGTTCTTTAATCTAAAGAATTTAACAATAAGGAAAATAAAGGCTAATGAGATTATATCACTCAAGTACCATGGTTTAAAAAAATAATAAGGTAGGCCAATCAATAAAGAAATAATTGAAGCAATTATTAGATTATATTTTCTGACGAAAGAATTTGCTTTCAATAGACAGGCCATCTATAATATAATTAATTTAAATACTTCTGCTGAAACAAAGAAAATTGCAAATGTACCAATAGTGCATGCAAGAACAATAAAAAAATATCGAATAAAATTAGAAAATCCTGTAGCTATAACAATAGTTGCTCCACTTGCATATAATAATATATAGATTCCAATAACTAAAAATGTAATTTCAAATCCTTAGAAATCTTATCCATTTCTTTTCCATCTAAATGAAAGGATTCTAGTATATTTTGCTAAAAATGCAATCAATATAGTTGAAATGATTAATAAAATTGGTAAACTCCAATCAAATGTTAGATCTCTGAATGATTTATCACATGTAAATATCATTAAAAATTCTATTAATTCTGTATTCTCTTTACTCACTTCATTAAAACCAATATTCACATATATAGGAGTCCAATAATTTTCAGATGTTAGATCAACTTTTTATGGACACTTCTAAATTAACTTGAATAAGATTTCACTTTAAGGTCTTAAAATTGTGTCATCTGAAAGTACTTCTGTTGAAAGAGTTCTCTTAATAATTTTATAGAATACATAGTTGTACTTTTTTCTGATGTTTACAAAGCATAAACATTGTAAGAAACTTTATCATTGTTATAAATTCTTAATGTTTGATTTGAATATCCAATAACATCACTTGTACTTGAAACACCAAATGATTTCGGAGGTTTACATGTTACTCCTTTATCTAAATTCTTTCTTAGGAATTCAAATTAAACTTCATTGTCCTCATAAACTAAATATTCATCATAGTCTTCTTTAATAAATATCTTCACATTCTAACCTAATATCAATAAGGGTAAATATAATAATAAAATTTACATTTATTTATCTTATAATTAAATATAAATTTTTTCTAACAAAATATATTCAAATTAATATTTTACATAAGAAAACTATTCAAATTAAATCAAATATATTCTTAATAGAATTTAATAAGTTATTTACTTTGTTTTGTTATAATATTTATATCATCAATCAATTATTAAAATGACTAACGATCAATTTAAATTATTAAATATTTTTAATATTCAAAAATGAGTAATCATCCTGCCTCTACAAGACCTCCTTAATAAGCTTAAACAGTTGCTCCATAACATCCTATTGCTCCATCACATCCTATTGCTTACTCACCTCCTAGAACTTATGCTCAACCAGTTGGATTTGCAAGTCCTTCATATTTACCTGTCTAATAATCTTTTGTTGGTTCTCCTGTTCAATACGTCCCATAATAAGTAGCTGTTCAACCTGTTGCTGTTTAACCAGTAGCTGTTTAACCTGTTGCTGTTTAACCAGTTTAATAGGTCATTAAAGGTGAAAGCAGAATTGAGTAGAAATATAAATTCAATTTTTTTTAGATATATCCCTTATGAAAAATCAGTTATTGAATATGAAGAAGTAAGATAAAGAATCTAAGTTCCAAGAGAAAAATATGTAACAGAATATTAAGCCATTGAATATTAAACTGAATATATCCCATAAGTTTTCTATGATAAAGTTACAGGTTGTTAAATAATTATAATAATTAGAATACGTTCCTGTAGATAGATTTTAAGATAGAGTTGAATATTATCCAGTTGAAAGACAAGTTGTTCATCAACCAGTTTAATAAGTAGTAGCATAACCAGTTGTTTAATCTGTGGTTCAATAAGTCCCTTAATATGTTGCTCCAATCTAACCAGTTGTTTAACCAGTTTATTAACAACCTCAAATTTAATATGCTTCTTATGTTTAACCTAATTTTGTACCTTCCAGAATTGCTCCAGTCTCCTATGCTCCTCCATAATAATATGGTCCTCCAGTATCATAACCAAGAAGAAATGTAAAATTTATATTTAAAATCATTAGTCCCCTCCAGCAAAACCATTACCAGCCTAAAAGCCACAACCATAAAAGGAAAAAAAATCCTTTTTAGACAATATCTTTAGTTGATATTAATATTATATGCACAAAATATTATAACTAAACCTTATTAAATTATTTCTATAAATTATGCATTTTTAATTTATAAACCTAGAAGACTTTAATTTTCTTAAATACATATAAATATATAAAATACAATTATGTTTCATTTAAATAAAGTAATGTTATATTAAGGAGATTAAATAAAATTATTTTTTTTTGATAAGTAATGATATATTTTTTAAAATAATCTTTGAAAGCTTTTTTCAATTTATTAATATTTATCAAAAAGTACTCTTAATATCTTGAATAGATACTATGAAAATTTAAATATATAAATGAATGACTTATTAACAAAGTTGAATAATATTTTCTTTTTTTCTAAGCAATTCTGAATATAATTTATTTATATTTTTACTGCAATTTCAAATTAATAATTTATTGCTCATAACAATAACTGATTAATAAAACACTCTATATATGTTAAAATCGTAATTTATTTGATAGTAATAGAAATATAATATTAATAAGAAATTTCATCTCAAAAGAACTTAATTATAATATATATATCCGAGTTATACCATCTTATTATCACAAAATCATATAAATATAATTATTAAATAATTATCTTATCCAATGAGAAATGATAATGTAATTTCTACAAAAACAGAACCAATTTTTAATAACTATGATCTTTTTAAAGGTATTATAAATTCCTTAAATAGGCCCTTTTTAGTATTCACCTTTCACAATAGGTCATCCAGACTAGCCTGATGATGATCATTCAGTTCGAGATCCAACTGTGAAAACCATAGAAAAATCAAAATTCACTCTATCTCCTATTCATACTAATTAAGAGGTGCTATTTTTCAAGGTATTTAAGATTTCTAATGATAAATTGTCTTGTCACATTGAAGAAAGTAGCTTCTAATTATTTTCAAGACCTACTCATAATAATTTAAAAAGGTTGTAAACTTATACTAAACCATTAAAATTGAAACAAAAATTCATAGATGTATTAAGTAAAACAATTAAAATGAATTACAAAATTATGAAGTTCATGTACTTATTTGATTTAGATTAATTGGGTTTATAAAGATAATGTAAAATTATATATAAAAATATAAAGATGTTCTACTACCAAACTCTGTAATCCTGAAAATTTGGAATATATTTTATTATCTTTTACTTTTTTTATATTTGCTTATAATTCCTATCAGTGAGAAATCTCATTAAGTTGCATTTCTAATATTGAAAATAGTAGACTGTAGTTTAAAAGCTTGTAGCGCTGTGGCTATTAATGGAGAAATTGAGAGTAATATAAATATAATTTTGAAAAAGTATTACAAAAAATATTTGATCTTTGATATAGTAAGTATTTAAATAACATATAGATATTTTTAATTAGTTTGATTTTAATAATTAGAGTAGAGAAAATTGATTGGATTATTCTCTTAATAAATATTTTAAGTATTTTACCAAGATTTACAGATTTACATAATAATATTTAATTGTATTTATTAATATTATTAGTTAGTGAATTTGATGTTTTTAAAGTATATTAATAAGTAATATTATTAATTATATAACAATGTATATTTATTCACATTATAACATGTTTTTGGATTTATAATATAGAAAATGATAATGAAGATAATTTTTCATAAAGATATTTGAAAACATTATAACTAATTGTAAGTATTACTACTTTCAATTCAAATTAAACTAATTTAAATGATAATAATTAAATAATAGCATATTGTTGTATCTCTATTTTATCATTTTATTACTTTGCATATTAATTTTCTATTTTAATTGAACTTTTTAAACCAGAACAAAGATCTTCTCAATTAAGTCATTTTTTTACTTAAAATAAATTAGATACAATATTAAAATAAAAAATAAGAAGTCATTTAGAAAATCAATCATAGTTTTCTCATAAAGAATTTACTGATAAACTTTCAAATAAATTGCTTAAAGAATATAATATAGTTTAAAGATAAAAATTATTAAGTTAACAATTCAAATATTTAAATAATTTTACATTAAAGTAAATTATTGATAATTGCATTGAGATAGTCTGTTAACCTAATGAAAATATATTTTAAGAAGGAATAACTGATGATTGTTCTTTATATTTTATATTAGAAGGATGTGTACATTTGAAATCAAGAACAAATATCATATTATTAACTTTAAAATAATTTGCTACATTTGGAGAATTATCTTTTTATACAGAGAATCCAAGAGATTTAACAGCAATAACAGATGGAACTACAAGATTAATAAAAATTTAGAGATCAACATTTTTATCTCTATTAAATTTTAATGAAAAAGTAACTTTGAAGAATTTAATCTTAGCAATTCTTTTATGAACAACGTGATTTGATACTTTTTAATTAGAAATTACCATCAGAATGTATTTGTTGTAATTCCCAATAACATATAATAACTAATTGTCCTTATTTAACTTATTAACCTGATTTAAGTTTCATATTAAAAAAATATATTTATCCTCACAAATAAAATAGAAAAGAATGTATAATATTATATTAATATATTTTTAAGATAAAAGAAAAAAGAGTAAGGATGTTAAAGCTTATAGTTTTTATAAATAAGCTTTAGATTTTGAAACAGCATTTTAAAATTTGGTTGAAGATTATTTATAGAATTTTTAATAAAGTTAAACATAAATTTAAATTGAAGAAAATCATATTAAAGATTCATATGTTAGTAGTTTTAGTAAAATAAGTAAAGAAAGATCATTTATAAAATCTACATCATTTTTAAAATAATAATCTGGTTTTGATTAATAATCTGTATTTAATAATGATAATCTAATGTAATATATATAATTAATATATAAATTTAGATTAAATGGAGATTAAAATAATGAATTTTAATTTATACATAGCAGTTAAGAATATGATCTGTCATCAAAATTTAGAACAGATTAATAAAAAAGAACTTTTAATACAGCAGGTTTTGGATCTTAAGGAGGACTTACTTCTAATAAAGAGATGACTTAAAATTTAACTGAAAAATCATTAAATATTATTATGGAGAATGATGATTCAGATTCACATCATGATTAAGAATAAAGATAATAGTAAGTTTAAAATGATATAAATGAAGAAAATATTATAGAAGATAAATTTATAAGAAAAAATAATGATCCAAAATTAACATTTAATAATAATTTTGAATCTTAAATGCATGATTAAAATTAAAATAGACTTTAACGTTTAGGTTCTGGATCCTATAGATAATAAAGTTCAATGAATAGTACATATTTACATCCTGAAGTTGTTAGTTAAAGATTAAATTCATCAAGATCACTAACTAATAATTAATATAAACCAAATCTCAATTAATCATAATATATAAAAAAATCTAGTTTTTCAATTCCTTAAAAATTAATTTAATAATCTCGTTAATTAGATAATTTTAATTAAGATGAAAATAAGAATTCAAATTTAATGAATCCATTTAGAAAATCTATGACAAGAATAGGATCCAAAGTTTCAAATATAGCATCTAGTTTTTCACCATTTAGTGCTTAAGAAGTATAATATATTTTAAATAGATACCTATTTATGCAAATAAATCTTTTGGTTTAGATGATTTTGATGTTATGTATGCTTTTGAAAATTATTTCACTCACAATAATTATGAAATAACAATTTTTTAGTAAATATTATTAATTAATATATTTAAGGGCAAATAAAATTAAAAATGTTGCAAAAATACGATTTTCTAAATATTTAACAGATTATAAATTAGTAAAGATGGTTGATAAATTAAAATAGTAAAGAATAACAAAATGAAAATCATTTTTTATTGAGGTAAATTGATAATATTATTAATAATAATGTTTTAATATAAATATTTTCATAATACTCTTTATAAATATCTCTTATTTATTTAAATCTATAAAAAAATGTAATTTATTTTTTAAAATAGATATACAATATTTAAATTGTGAATGTTATTAAAATAATATATTTATTTCACTTTAAAATAAAAAGTATTTCATTAAAATGAAATCTAAATCAAAAGAATAATTGAGAGAGTCTAATTCATATATAATATAAGAATCAGATGATAAATTCTTACAAAATTTATATATATATATATGTAGAAATAACTTATGATTTGATTTCTTCAAATAATCTAAATATATAAGAATTTTATTTTAGATTAATAACCTCTAATTGTGATTTATATTTATATTCCATTGTATTAGAATGCACTACTTATTACATCAGTATAACTATTAAATTAATTTTATTTTTTCATTATAAAAATATATATGAAAATTATTTTTGAATTTAATAATAATTCATTCATACAATATTGAGAAATAAGTTATCTTCTATTTTTCAATGATTATTCAAATAATAATAATAAAGAGAGGATAAATTCAATAATTATAATTTTATACTCAAGTAATTGATGAATATATTTAAAACTATTTTGAAATAATTTATTAAAATATACTATTTTCACTCTATTTCCTAAGAGTGGTGAATTTCAGTAGTTGATAATTAATAAGAAATATTACATTACAAAGAAAATAATAGTGCAATATATTAGATTGTGTAATCATATAATTGGTATTATTAATTAATGATGGATTATTAAGTATAGAAAGAGGCTGAAGTTATAATTTATAGACAATATTATTATTTATTTGTATATATAAAAAATGGGCTGTGTTGGTTAAAAACAGAATCAAAAACAATCATAAAATATGCTTCATTTACAAAGTCAGTCAATCTCAATTTATCATTCAAAAAGAAAAATGTGTATAGAATCTTTATCAATGGCTGATCCTAAACAATAAATTTAATTATATCAATCAATTGATATCTCAAAAGATTAAGAATTTGTTTTAAAGAGTGTTAAAAAGTTCATTCCTAAAAATTCAGAATCTCCAAACTCAACTCCAAAATTTAATCAAAGTCTTTCCTTCGGTATAGGAATTGGAAATCATAGAAATAAAGTTATTATATGAATAAAATAAAGGATATTGGAGAAATTCAGTCAATTTAATGATTATTAATATTTTATATTCTTTTTTATATTAATATTAGTAATTCTTAAGAAAATCTAAAAATTGATTAGCACTCATAATAATAATTAAAATATATTACAAGAATATTTGATTTATTTACATTGAAATCTGATAAAATCATTGTGTATACACTTAATTCAAAAGATTTGCATTAAGTATTCAATTATTACTTAACTGATTCAATTTTTATAATTAATATATATTTAACTTAAAGATTTTTATAGAACTAATACTTTTTATATCTTACTCATTTTCTTATATAAATAAATATTATCTTTATTTATTACTGAATAATTATCAAATTCTATATGTAAATAAGATTTTGAAGTATTGTCATATTATTGTAATAGTCTAAATTATAAAGCATTTTATTTAAAATAGATTATATTTGTTTTGATTAATAGATATCTCTAAACTCATATATATATATATAGTATTAATTCATATTCCGATTAAATGACTGAAAATATAGGTTGATTTAAATTAGATCATCATATATTAATTAATATAACAACAAATGTTAGAAAAAAAGTAATAATATTTTGAATTTTTTAAAAGTATATAAAACTTGTATTGTGATTGCTAAGAAAATAAAACAAAATATTACATTTGTTAATTAATTAAATTTATCTGACTTTGAATATATGAGAACAACTCCTAATAGTTTCAAAGAAACTGCTTCCAAGACTTCAACTCAAGATTATAAAAAATAATAATCTCAACCTGTATGTTAAATTCATTTATTATTAAGACTGTTAGTATACCAGAATCTAGTTAATTATTTCACATTCCTTAAAAATACTGTCCTTAACGCTTCAAACCATAACCAACAATATCTAAATCTATTGAAGATAAGAGATGTAGAGTCAATAAAAACAATCTATCAGAATTAAATAATCGAACAAATAGTAGTTCAAAAAGTCGTATTTCAGGATTTACAAATAATTAATTAGAAGATGATTCAATGTATAGTTCATAGAATGCATTAAAATTAAAGAAAATAATAGGTGATTCATAAGCATATACTACTAATTTATTTGTGTAAATATTTTATTCTTATCTTTTTATAGTTCTAAATCTAACTTAACTTGTGATTCATCAAGTCCAGGAGGCAGATAAAATAAATCAGCTTATAAAAAATCTATAGATTTTGATATTAATCGATTTAATATGTTAAAAGAAAAAACATTGATGCAAAAAAAAGCATAATCATAATAATAAGTTAATCAATCAAAAGAATTGATAGATTAATTTTTAAATTTAGATAAATAGATTCAAGGTTCCACATTAGAATAACAAAAAAAATAGTAGTATTTAAAGTAAAGAGGATTATGGGATCCATTCAAAGATTTATTTATTAAACAATTTGCCAGAGTTCCAATTTAATTTAAAAGTGTTTTTAATTAATTATAAATCTAAGTCAGAGAAATAGAATAATAATGGTCAGATATCATTATGTAAATAGCAAATAATTTATTTGAATTATTATAAAATTCTGCAATTCTAATGGTATATGAATAGGATTTAAAATTAAATGAATTGATTGAATAAATGAAAAGAGAAAGAGATTTTTGGTAAAATAATTATAAATCTCTTGAATAAGAAAGAGATATTCTTTTAGAAACTGTTTCTTAATTAAAATAAACTTTAGAAAAAGAGAGACCTCTTTAATTTAATAAAACAGATAAAAAATAAATTGATCTTGATTCTGTTAATACTTCATAATTAAAAGAAATGACTATATTAATGTAATAAAAAATTTAAGAAATGTCTGAGAAAGAATAAAAATTAATTAAGTTAGTATTAGCAATTCGTAGAACAGGAATTGATATAGAAAAGATATATAATGAAGAAGTTTTAAATGATGATTCTTTATCAGAATAACAAAATTAATCTAATAGAGAGAATAAGTAATTTTTATATATATATTATTTAGATAGTTGATTCCAAAGATTGAAAGAAGTTTTCATGATGCTGATAATTCTGTTGTAAATGATTCAGATGAATCTAGTTTTTAATATAATGGAAGATTGGAAGATGAAAGTATTATTGAAAGTATTAGAAGATTTGAAAACAGAAATTAAAATAATATTTATGCTACAGAAAGTAAGAGTTCTGTTAAAATGAAGATAGATTTATCAAAATGTAATTAATAATAATAAAAAATATAATAATTATAATAGTTATAGTAATAATAACAATTAAAAAAAATTTAACAATAAATATAATAATAAAATATAAATAAATTGAAAATTCCAGATTAAGAAGGGATAGGATTTCATTAAGAATTTATGATGAAATTTAATGAATTTTCTGAAAGTTGGAGAGTATAAGTATTAAAAGATGAAAAGAAAAATAAATCATGATTTTTTCTATAATTTTAACTAAATTTTGATATCTATTAATTTACTTACCTTTAAGATATTAAAAATTATAATTATCTTTATTTAAATTGTAATTATTTATTAATATTATCTATATTATTTTTTATAAAATAAGAATATTATAGATAATTTCATATTATATAACTAAGATACTATAATATTTTATTATTATTGCAGAATTATATACAAATATTTTTATTAAAATTAGAAACCTTAAATATTCTGCTTATTAAGTTGAACTATATGCTTTTTTAAAAACACATTATTACCTTGTTAATAAATTTTTACAGATAATTATTAAAAATTTGAATTTGATTACAATTAGTTCATATGAACGAAGCAATCAAAATTTTTGTAAGAATGAGACCTCCTCTCTAAAATGAAGATGAAGAAGCATGGAAGATCTAAAAAGAATCAAACACTATTATATCACTACCTAGAGATCCTTAAACAACTAGAAGATATGCTGATGCTTTCTATAATTACCAATTCACTTTTGGTATAAATCTTTGTTTAATATAGACAAGATCTTTTCAAATGAGGATAAGAATGAAGATATTTATAAACATTGCAAATAACTTTTGAATTATACTCTATAAGGATTCAATTCAAGTCTATTTCTTTATGGATAAACTACTTCTGGTAAAACTTACACTATGCTTGGAGATTAAGAAAACCCAGGATTATTACCATATACATTACTTGACTTATTTAAGGAATGTTAATTACCTATTGCTATTAGTTATATTGAAATATATAATGAATAGGTTTAAATTAATATATAATTTATAGATTAATGATCTTTTATAATAAGGTGCCACAAACCTAAAAATGTAGGACATAAATGGATAAGCCTTTGTTAATTAATTAAGAATTTAATAAGTAGAGAATTTTGATGATGCTTTGTCTTTGTTATGTGATGGAGAAGAATAACGTATGTATAGAGAAAGATAAATTCATGAACATTCTTCTAGATCACATACAATATTTCAAATATTAGTATAACATGAATCACACACTTCAACTTTAAGTCTAATAGATTTAGCTGGTAGTGAAAGATTAAATGAAGAAGATGCTTCAGATGAAACAGCATATATCAATAAAAGTTTATTTGTTTTAAGTAATGTTATAAATAAGTTGGCTGAAGGAAAAAAATCACATATTCCTTATAGGGATTCAAAACTCACTAGATATTTATAAAATTCTTTAGGTGGTAATTCATATACAACTATTATTTGTACTTTATCTCCTGCTTCAATGAATTTTTATTAAACTCTATCAACATTAAGATTTGCATAAAGAGCAAAAAAGGTTGAAAATAAAATATATAAATAAGAATCTTTAAGTAAATCTGGTTTAATAGAGGCATTATAAAAGGAATTGAATGATATAAAAGTAGAAAGAGATTAATTAAAAATATAATTGTAACAATAATAATCAAATAACAACTTTGATTAAATAATAGATGTTTTTATATAATACATTGCTTTATAAGTACATGATAAATAAAAATTTATTGAAGATACAAATATTTTAAAAGATGTTTATAATCAATAACATAAATAATTAATTCAATCTTTATATAATTAGATTATGTAAATATGTTAAGATTGTAATTTACCTAAAGGATTAAATAATCCTATGAGTAATTAAACATAAAAAGTATTTGTATAATAATTCAAAGAATTAATTAATAAATAATTATAAGAAGAATCAATTTTTAATAATGTCTATGTTTAATCAATATTAAATCCATAATCAGATTTTCAATCATATTAAACTTAATAATTAATGCCAATTTTAGAATCTGCATTTTAAGAAGCTATGAATGCTTTATAAAATAAATTAAATGAAATAACATCAGTTGTTTAAAATATAGGTGAATTATCATATTAAAATTAAAAAATTTTTGATGATAAAAGTTTAAAAAAGTATTTTGAAATAGTAAATAATGAATATAATTGGATGAAATAATGTAAATTATAATTAAATGAACAATTTAATAAGAAAACTTAAGTATTATAATAAGCATTTAATAATGTTTCAAAAAATCTTAATGATTCTCGTTTAAATTCTTAAAATAATAATAATAAATAATAATAATAATAATTATAAAATATTACTAATATAATTAATCCTAATATAAGATAATCTACAAATACACCTAAATTTACAGAAAGAGATAAAACAGCATTATTTGTTTGGGGATCTGGTAAAGATGGTAGACTTGGTACTGGTTCATTAGCTAGTTAACCAATACCATATAAAGTATAAATTTAAAATCTATAATATATTTCATGTGGATATTATCATTCTGCTGCAATTAATATTGAATAATAATTATTTATTTGGGGTAAAAATTATGATTTAACACCTTAAAAATAACCTTAATTTAATAATATTATTTAAGTAGCATGTGGATGTCAACATACATTAATTTTAGATTCATTAGGATAAGTATTTTCTTGGGGTATTGGAGATGAAGGATAATTAGGAAATGAATCATACTTTAATTCTGATGAACCTGTCAAAATATTAGATAATATCATATATATAGAGGCAAGTAGATCTCATTCTGCAGCAATAAATAAAGATAATTTATTTTATAGTTGGGGTTCTAATATAGATTATAGACTTGGATTAGAAGAGAAAAAAAACTACAATATTCCTACTAGTACAGGAATATAAGTAAATAAAATATCATTAGGAACAAATCATTCAGCATTTATTAGATAAGATGGTATAGTATTTACAACAGGAAATGGATAATAAGGATAATTAGGAAATAAGATTAATTCTGAATGTTACTTAAATTTATAATTAGATATAAAAGCTGTTGATGTAATATGTGGAGAGGATATCACATTATTTATTAATAATAATGGTGATGTTTTTAGTTGTGGAAAGAAAAGTAATGGAAATTTAGGACATTTAATGTCTTCAATTCCAGCATTTTTATAATAACCAAAATAAATAGAAGGATTATAAAAAATTAAATAGATAAGTGTTGGTAAAAGACATTGTTTAGCAATATCTTCTAATAAATAAGTTTGGGGATGGGGATTTAACTTTTTTGATTAATTAGGTTTAGGAGATAAAAATAGATTCATAGAATAGTAAATAATTATTTTATATATAAAAATAGGCCAATTAAACTTGATCTTTAAGATGTAATTTAAGTATCTTGTGGAGAGTACCATTCTTTGGCTTTATGTTAAAATTGAAATTGAATAGTTTATTTATTATTATTATTATTATATAAAGAGAAATAGTCTATAATATTTTGATTATTTTGAAAAAGTTAGTGGATTAGTAAATTTAAATCTTATATTATAATATTATTTGATTAACAATATAAATTTAGATAGTTATATATGAGATTTGAAAAAGTAATTTGAAATTTATTCTAAATAATAGAATAGGGTTCTATAATAAGTAATATGAAAAGAATTAATGTCAAGTAATTTAAAATTATATATATAAATATTCTTAAGGGATATATATAGAAATTTTATATTAATTATTTTTTACAAATGAGAAGAAACAACAATAGAACATAAAATAATATGAGAGTAGTCTCATTTTAGAGTGTGTTCTCTGAAACTCTTCCTAGCACATCAGTATTTTGGTAACCAGATAATAGTCCTAGAGAATCATAATTAACTATATTATAAGGTTAACTTTTATTTAAAAATGAAAATGACTCTTGGGAGAATTATTTATTCGAACTCTAACCTGATCGAATGTTTCGTTTTATTGGAGATCAGACTGATTGTTGTTATTTAAGGGGTTGTTTTTTAAAAAAGTTTAATCATTATGATGCATAATATCCTTCTTATAAATATGGATTTAGATTATAAATGGGATAATATTTAGCATTTTTTGTGACAGATATATTAGATTAATTTAAAAAATGGTTTATGATGTTAAAGAGATTTTGTATATTAGAAAAATTTACAAGAAAATATAGAGTGATAGCATAATTAAGATATAATGATCCTATATTTTAATAAGTTTGCTTTAATTGTGTTAGATTATCTGATGCATAATATTATTTAGTTAAAATTATAAACAAAGAAATGTCACAATAATAGAAGAATATGATGTTCAAAGAATTAATGCATTTGAGAAGATTGAAGTACCAATAATCTGTAATGCTAGCCATCCTTAATTGATGAGGCTGATTGAAATATATGAAGATGAAATGAATATATACTAAGTATTTGATCCATATATGGGTGGAGATTTAAGATAACATTTGAGAGAAACCCAATTAGCATAAGAAGTAGGTGGTTAAGTGGAAGAAAAAGTATTAGCAGATATGATGTATGGATTGATAGGAGCAATAACACATATGCATTAAAGAGGAGTATTTCATAGAGATATAAAATTGGAGAATTTATTTGTACCAGAAAATAAAAGATTACCATTTGTTTTATTATCAAATTTTTGTTATTCAGAATCATTTAAATTAATGGGTTAAAATTAAGGAAGTTATAAAAAATGTGGTACACCAGGTTATGTTGCTCCTGAAATTTTTAGATCTAGAAATTATGATTAAAAAATAGATGTATTTAGTCTTGGAATAGTATTTTACATTTTAGTATTTGGAAAGATGCCATTTGAAGGATAAGATTAAGATGAAATTTTAAGAGCAAATGAAAAATGTGAAATAGATTTTAAAGCTGAAAAAAGATTATGTAAGAATTTATCATAATCTGGAATGGATATGATGAAAAAAATGTTAAATAAAGAACCTACTTAAAGATTTACATCTGCTTAATGTTTAAATCATCATTGGTTTATAAAAATGAAATGTAAAGATGAAACTAAACCAAGAAATTAATTTTAATAATAAAGAAGTCTCTCAACAATTATTGAAAATTCTGAAATGGAATTAACATAAAGGTATATATTCCATTTATTTAATATAGTTTTATTCGTCCTTTTAAAGAACCAAGTTAATATATGACATCTAAAAAGAATCTTCCAACTTCAGTTGTAAGAAAAAACTAATAAAAATAAGACACAATTGAAAAAATAGATAAAGAATTTATTTATGATACTTTAGAAGGAAAAATGAATTATATTAATTAAGAGACTTTTGTAAAAGCACCATCAAAGATTAATCATCATTGATATGAATATTATAAATAATAAAATAAATTTATTCATTTTTTTTTGTATTCTAACTTCCATAATAAATCATCAGTTATTGATATTCTAGTATTATTCTCTATTAAAATATCTCAATCTTATCTTTTTTCATTTATATATGGAATCCATATTTTACATATAATAGGTTCATTTGGATTATATATTTCTATACCTAATAATTTTTCATATACATCAAAATTCCATCAAGTTTCTAAACATAATAATGAAATCTATCATCTACTTAATCATAAAGAGATATGAAATTCCTATCACATTTATCTGACAATTTCTCACTGAAACAAATTCCATTCATGACATTCATTATCAAATTACTTTTCTATTATTCATCAAAAATATTTAAAATGTTTTTCCGTTTTATTGTCAAGATGCTTAATTCTTATCATAAAACCTTATTTTATATCTTCTAACTATTATAATCAAATTAAATACTTTTTTATTTTCATTCGATGTTACGCATACCATTTATTTTTAATGTTATAAATCGAAGTTATTTGCTTTGGATTGGCTGTTGAAGTAGAACGATTATAGTCTCTCAATAAACAACTTAATCAAGATATCGATCAAGCAAATCTTCAAAATAAAAACTCACAAACTCTCATTGATCAATAAACTATAGAAATCTAATTGCTTCAGACAAAATTAGATGACATCAATAAAGACTAAATCAAACTATTAAATCAATACAAATCTTTATAATAATAACATCTTCATATAACTGATTTAATTAATTAAATTACAGCTGGCCAAATAACCTTAGAATAGTTAAAGGAATTGATAGATGAGCTCAAAAACAGATCCATTTTATATGATGAAATTTAAGAATTACTATAAGGATAGGATATATAAGATGTGATCTCTAAAGCTGAATAGTTTTAATTGTAATGCAATATAAATTAAGAGTTGAGAGATTAACTAGAATAGTATCCTGAAATTGTCATCAAACTCAATTAAGATTTGGATAAACATAAATAGGATTTATTCAATAATAAGTAATGTATTACCGATATGGAATAAACTATTCTAAATCTTAATCAAGAAATACATATCTTGAAATAATTAATAGAATAAGAATAAAATAAGAACTCTTCAAATCAATCCTAAATGTCCCTATCATTAGAAACTTAATTAAATGAACTCAGACTTAAATTATCTTAAAATGAATAAAAAACTGAAGAATTAGAAGATGAAGTTGAATAAGTCAATTTTTTTAAAGCTTAAATGGAATCATAACTTTAAGAAATTCTTAAAGAAAACAATAAAATTCTTATTGATAAAGAAAAGTTAACATCTGATAATTTAAGTCTTAATACACTTAATGAGAATCTTTAATAGTAATTGAATATATAGATAAGTACAAATTAAGATTTAAATACTTAAATAATTAAATTGGAAGATTAAGTTAGATAACTTAAGAATTAATTAGTAGAAGAGAATGATCTAAAAATTTAAATTATAAGATTAGATGCTTAAATATAATCTTAATATGAAAGAATATAAATGTAAGATAATGAAATATAAGATTTAAATCTTAAAAATTAAGAATATAAATAAAACAATTAATAATCCTTAAATAAATATTAGGATCTCTTTAATTAAAAAGATAATGAAATTTATGATCTTAAATAGATACATATAGAACTTTAAGATCAAATATCTGAACTATAAAATTAAATCAAAAATCTAAAACTTTAATTATAAGTTGATGCTGATGAAATTAATTAACTTAAAATTTTACATTCATAATTTTAAGGATAGAATGATTCTTCTAATTCTATAATTATTAATTTCTAAACTTAAATTTAATAATTTAATTAAGAAATTTAGAATCATATCCTTAAAATATCATAATAAGAAACTATAATATTAAATTAATAATAATAATTTATTAATGAAAAATTAGAGCTTTAAAATCATTACTAATAAATTATTGAAAAACTCTAATTAGAGAATAAATAATTATTGGATTAAAGTGATTAATAATTTCAAAGTTTGGAAGATTAAGGTAATCAAATTTTATAACTTTCCTCAGAAAATTAAGATTTATAAGATATAATTGATTAAAAAGAGCAAGAAATAGATAAATTAAATCTTTATGTTAAGAAATAATAAGAAATTCATGAAGGTAATATCAAAAAAAATGAAGCATTTGAAGAATAAAATAGAGAATTATAATTTAAATAGAGTTCATTTTAAAAGACAATTAAGGATTTATAAACATAATTAGAGAGTCTTAAATTTGAAATAATTGAGAAAGATTAATTAAAATAAAAGAAATTATAATTGGAATAAGATATAAACAAACTAAATTAATTAAATGCAGAATTAAATTAATAAATTTCAACTATGAAAATTGAAATAAATAATTATTAAATTTAAATAAATAATTTAAATTTATAAATAAACAATAATGAAATTGAATTAAGAAGCTCATTTTAAGAAAATAATTCATCTGAAAATTAAATTAAAGAATTATTTATAAAAATTTAATAACAAGAAGTTATAATTAATTAATAAGATTCATAAATTAAAGAAGATGAATTTAGAATTTAGTAACTTATGGATGAATTACAAAAACTAAATTAAAAAAGCAAAGATTATTATAAGAAATTTGAAGAATAAGAGATTTTTATTAAATAATTATAATTAGAATTAAATGAATTAAGTAATGATGTAAAGAAATTAGAAAATGAATTAGATCTTAAAGAATAAGAATATAATGAATTAGATGATGAATATAATCATATTTGGAATTAATTAAATACTTTAAAAAATGATTAATATTCAGATACATAAATTCAAGAATTAAAATAATAACTAACAAATTCAAAATTAGATTAAGTCAAATTGCTTGAGGATTTGGAAAAATTAAAGTAATAATTAGTAGATAAAGATTCATAACTTAATTAAAAGGCTATGGTTATTGATAAGTTTAATGTTAAATCAATGAATTAAATAAATGAAATACGTTTATTAAAATAAGAAATTGAAAATAATCAGATTGTAATAGAAAATTACTAATAGAAAATTTCTAAACAGGAATAATATATTTAAGATCTTTTGAAATCTTTAGAGAGTGAGAAATAATGTTAAAAATCTCAAGTAAAAGATAATACAGATAATTAAAGAGTATTTGAATTGCAATAATTAAATATGAATTTAAGCAAAGTTATAGATGAAAAGACATAAAAAATATAATAATAAGAATAAGAAATCATAATACTCAATGAAAAAATAAGAGAAACATAGATTTATATTAGAAGTATGGAAATTTAATTCAATGAATTGAAATTAAAATATGAATAATAAATATAATAGTAGACAACTTATTAGAAATCTAGCTTCATTTAAAACTCAGAAGATAATTTTGATGAACTTTAATAAAAGTATCAATAAATTCAATAGAAATATGTTTAATTATAAAGAGATTACTAATTATTATTAAATAATTAAACAAAACTTGAAGAATATGAAAACAAAATCGCATTGCTTTCTCTAGAAATTTCAAGATATAGAAATTCATCTAAAAAAAGTACACCATTGATCAATAGAGAAGGTTCTTCAAGTGTTAAAACAAGTAAATTTAACCTTGGAGAATTATAAAGTCCTATTCATGAAGAATTGAAAATTGAGTAATCTAACAATAGTCAAATATTAATTCAACCTTTTAATAATCCTAAAATTGATGAACAATATGGACTTATGGTATTNAATAAATAATTTAAATTTATAAATAAACAATAATGAAATTGAATTAAGAAGCTCATTTTAAGAAAATAATTCATCTGAAAATTAAATTAAAGAATTATTTATAAAAATTTAATAACAAGAAGTTATAATTAATTAATAAGATTCATAAATTAAAGAAGATGAATTTAGAATTTAGTAACTTATGGATGAATTACAAAAACTAAATTAAAAAAGCAAAGATTATTATAAGAAATTTGAAGAATAAGAGATTTTTATTAAATAATTATAATTAGAATTAAATGAATTAAGTAATGATGTAAAGAAATTAGAAAATGAATTAGATCTTAAAGAATAAGAATATAATGAATTAGATGATGAATATAATCATATTTGGAATTAATTAAATACTTTAAAAAATGATTAATATTCAGATACATAAATTCAAGAATTAAAATAATAACTAACAAATTCAAAATTAGATTAAGTCAAATTGCTTGAGGATTTGGAAAAATTAAAGTAATAATTAGTAGATAAAGATTCATAACTTAATTAAAAGGCTATGGTTATTGATAAGTTTAATGTTAAATCAATGAATTAAATAAATGAAATACGTTTATTAAAATAAGAAATTGAAAATAATCAGATTGTAATAGAAAATTACTAATAGAAAATTTCTAAACAGGAATAATATATTTAAGATCTTTTGAAATCTTTAGAGAGTGAGAAATAATGTTAAAAATCTCAAGTAAAAGATAATACAGATAATTAAAGAGTATTTGAATTGCAATAATTAAATATGAATTTAAGCAAAGTTATAGATGAAAAGACATAAAAAATATAATAATAAGAATAAGAAATCATAATACTCAATGAAAAAATAAGAGAAACATAGATTTATATTAGAAGTATGGAAATTTAATTCAATGAATTGAAATTAAAATATGAATAATAAATATAATAGTAGACAACTTATTAGAAATCTAGCTTCATTTAAAACTCAGAAGATAATTTTGATGAACTTTAATAAAAGTATCAATAAATTCAATAGAAATATGTTTAATTATAAAGAGATTACTAATTATTATTAAATAATTAAACAAAACTTGAAGAATATGAAAACAAAATCGCATTGCTTTCTCTAGAAATTTCAAGATATAGAAATTCATCTAAAAAAAGTACACCATTGATCAATAGAGAAGGTTCTTCAAGTGTTAAAACAAGTAAATTTAACCTTGGAGAATTATAAAGTCCTATTCATGAAGAATTGAAAATTGAGTAATCTAACAATAGTCAAATATTAATTCAACCTTTTAATAATCCTAAAATTGATGAACAATATGGACTTATGGTATTATTATTTGCTGAAATTGAAGCACTAAGAATGTAAGATATCAATAGATAAACATTTTAAGATGATAAAAGTAAGGTTTCATGTCTTATGGATTATTACAGAACTAAAAAGCCTGTATGATTAAAATACATTATAACAATAAATTAGAAAATATATTTATACAATTTTATACTTACTTATAATAATATATTCCAATTATTTATCTAAGTAAGGTAATAATAAATATATATATATTTAATTAAACTAAATAAAATTTTAATATATCTAATAATTGACATTATTATTTTTTAGAATAATTAATGAAAGCTTTAATCTTTGGTGGATCAGGATCATTAGGTCGTTCAATGGTTAAAGTATTTAAAGGATGGAAATTGACGAATGTTGATTTCAACAAGAATTAAGAGTGTGATGACAATATTATTATTAAGAATTCAAACGATATCCATTTTCTGAAATCTGAATTAAATACACTTGGTTTTTATATATAAATATATACTTATAGACAAATTTAATTGCATAATTTGTGTAGCTGGAGGATGGACAGGAGGATCAATAAAAGATGAAAATGTTCTTTAAGTTTATGAAGATATGAATTAAAAGAATGTACTACCTGCTTTTGTCTGTAGTCATTTAGCTACAACATAATTATCTAGATAAGGTTTATTAATCTTTACAGGTGCTTATTCTGTATTTAATGCACCTACACCAAGTATGATTGGATATGCTTTGGCAAAGACAGCTGTTCATACTCTAGCAATTTAGACTGCTGTAAGTACTCATTTACCAGAAGATTCTGCTGTGATAACTCTATTACCGTATACTTTTATCATAATTTTTAGAGAAACTATTGATACTCCTGCCAATAGATAAGCCATGCCAAAAGAAGATTTTACTAAATGGGCTAATCCTGATTAGATTGCAGGTTTAGTTAGATCATGGGCTGAAGGTTTAAATAGACCTAAGAATGGAGCATTTGTTCATTTAAGAGTAAAAAATGGTTCAATTGCACCTGATTTTCTTTGATCATTTTATAAATGTCACATCAGAAAAATCACTATTCTATAAAATATACTCAGCATTGACTTTGTCATTTTCTATTGCTCTCTGTATACCTTTTTCTAAACTGTCCTCTATACCACATACATAATGGCGTTATCCAATCATTTATGCATTAAATTCTTTATCTATAAAGAATTTCTGATCAAAAAGATGCTTTAAATCCCATTCTTTTAAAAATNGAGTAATCTAACAATAGTCAAATATTAATTCAACCTTTTAATAATCCTAAAATTGATGAACAATATGGACTTATGGTATTATTATTTGCTGAAATTGAAGCACTAAGAATGTAAGATATCAATAGATAAACATTTTAAGATGATAAAAGTAAGGTTTCATGTCTTATGGATTATTACAGAACTAAAAAGCCTGTATGATTAAAATACATTATAACAATAAATTAGAAAATATATTTATACAATTTTATACTTACTTATAATAATATATTCCAATTATTTATCTAAGTAAGGTAATAATAAATATATATATATTTAATTAAACTAAATAAAATTTTAATATATCTAATAATTGACATTATTATTTTTTAGAATAATTAATGAAAGCTTTAATCTTTGGTGGATCAGGATCATTAGGTCGTTCAATGGTTAAAGTATTTAAAGGATGGAAATTGACGAATGTTGATTTCAACAAGAATTAAGAGTGTGATGACAATATTATTATTAAGAATTCAAACGATATCCATTTTCTGAAATCTGAATTAAATACACTTGGTTTTTATATATAAATATATACTTATAGACAAATTTAATTGCATAATTTGTGTAGCTGGAGGATGGACAGGAGGATCAATAAAAGATGAAAATGTTCTTTAAGTTTATGAAGATATGAATTAAAAGAATGTACTACCTGCTTTTGTCTGTAGTCATTTAGCTACAACATAATTATCTAGATAAGGTTTATTAATCTTTACAGGTGCTTATTCTGTATTTAATGCACCTACACCAAGTATGATTGGATATGCTTTGGCAAAGACAGCTGTTCATACTCTAGCAATTTAGACTGCTGTAAGTACTCATTTACCAGAAGATTCTGCTGTGATAACTCTATTACCGTATACTTTTATCATAATTTTTAGAGAAACTATTGATACTCCTGCCAATAGATAAGCCATGCCAAAAGAAGATTTTACTAAATGGGCTAATCCTGATTAGATTGCAGGTTTAGTTAGATCATGGGCTGAAGGTTTAAATAGACCTAAGAATGGAGCATTTGTTCATTTAAGAGTAAAAAATGGTTCAATTGCACCTGATTTTCTTTGATCATTTTATAAATGTCACATCAGAAAAATCACTATTCTATAAAATATACTCAGCATTGACTTTGTCATTTTCTATTGCTCTCTGTATACCTTTTTCTAAACTGTCCTCTATACCACATACATAATGGCGTTATCCAATCATTTATGCATTAAATTCTTTATCTATAAAGAATTTCTGATCAAAAAGATGCTTTAAATCCCATTCTTTTAAAAATAAATACAATCCTTCTACTACAATTATTTTATCATCTTTAGTAATTTGAATTGCATTTTCAACAGGATCCTTTACAGAATGTTAGAAATCTGGAAATGATCCAGTACCAGTTTCTCTTAAATTTGTTAAGTCTTTTTTGAATCTTTAATGGTCAAATGTAAATGCTGCTCCTCTCCTTTTCATTCCCTCTTCATTTAAATCTTTACGATATATGTGATAACCATCCATTGGAATTACTTTTACATCTGGGTATTATTAACATATCACATTTTTGCAGAAATATGTTTTTCCAGAACCAGGAACACCTGCTATAGCAATTATAATTTATTTATCTTCTTTTTGATTTAGAATCATAAAAAATTAAATATTAAAATAAAACTAATCACAGAAATATGGATATATGAATCTATAAATTATTCTCTTTATTTCTGAACTTTTAATCATAATTTTTAATAGTTTTCTACCATTATTTATTTCATAAATGCTTTGACTATACTTTTTAACAATATCTTATGCTCCAGATAAAGATAAAATTTTAATATTTTCAATTTTAAATTATTTTGATATTATCATTTATTTCAAATAAACAAATATCTAATTTATATGTTATAATTTGTAAAGATACTTTTGTTACTGCATAATCTATTATTTATTAATAATATAGTTAGAATCATTCAAAATTACTCCACTAATACTCTGTTTTCAAGAATTTCTCTCTTTTCTTTGAGGTTAAATAAATCATTAAAATCCAATCATATCATATTTCATTTAATCTAATTTTCTATATTTAAAAATAAGTAACTTATTTAATTTAATCAAATAAATCAAATCATTTTAGAATAATATATCACTTATAATTTAAGTAACGTTTTTGATGAAAATCTTTTTATTAAAATTAATATCATTTTAATACAATCTATATTTGCTATATTATACTTTTGTTTTATTTAATAATTTAAATCATAATAATAAACCCTTTATTAATATATCATTTCTGATTTTACATTTAGAAGTAGACTATTTTCTAAATAACCTAAAAATACTAATGCTTTAAGTGAAATTGCCATTTTATATAATTTGTATAAAATAATAAGACAATTCAGTTCTTGTTTAGCAAAGACTCATTATGATTTTTAGTACATTAAAAATTTTTCAGTTTAACTGATAGTACTTTTTTATCTAAATTAGATTTTTGTAAAGAATTTTAATAATATAATTAATACATTTTATAAAATTTAGTTAATCAATTTGACTCTATTAGTTATTTATATTTATATCAAATAATTAAATTATATACATTTGTCATTATTATTTGATATTAACAAATAGATATTGTAATTAAAAATAAAAATATAAACTAAAACTCTTAAAAGAATTTTTGATCATTTAAGAATAATATAATTTTAACAGAATATTCTATCTCAACCAAGATTTGTAGATTGAAATTTATTTTATTTTTAAACAACACAATAATTTTTCACTTATAATATCAAATATAAATTATGAAAAATAAAATATAATAATTTGAAAGAATAGTAAATACCAAATGATTTGTTTAGTAAGTATTTTAATGAAATTTATTCAAGTTTTTTATTTAATTACTTTTTTCTAACTTTATTAAATTTAAATCAAAATTATTCAGAATAATACAAATAAAATTATACACCACATGAAATCGTATAATTAATATAAGAAACTCTATTTATAATTTTTTTGAGATCTAATAAATTTAAATTAAATAAATTAAAATGAAAATCGATCAATTACAACCTTATAGTCCAATTTATGGTGAGGAGACTGATACTATGAAAGGAAAGGAAGTATCTTTAATAGTATTTCCTAAAAGGTTTCTAAATCCTATGAGTACCTTCAGAATGAAAGGAGTATCTTAAATTTTTGATAATTTTTAAGGATTTCCATCTATTTGCAGATGCTAGATACATAAAATAGCATGATATGCTAAAAATTGGTATCAGTTGCCAAAATCCTTATAAAAAAATTTCCAAAATATTAGTTGATTAATCTGCTGGGGTGATCAAATTATGCTATACTTAACTTGATTTTTCAGAAACTCCCTGGGAATATGTGGCCAAAAGATTATAAAGTATGGGTGATGTTTAAATGAACTAATTGAGTGAATATATCAAAAAGTACTATGAAGAACTAAAATCTGGTTTATTGTAGGAAAATAAAGACTTTGTAATTGAATACATATTATCAAAATAATTTTAGATTCCCAAAGAAAATTACAGATCATTTGGAACATACCAATATAAGTATTTGAAGAGCTTAAATCAATTTTTTATCTCAGCTTTAATCTATGACATCAAATTAATTGAAGATTTAGGTTATTCAGTACAATATTTTATTGAATCCTGCATGAAGATTGGAATTCCAGAGTACAAAAATTTTATAAATAAATATCAAGAATATCTTTATAACCCGGGTGTACAAATGTTGATTACTACAAAAACGTTATGGAGTTCGCAAAGCCTTTGATGAAACCAACAGAAAAGTAAGATTTTTATTTATACTCCCCTCTCTATCCATAAGTAAGAAATTCTTGTTTATTTCGTTAGGGCCTAAAATGTGATGTAACTTTTTAAGTGACAAAAGATCATTCTGAAGAGGAGGGTGATGTACTCATTAATTTTAATTTTTATTTAAATTATGAGCCTTCATTACGTAATAATTAAGGACTTATGCTAAATAAGAAATTAAAGTCTCAAAATTGCATAGCACATTATTATGAATTGATGGATCATCATTATTTGAGGTGCGGGTTTAAGAAGACTAAGTTAAATACGTTGGTCTGATTAAGTGTATATATTGTGAGCCATTATTTGTCACCATTATAATTTCAATACAACTAAATGAAGAAATCTTTCTGCTCAACTTCATCCAGTCGAGAATTTATTCAAGTTAATCAATTTATTTACACTAATTAATATTAATAATAATAATTAATTATATTAATGATTTTCTCAACTTCTCATTTTAATTAAATTGTTAATGCTTAATAAAAAATGTTTAATAAATTTTATTATAATTATTTAAAAATTAAGCTCTCCAATCAAAAATAAACAGGAGTTTCTTCTTCATTTCCCAATATTTTTTAATTGTTTAATATAGGTCACCTTATGTACATTTCCATTAAATAATAATAATTATTTCAATATAACTTTAACTGGAATTTATAATTTCTAATACATAACCAAATTTGGAATTATAAATACGTAAATATAAGTTTTGTTATATATTTATAATTATGAAATAAAAAATAAATATATAATTTTTTGATGAATTATATTAAATTAAAATATATATTATTTTCAATATCTTAATGATAAGAAAGCTGCAGCACCTGCTCTAATCCAAACATCTTCATCATCTCTTGAAGGTAATTCAAGTGGCATAACAAAATTAGTAGAATGTCCTGTTGTTGAGAGTGTACCAGCCTAAACTTATTTTTAATCTTTACCCTTGAGACTACTTTATACAATGGACATTGGTATTTATATATTTTCTTCTCTTTTGGATCTTTTGGTTATACTTCAACTTATGATGGATCATATGGCAGTAAGTGCATTAAAGGTAAATCTGAATATAATTCCTTTACTTTTGGTTATGATATCAAATGTCTCTTGTAATCCCATCTAATTAATTTAAAATATTAATATACTTAGTTCCTTCAAGAAAGATTCCATAAATATAGACTCCATCTTCTGGTTTTTCAGTTACTCCTGTATGAGTTAAAGTATCCAATACTATATACTCATATTATAATTTATCAATAGCAATGATATGTTTTCTAGCATAGTTTTGTACCATTCCTGTTATAAAAGCTTAAGGGAAAAAGAAACCAGAAATCCAAAAAACTTTTGGTGTTCCTTTATCTACCCAATGTTTAAGAAATGCAATTCTATCTAATAAATCTTAAGTCCAAGAAGCTAAGGGTTTCAAACTTAAAAATCCTTTCTCTGCCCATAATTAAGGTACTTAATTATCATAAAGACTGTTTGATAATTTTTCCATTTCTTCAGACATCACAATTAAACCTTTAAGTGCTTTTTTCACATTAGAAAGTGTGGTTTTCATAATAGCAAGCAATCTATTATAACGTATAAGTTCTTGGACTAAAACAGTATTCATAGATTCTTGATAATCAGTAGGATATCTATTTGAAATCTCATCTATATCAAATAAATCAGGAGTCTTAGACTCAACAAAATTAGCTAATTCTTCAATAACATCTTCTCTACACTTTCCTGCTCCTTATTATGTTCTTGGTTGAATAGATTATAGAGTTTCTAAGAGAATTCTAGTTTCATTCTAAGCATTAGTTATTTCAGCATTACTATGTAATCCAAAGGCTTCAGGTTCAGGATTCAATGGTAATTTTTCTATATACTCTATGTAATTCTATCTTTCACCTACATTAGGTTAGTAATAAGTAGGAACTAGAAATTGATAGCCTTCCTTTAATGCTTCTTGAGAGATATATAATTTGAGGATAGTTTTTATTAATCTAACATCCTTATCATCAGTAACTCTGCCACCATAATTAATTTCTGCTCCAAGATAATTGATAACTTTGAATGGTATAAGTACATAATCATCTAATAAACTTTTTAGTTGTCTTCTACATACAGTAAGATCTTCATTAGTGAATTCATAAGGAATATTCCATCCAATAGCTCCAAATTTTCTTCTTTCCTAAATAATAGCATGGAATAAAGTAAATCCAAATAATAATTTTTTGAATTCTTCTGGTTTCTTACAATCATTTAATGTTTTATCATCTAATTAAGTGTAAGTTCTGAGCATATTATTTCTAAGACCTTTAGGTGGTTCAAGTGTCATTTTTACACCATTCTACAATACAATAGTTGGGAATGACTTTGAAGGCATAGATGTTAACCATAATCTAAAATCTTTTGTTCCTTAATCTTACATTTCTTCATTTAATTTTTCAAGATCATTCATCCAAGATGTTGCTAAATGACAATTCATTAATAATGCCCATCCACCTCTACCTAAAGCATCTTTAACTAATTTTTCAGCCTTTGGACCTTAACCTTATCCCAAAGAAATAGAATCAATTCTTTTAGTCATATTCATTTCTTCTGCAAATTTCATGAGATCTGCAATAGGATCTGAACCAGGAGACAAAACAAATATAAGTGGTGTATTTGGAGTAGAATCCTTGTAACATTTACTCAAATCAAATGTAGGTGGGATTATAAATTTCTCATCCATCTTTTCTATAATCCATTTTTGAATAGCTGGAATTACTTTATCACTTCTAATTGTTTTTAATAATAATATTCTTGAAAAAGAATCTAATTTAACATTCCAAGGTTCAGGAAATTCTATATCTTAAGGATTGGGAGCATCAAAGATTGTTTTAAATTTATCAGAATTACTCATGAAATCAGACAAAATACCATCAAAATTAGTTAATTCTGACATACCATATATATTTCTATATGTTTCTGGCCATGTATTTTCACTAATCCATTCAGTTGGATTAGGTACTAATTAAACATCTCCTGTAGCACCCTATAATAAATATCTCCATTCTCCTTCATTCATTTTATGAGCAGCACTCAATATTTTATAGGTTAACATAAATGAAAATAGTAATTTATGTTTCTCAAATAATGATCTACAAACATTTTCATATAACATATATGTAAAGAAATTATTAAGATGATTCAATCTCTCTTCTAAAACCTATGATGCTGGAGCATTTTAAACACCCAGTGTAAATAAGTTGATAAACCATTATAATGAATATTAATACATAGGATCAATTGTTGATAAATCTATAATACAAAAGAAAAGTAATGAAGCTCTAAATGCAACTGATCTATATGATTCTCTTGCTTCATCTATTTGAGCTTCAGTTATTTTGGAATCCTTCACTCTTTGATTAATTTCTGCTGCAAATTTCTTTGAATTTTATAACTTATTAATTAGAGTCTCATCCATCAATATTTCTGAAATATCACCTTTTGTTTCAGATAAACTTCTTAAAATACTATCTTCTATATTAACTAATTCTTTTTTATCTTATGCATTCTTTCTAACTATTTCTGTCTTCTTATTTTCTAAATTAGGATTCTCTAATGCTACAATTTATGCTAACATCTACTCTTCTAATCCNATTTCTTCATTTAATTTTTCAAGATCATTCATCCAAGATGTTGCTAAATGACAATTCATTAACAATGCCCATCCACCTCTTCCTAAAGCATCTTTAACTAATTTTTCAGCTTTTGGACCTTATCCTTATCCCAAAGAAATTGAATCAATTCTTTTAGTCATATTCATTTCTTCTGCAAATTTCATTAGATCTGCAATAGGATCTGAACCAGGAGATAAAACAAAAATGAGTGGAGTATTTGGAGTAGAATCTTTGTAGCATTTACTCAAATCAAAAGTAGGTGGAATGATAAATTTCTCATCCATCTTTTCTATAATCCATTTTTAAATAGCTGGAATTACTTTATCACTTCGAATTGCTTTTAATAATAATATTCTTGAAAAAGAATCTAATTTAACATTCCAAGGTTCTGGGAATTCTATATCTTAAGGATTGGGAGCATCAAAGATTGTTTTAAATTTATCAGAATTACTCATGAAATCAGATAAAACACCATCAAAATTAGTTAATTCTGACATACCATATATATTTCTATATGTTTCTGGCCATGTATTTTCACTAATCCATTCAGTTGGATTAGGTGCCAATTAAACATCTCCTGTAGCACCCTATAATAAATATCTCCATTCTCCTTCATTCATTTTATGAGCAGCACTCAATATTTTATAGGTTAACATAAATGAAAATAGTAATTTATGTTTCTCAAATAATGATCTACAAACATTTTCATATAACATATATGTAAAGAAATTATTAAGATGATTCAATCTCTCTTCTAAAACCTATGATGCTGGAGCATTTTAAACACCCAGTGTAAATAAGTTGATAAACCATTATAATGAATATTAATACATAGGATCAATTGTTGATAAATCTATAATACAAAAGAAAAGTAATGAAGCTCTAAATGCAACTGATCTATATGATTCTCTTGCTTCATCTATTTAAGCTTCAGTTATTTTAGAATCCTTCACTCTTTGATTAATTTCTGCTGCAAATTTCTTTGAATTTTATAACTTATTAATTAAAGTCTCATCCATCAATATTTCTGAAATATCACCTTTTGTTTCAGATAAACTTCTTAAAATACTATCTTCTATATTAACTAATTCTTTTTTATCTTATGCATTCTTTCTAACTATTTCTGTCTTCTTATTTTCTAAATTAGGATTCTCTAATGCTACAATTTATGCTAACATCTACTCTTCTAATCCTAAAGGAGTAATTGCAAAATTGATAATTGTTACTTTAACAGAAGTTTCAGGTGAATAATGAGGATTTGGTAAAGTAGTTGTCATAAAGAATCTGAAACTAAAATTATATTGTAGATTTTTATCACCAATTTATATTGTAGCAGATGATCCAGTCTTATTGATTTATTATAATAGAATAGGTTCCAAAGATGGATCTAAAGATAATCCAACATTTTCTACCAAAACCCATTTACCAAATTGAATTGCTAATTCTAATGTTCTCATCAAATTTTGATCTGATTATTTTAACACATCTAATCCTTCTGGTAAATCTTTTCCCATAGTCTTTACATATTTATTAGCTTAAGATTATGGATCAATCATTAAAGTCCATCTTCTACTCTTATCTATGATGATACCATTTTCAATAGAAGTGTCATCTTTAGGTAATCCACAAATATTCCATTATTGAATTTTAACTTCATCACCTAAAAATTTTCTCATTGAAATTAAATCAGTAAATGGAATGTTATATTCTTTTAATTTAGCTCTCCAATCTTATTCCATCTTTATACGATATTAAGATACAAAAGGTCCAGAATATGCAACCATTCCTGCTGCTATAATAGAATTACCAGGTATTAAACCACCACTATTAGTTAGATTTTCAATATCTTTTGCCCATCTTTCCTTTTCATCACTTAATCCTTCTGTTAACTTTTATGCTCTTTCCAACTTAACTTCACACTCTTTAATCTTCTTCTATAAATCTTCTTATTATTTTTTCTTATCATCAAAAACTCTTTATAATTCTCTTATTTTTGCATTAATTTCATCCAATTCTTTTTTCCTTATTGCTAATTCTCTATTTTTCTCTTCAACTATTTTTGTCATAAGTGCTAACTTTTCTCTTAAAGGTTTAGTTTCAGTATATACTTTGTAGAAATCATACATACATTTACACCAACCAAACAAATAACCTGTAGCTTTAGATCCTTAAAATGCATCATTTGAATTAAATTTAGGATGACAAGTAACTTTCTATTCCATCTTAAGAATAGCAGCTGGATTAATACTCTCTTTATCAAACTTCTCTAATAACAATGATAATAAAGAATTCACATCATTAAGTAAATATTTCTTAGCTGTCTCAAAATAATTTTCTTCTTTCTTACCAATTTAATTTGGTACTGGCTATGTGATAATTTCACCTCCAGATTTTTTAATATAATCTGTAGTAAGTATCACAACACCTGCTAAAACAACTTTTACAGCTTCAGGTGGAGATGATAAGGATTTCAATTCAACTAAATGATCCTTTTATAATTCCTTAACTTTCAATAATGTTTAAGCTAACTCTTCATTAGCAACTCTGACTCTCTCACCTGCTTCTTAGGCAATTTAATTAGCTTCTCTAGCTTATTAAGTGGCTTCAGCTTCTTATACAGCAACAACTCTTTAAGTTTGATCAGCTTCTTCTTTTTCTACTTTCAGATGTTCCATCATTTTTGTAGTTTCTATTTATGCTTATTCTAATTCAGGTTACATCTTCTCTAAAACTATTTTCATTTCAGCAACAGCTTTATTAGCATCCTATAATTTATCTAAACCATTTTTAAGTCTTAGAATCTATGCTTTTAAGTCATTTCTTTTATCTTGTACAATATTGATATATAAACTTAACAATTCTAAATAAGAAGTTGGAGTAACATAATTAATTCTTCTAAGTTCAGATTTATATTATAATGATAATTTTTCAACAAATTTATGCATATACTTAAACATATCTACCAATCTTGTATTTTTTATATCTAAATCTAATTATTAAGCTACTTCTACAAGTTATCCTCTTCCAACACCTTCAAGTGCTTCTTCTGGCCATTCAGTAAACCAATCAATTGTGCAACAATTCACTAAAGATGGAAACATTCTTAATCTTGTTGTAAATGCATCTCCTATAGGTGACATTGCAATAACCATATGCATATTTTTTTTTACTCTTGCCAAATAGACAGAGAATATGTTCATTCTATTAGGAGGAAGTCCTTTTTTAATACACTCTGCTTTGCATGCTTAAGTAATATCTTCATTATCTTTGTCATTATAAAGATTTGTAACATCACCAGAATTTAAAATACCATTTATATCTTCTAACATTTATTCATTAATAATTTGAGTATCAACAAATACAAATGAGACACATTTATTTTCAACACCAGCCAACATAATAATCTTTTTAACATCATCTCTCCAAGCTCTCATATTATAATTTTTAAGAACTTCTATCTGTTGTAATTTATAATTCTATAAATATGTTCCCATCTTAGTCAATGATTATCTACCACTACCACCAATACCTAATAATAAAGCATTTCCACCAGGTTATCTAAGTATTCTACTAATTCTTGTTATGTGTTCACAAGCATCCAAGAACATAACTAATTTCATCTATTTTTTCCCACTACCAGCATCCTTATTATATTAATCCAATAATTCTTCCATTTAACCAACAAAATATTGTAGATCTCCCTATACCTAAACATATGGCCTTACATCCAAATCTCTATTACCTAGAAAATCACAAAATATAATTCTTTCCTAATCTAAGACTTCTTCTAATTTTAATCCAAAATCAACAAAATATTGAGTAAGTAGTTATTTAAAATAGACACGATCTTATTCATTAATCAATCTATCATGAAATACTCTCATATTTTCATGATACCATAATTTAACTAATTGAGCAGGTTCTTAACAGTTTTTAGGTAAAATACCACAAATTCCTTAAAAAACTTTATTAATATCTCTTAAATTGAAAGTATAATGACTTTTAGATGGAGTAGGCAACAAATCTCTTCTGACTGAATTGTAAATACTTAAAACACTATTAATCATTTGCATCTATAACATTTATACTGTCTCACTGAATTTCTTATAATAAAATTAAACTATTTTTTAAAATATTGTTTTAATGACATCTTCATCCAATTCTGTATATGCTAAAACATTAAAGTGTCTAACTGCTCTTCCTGTAATGTTACTTCTACCACCACCAGGAGGTCCCATAGCAGACAATATAAGTAATCCTTCTAATTTGACAAATTGTAGATCTTATCTATTATACCAACCTTAATGATCTAATATTTATCTAATCAATTCTATGGGTGGTTAAGCACCATATTCTTCTTTCTTAGGCATATTTAAATCATCTACAAAAATGACTTATCTCTTTCCAACAGGTGGTCCTCTAACACCTTTTCTTCTTTTATCAATCCAAGAATCAATTGTATCTTATGTTTAATTTGCTGATGTCTAAGCACTAAAAGTTAAGGGAACATATTAAAAGTCTTCAGGCATGCCCATAATCAATAATTGATAAGAATTCTACGATTTACCTGTACCAGTAGGTCCTGGACAACATACATGGAAATTATTAGTTAGTAGTAATTTCATCAAATACATGTTACGAACTGAATCAGTAGTAGGTATAACAATTTCATGGAATTATAATTTCTAATCAATTTCAAATGATTAATATGTATCACTCCATGGTTATAAATTCACTTAGTAATCATAAATCAAACCTTCTTTTGGATATTCAAAGTTTGCTTTATACTTTTACATCTATTATCTATGAAACTTATCACATTTTTATCTACTTTAAAAATCTCCTGTAACCATAAGACTCCAAACTAAGGAATAATGGAAGAAATATTCAATATTCTGATTCAATTAGTCAAGTTCATCAACTGAAACTTTCTTAATTTCAGTTTCTACATAAGGAGAAATTAAACTATCGATAATTCTCTATTATGATTATACTAAATTGTTTCTCATTGTAGGAATAACTTCTTTACAATGCTTGTATGTAAATTCTAGAGCCTCTTCCACATATTGCTAGAACCACTTACTTAAATTATTTAAAACATCCTTCTTTTTATTTTTAATGTTTTAAGGGAACCTTTAAATATAAGAATCAATTAATGGTTATATCCCCATTGCTCTAGGCTCCATGTATACCATACCACATCTTGAAACAGTGGCTGGTGAAGCGACAGCCAAATCTTCAACTTCAAACATCATAGTCATATATTGAGTTAATGTCAAAATCTAACCACTATTCAAACACAATTTCTTGTTATCATCCAATACTGTATTCATGGATTCTATCCATAAGGCATCAACAGGTCCATCAAACATTATCCAATGTCTATCTGAACTTGTGTCTTTAACTGCTTCTCTAACCATATATGCTAAGACTCCATCAGTCCATTCATGAGTCTACTCATTAAATTATCCATATAATTAACCCATAGTAATAGATTTTGGATTCAATACGTGAGTATGTACCTTATAAAAACCATTTGCTTCTCCTAATTTTGTCATAGATTTTGAGAGAATTTAGTAATTAGTTGTCTTTCCACCTCCTGTTGGACCTACTAACATTAATCCATGTCTAACTTAAATTGTATCATAAAGTTATAAAACCTTATCAATAAATGGTTAGACAGGTTGAACAGGATATGGTTATTCTTTGAAAATATACTTTTCACATTATAATGATAATTCTGGAATCAATTTACCATAATCATATTATGGTCTCTCTAAACCAGGGAATAAATCTGATATGATATTTTCAAATAATGGTAGATCATCTTTCAAAAATTTAGGAACATTTACATCTCTAAGTGCTCTTAATAATAATTATTCTTCATTCATATCTGGGAATTGAACTTTTAATAGACCTGCTGCATTAATCACAGATCTTACTGCTCTCATACCATAATCATAATGATCTTAAGATGATAATTATTCTGAACTTAATTTGAATGTAGTAACCATCTTTTTAGATAAATCTCTTCCTAATTTAAAACCAAAAGAATAAAGCATAATTTCTCCAATCATAGCATAATCTGGAACCATCATAGCCACTGGTCTAAAAAGGGCCTTCAAATTATCAGGTAATTCTGTTCTTCCAGCATAACCAGGATTCATAGTGATAAATACTGAAAATGTAGGCAAAATTTTAATAAATGAACCTTCAAATTCAACTTATGGAGTTCCTTTTGCTTTTTCTCCAAATAATACTAACAATTATTATGCAATAACTGATAACACTTCAATATTGATACGATTGAATTCATCAAAACAAGCCCAAGCACCAGCAGATGCTAATCCCTTAAAGAACTTACCAACCATAATAAAATCCATAGAGTCTGAACAATTAAACACTACACATTATTTTGCTAAAGCTTTAGCTAAATCCTTTGTTGATTCAGTTTTACCTGTACCAGCTGGTCCTGCTGGAGCTCCTCCCAAATTCAATCTTAATGCACCCATCAATGTCATATAACATTTATCAGTTAATGGAGTAATAACTAATCTTAATGTATTTCCTAGATATTCATAACCATATGGGAAATTAGTTTATACACATTTTACCCAACAATCAAAATCTACTTATTGATTCTCCCAATAATATCTTAATTATGATATCCATTCAAAAGCGAACTTATCATATACTTCACCATCCACCATCTTCTATACTACATCTTTGGCATGTACATCAATGACAATTAAAGCATTTATTGTAACCATAGCTTACTTTGATAATTTAGTTCTAACTAAATCAACTAAGGATCCTAATTATTCTTCTAATTATTTGAAATATCCTTTTAAATTCTATCCATCAATTGCTGTTTCTACTTCTTTAGTCCAATGCACTTATGATCCATTCAATACACATTAACCAGGATGTTTCAAAACCCATTCTTCTCTCTTAATTTGTGTATAATTTTCAATACTAACCATCAATGCTTATCGAACTGATAATTTCATCATATTTTCAACTTCATTCATCCATTCTTCAACATTCTTTTTATTTGGATCAACTATTTTTACAAATGGTACTTTTTCCTTTTCAGCTGAAAACATAGCATGAATTTTCTTATCCTTATCAAATTCAATTGAATTAATATTCTCAAATACTTTTTTAAGATGAGGTTATACAGCTGTTGGTTCTTTAGTTTATGATAGAATTTCTAATAATTCATCATTAGATAAAAAGTAAAATCTAGCAAACTTCTCTCTTTTCTTTTCCAAATAATTATTTAATTCTTTTTAAACCATTTCTAATGTTTTATTAGCTTCATGTAATCTTTCCCATAATCCATCCTCAATACATACATCCAATACTTTTTCTTTAGCCTTTGCTTGTGTAACTGTAGTTCTCCATGTTTAATCAACAGTTTTAAATTTCTTAGTTTCTGCTGGTAATTATTTAGCAATATCTTATGAATCGAAAATTGGTTATAAATACATCCATTATTATTAAAATTTTGCCCATTCTTCTAATATATCTTAAATCTTTCTCAATGATTTGTCCCATTCACTAATTCTTTCTTCAAAGAATTTCTTAAATGGTGAAAATACCATTGCTGAAGTATTAATAATATGTTCATCTAAAACAATTTAAATTTCATCAAATCCTTTAAGAATAAATGTGTTTTTGTATTAAACACATTAAAATTTAATATTCTCCCAAGCATTAAGCATATTATCAAGCATCATTTCTATTTAGTATTCTTTACTTGCAGTTTCTCCAACATTAACAACTTTATCAATAACATCCATAAATCCATCATTCAAAATTGTTTAAAAACAGAATCCCTATTCTTCAGGATTAATAACATGATCTAGACCTTTCAATTAAGATACCTATGTCCAATGTCTTACAGTCATACCTTTTTTCCTAAGAGCTGATAATAATGGTACTTTTGGTCTAAATTCATCAATTTCTGCTTTTACAGCTTCAGCAATCTTCTGGATACCTGTTACTTGAATAGTTCTCATAGCTGTCTAGATATTTTTAACACCTTCCTCAACTATCTTTTCACATTCATCAGCATCAACATTCATAAAATCATCATTCAACCATAATTTGATACCACTCTTAAATTTATAAGTGCTTGACCATAAATCATAATAAGGTTTAAATTCTCTAGACATAGAATTCAATTTAGAATAATCAGTTTAAGGTTTATCAAATAATGCTTCTTACATATTGAATTTACTAGCTTAATCCTAAAACTCACTTATTTACTTCATCACATATTCAACTACTTCTGCCATTTCTTTATTTTTACTAACATCTTAATGTTTATGAAATTCTTGAATAGTTCTTTCCAAATTATCAATCTACTCTTTAAAATCTTCTTATTAAACTTTAGCATCATCAGAAAATTTAACTTTTAATTTCTCCAATTATCCATTTCTCACTTCAACCATTTCCTTTATTTCTTTAGGACTTCCAAATATCTTCCATCTTCTTTGAAAATCATCTAATGGAAATCTATAATTAAATTCTTCCAACATTTTGAATACATCAAATAATTAATTCATTTTCACTTTCATTTTCTCCAACTCTTATGGTAAATTACTTATATATTCCTTTAATATTGTCAACTTTTCTATTGTATCTGGTTCCTCAAGAATTGTCTTCTTGATATCACCAAATTCTTAAAATATTCTAATACTTGTATTTCTTGCTCTTCTAGCAATTAGATCAATTAGATTTTTTTAAAGTGCTTAATATCTTTCAATTAATATTCCTTTAGCTTCATTCAAATGAATTTCAAACATTCCTACATGTATACAATCCAATATTTCTTCATTTAATTATTTTTCCTTCTAAGTCGCTTTAATTATTTCATCACGAATTGATTCAAATTCTCTTGGAGGATCTTCTAATTCAATATCTCTTGCAACATCATCTGGTCTTAATTTTAAAACTGGAATATATTTATTAAAAACAGTTTTGTATTATTCTAATGGTTTTAATGCTTCCTCAATAGATGCTTTTACATTATAATATGTATCCCAAACCCATTTATTTTCATCAGCAAATTTCCTAGGTCTTTCATTAGGATCTGGTTCAACAGGTTCTTATATTGGCATTATTGGTGCCTTAATGAAAGTTTCTAGTTTTTAAGATTTATGTAAATCAGACAATATTCTTGGTTCTAAATCTGGTATCTTAGCCATTTCATCTACTGCTTTTTTCATTGCTTACAATGATATTAAAACATATAAAGTAGGATTAGTTGTAAATTAGAAGAAATCATCCTTTGCTAATAATTCTATTTGAAATAAGGGTAATTTTCTATCATGACTAAATACTTGAACTCTATTGTCAGCCTTATAACCATCATCATAATGATTCAATACCCAATCTGTATTTTTAATATCAACATTTATAGGTATATTGCTTTTAATTGTCTTCTAATATCTATCAAAATTTGATTTCATAAGTGTTGTTATTGTGTCTTACATCATCAATCTAATAACTGTTAACATACGTTTCAATTTACCAAAGTCATATGTGATTTTAGATGTCTCTTTCATATTGAACCATCCTTTTCCAATTTCAGCAAACCTATCTTTAATAATCTTGATCATAGTAGGTACCCATGTTCCTTTTAATTGATACATCAATGAAGTAGTGGCATTTTCTTACATATGTTTAAATTCATCTAAATGTAAAGCACCTTCTCTCTTAGAGAAATCAAATAAACTCTCCTTTAAAACTTAATTGCATTCATGTCTTATATCTTATAAAGCCTTAACTACTTCTTAACTTACATATAAGGTAGAAAATCCAAAATTCTTATTTAATTCATCAAAAGTCAAAGGTTTTCTGATAAATGGTTCATCATATTTAAACATCCATTTTTCCATAACTCCTTTAGATGCTTCAAGTTCCATCCAACCATAATAACGAACTTCTTTCTTTTTCTCTTTTGCAGGTAATCTCAATTTTGGATAGTTTTCATCTTATTATTCATCATCTAAATATTTATCAAATATTATTTTATTCATAGTTCTCTAAAAATCCATATTAACTTCAAGAAGTAATTAAGTTGTTTCCATAGCTTCTAACTTCTTTGTCTTTGCATTCTATTCTATTCTTTTCTTTTATTCATTGTCTAATTCACTTAAATCAAATAATGACATATTATCTATGAAATAATTATATCTAACAAGAGCATCAGCATATATTCTTTATTAAAATGCATTATTTAATCTCTTAACATATTTACGTGGATCTTCTGCATCAAAACAAATATATAATCTATGTAATTCTAATCTAACATCATCTTTCAACCATTTGCCTATAAATTTCTCAGATTTATATTCTAAAATTTCTAAATATTAATATTCATCTCCTCTTAATCCCAAACCTAATAGTGGATGTTTAATTCCTTCTTCATCTTCTTCTCTTCTTATCCAATCCTCATTACTATTATCATCATATGTAGTATCATCAAAATATTCAAGTTTTAACCACTCTACTATTTAATCCTTTTATTTAAAATCAATTCCAGCTTCTTAAAGTAATCTATTAAAATCAAGAGATCGAAACTCCTTTCTTTTTCTATCAATAGCCACTTTTCTTGGTACTTCACCAGGAATAGGATCATATGGTAATATAACCTAATAATGCCACATTTTTAATTACTTTTGGTTCTACACTTGTAACTTGTTCGTTTTTTTATCTTGTCTTTAATTGATTCCTTGGTACTTGTCGAGATGTCAAATCAGATCGCAATTATTGTCGATTACAACTTGATGTTTGTAACCGTTGCAAGGAGATTGCCTTTGGAATTGTTTACCGACTTATAGTTGTCATGATTAAGTCAGGTGATGGACCCTAATTATAATTCTTGACATTGTATTCACTAGGTAAAGTAGGGTCTAACACTTCAGAGAAGACTCCTCTTTGCTTTTATGAAATTTATGCCATTTTTATATCAAAATTTATATATATACAAAATATCTCTCTTTTACTATTCTCTTTCACACTTCTTCCTTCTACACCCCCCTCATTTTATTATTTTGTAAAATTTAAATTAAAAAAAAGATGGAGAATCCTGTTGAGAGAGCAGTCAATGAGGCAACTGCTGATACACTCTAAATGCCTGATTAGAAACTAATGAAATAGGTAGCTGATCTTGTCAACTAAAGAGCTGACTAGTAAGATACTAATTCAAACCATAGATCAAAATTTGCAGTCTAGGCAATAGGCAAGAGACTTATGCAGCTTCGTAATGGCAAGGTTTAAGCCCTCTCAATGGAGCTCATTGAATATCTTGCATTCACTTGCGAAACACCATTCTATACTTAGATTGCTACCAATGACTTTCTATAAAGACTCAACACCCTCCTTAACCCTCAAATGAATGCCCAAGTAATTCACTCATTTACACCAAATAGATGCAATAAAGATTACTCTAAGTGATCGCAGTACTCAAGTCACTTATGCAATCACACCAGGATCTATTTCCTGCTTTCTTCCAATTCTTGCAAAAGATCGCTTCTAAACGTAACTGTCTTCTAGCATCTGCTTTTTAGATCAAATACCCCAAAATTATGAAAGCAAATATGCAGTACTCCGAAAGTCACAACCAGTATACTCTTCAGGTGCTAGAACAAATAGCTTAGGATCTGTAAAAATTCTGTATTAACATACCAAGGGCAGCTCCAAAAATGATAAACTTAGACGTGACTTAGAGATAGTCAAATCCAACATCACATTGACTAATGTAAATGAAATATTTAATTATTAGGAAATAATAGACAATGCAAATCCTTAGGAAGATGCAAGTAAAAATGAAATCCTCAAAGATATGACTACTACATTAAGAGGAGTTGAAGAAAAGTTAAGAAAGTACTGTATTTTCGTTTTAACTAGTTTAATTACTGATATGGGAAATAATGATGAGGGGTTGATGAACTTTTGTTTAGAATTGAATGATGATTTACTAAAAGTAATCTTGTTTATACAATTATTAGACTTTTACTCGATATGAAGTATTGAAGAAGCATAAGAAACCTGATCCTTTTAGACCTGAATTGTAATAATAATAATAATAATAACAATTGCCTTAATAACCACCAACATAACCATAAAATATTTAGTAAAGTCCATTCTAATAATAATAAAATCCCTTTAGCATTCCTCCCCCTACATAATAATAAACTTAGCCATAACAAATTCAACAACCTCCATAACCAAAACCTTAATAAATTGATTTATTAAATTTATTTGAATATGATGAACCAAAACCAGTAGCACCATAAAAAGGGCCATAACCAACATAAGTAGTATAAGCTGAAAAATAATAAAATATGTAAAATTTGTTGTTTATAGTTTCTAAAGAATTGATTTATTTGAAGTAGATATGTCAAATCCTTAGCCATAATAATAATAATAATAATAAGTTCCATAATAATATTAATAATAATAATCATAAATACCACCAATTTAATAAATACCACCTATTTCTTAAATTCCTCCACTATCATAAATACCTCCTGTATAGTAATTTGTCTAACCACCAATGCAGTCCTAAAATTATGGATAAGCCCCTATTTCATAAATACCATCATAATCAAATTATTCGGTATTAAATGCATTCCCTCCCTAATAATAATTCCCTCCCTAATAATAATAATAATATCCTCCTTAATAGTAATATCCCCAATAATAAAATGTATTAATTTTATTCTATTAAAAGTTACAATAATTTTATCAACAATAATAGTTTAACTAACAATAAATGAAGTATTAAGCATTCTAATAGTAGCCAAATTAACCTATCCCATACTAATAAACTCAACCTTTTCAATAATAAGGATTCCCTTAACAATAATATCCAGTGATAAGCAGTAAGATAAATTGATATATATTTAGACATATCTAATTAATAGAAAAAACCAGAAAATGAATTTGACAATATACTTAATTTGGCAGTAGGTTAAAAACCATAACCATAGTAATAAACATAGTAATAATAATAAAAGTTAGACTTTATTTGATATCTATATAGTTCAAAAATATAAAATCATAAGACTATTATTAGATTCTAAATTAACAATAATTATAATATAAATACACATATAGACTCATTTAAATGATTTAGTTTTAAAGTGCATAATATCACCATCTTTCACAATGTAATCCTTACCTTCTTTTGAAAACTTCTTTTCATATACATCTAAGGCATTATCTCCAAGTTTCTTAAACTTTTCAAATGACATGACTTCAGCATTAACAAATCCCTATTTTAATAAAATATAATACTTTTTCAAAATCTGAATGAATGACAGAAGCTGCTTAAGGTGCTTTAATATTTTTCTTTACAGTCCAACTTCTAACTTCATCTGAACCAACAGTGAAAAATCTAATTAAACCTAATAAATCATATCCAGCAATAATAATTTGATCTAATAATTATTATTAATCTTGATTTTCAACAGAATAATAGACAATTTTACTATCTGGACTATTTTTGGATACCCATTATTCAATAGGTTTTGCATACTTATTTTATTTCTTTGCTACATAAGCATCATGATCTTCTTTTGATAAATTAATTAAATAAATAGATGGCTTTGCTGTTAATAATTAAATTTTCCTTAATTATATTTATTCTTAATCTGTCCATTTTTGATATCGAACCCATTATTTCTTTTTTAAGAGTTCATCACATTTTTATAAAACTTTATATTATTCTACCATTTCTCTAGCTTCAACTGAAACATTTTTATTAGCTTCATACTTTTTTATTTTTTTGCCAAATTCATCCACTCTCTTTGAAACAAATTGATAATCCTTAGCCATTAATTCTTCAGATATAATTTATAAATCTCTTATTGGATCCATAGTACCTTCAGTATGTACAATTTTCTCTTTCTCAAAGGCTCTTACTACCTAATATAATCCATCAACAGCTTAAATATGAGCTAAAAATTCATTTCCTAAACCATATCCTTCAGATGCTCCTTTCACTAAACTAATGTTGTACTTATTATTACCCTGCTATATCAATAATACTTAAAGTAGAGAAGATTGATGACTTTGGTTTGAAAATCTAACATAGATAATCAAATCTAGGATCAGGAACCTTGACTACTGCTTAATTTGGATCAATGGTACAAAATGGGAAGTTTTCTGCAGGCACAGATTATTTACTTAGCATGTTGAATGTAGAACTCTTCATAGAATTGAATTATATTACCTTACCGACATTAGCCATACCCACAATTCCCATTTTCAAACTTGAACTAATACGAGTCAATTAGGCCATTAATAAATTTATGTTAGTCAATTCAGGAAATTTGATTGTTAATATAAAAAATGATATTATGTAGAGATACCATAGGATAAAACTAATAGGTTAAGGAAGTTTTGGAAAAGTATACAAAGTAAGAAATTAAGCAAATGAATTAAGAGCATTGAAAATAATAGCAAAGAAAGATTTCACAGATCAAAATGAAATAGAGAATATGAAAAAACTTGATCATCCTAATATAATGGCTATTTATGAGATAGCTTAGGATGAAAATTATTATTATATAGTAAGTCAATTATGTGAAGGAATTGAATTATTTGATGAAATCCACAAAAGAATAAAATAAAATAAAATCTTTTCTGAAGATGAAGTTAGATATATATTCAAGTAGATTTTAAGTGCTATAGCATATGCTCATGATAAAAATATTATGCATCGTGATATCAAACCTGAAAATATTCTAATTGATCCTACAGATTAACATATAAAAATTATAGATTGGGGATTGAGTAAAGATATGACCAATCTTGTTTCAATAAAATAAAAAATAGGAACTATTGATTATGCAGCTCCAGAGGTACTCTTAGAAAAAGGGTATGATAATAAATGTGATTTATGGTCTTGTGGTGTAATTTTATATATTTTACTATCTGGTGAATCTCCATTTCCAGGAAATAATACAGGTGAAATAGAATAGAAAATTATTAAATCTAAAATTAATTTGAAATTGAAAATTTGGAAGGCAATTTCAAATGATGCCAAGAATTTATTATAACATTTATTAGAGATTGATCCTGTTAAAAGATTTAGTGCTTTAAAAGCTTTAGAAAGTGAATGGATTCAAAAATAGAGTATATCAACAATTAATGAAATATCAACTCAAGAAATGCAATTTAGACTTTTAAAATTATCTAGATTTTGTTGTGAAAGCAAAATGGTTTAAGCTACTTTCCATCTTATGATATAATAGAATTTGACTCAAGAAAAGTATAAGTAATTGAGGTAAACCTTTTAGGAACTTGATAAGAATGGTGATGGAAAATTAAGTATAGAAGAATTAAAAGCATATTGTAATGATGATATTGATGTGGAAGATTTATTCAATAGAGTTGATACAGATAAAAATGGGTATATTGAATTTACAGAGTTCTTAACAGCTGCAGTAGATATGAAGAAACTTGCTTCTCATGATTAACTTAAAGATGCATTCCATTTACTTGATTAAAATGGAGATGGATTTTTAGAAATTGATGAAATTAAAAAAATTTTTAATGGTAAAATCTAAGTTCAAGATGAAAATTAATGGGATCAATTATTATAAGAAATAGACAAAAATAATGATGGTAAAATATCATTAGAAGAATATTAAGAAGCTATAACTAAATTTATTGATTACAATTAACCTTCTTCAAATTTTGCTAGTCAAAATCCAAATCCTGAACCAGAACCAAATATCACCAAAAAAGTTAAGTTAACTGAATCCACTTATAAACTAAGAAATAGGTAAATTAATTGATTTTATATTATTATTTTATAAATTGGTTGCACTGCATGAAAAAGACTTATAACTTAAAAATTGAATTAAATAGTTCAAGTTCTTCAGAGAAAACTTCTCCTTATTTAGATAGTGATGGAAAGTATGTTATTTATAAGTTATATAAGGGAATATTATGATTATTTTGATGCAATTAAAATTGGCAATATAACTTATGGTGAAGTAAGTGCAAAAAGATGTGGAAGGATTACTATGGAAGATAGAGTATATGATCATTGATATAATTAAATAGTTTTAAGCTATTGCAGACTTTGATGGAAAATAATAATAATTTTATTTTGGAGTCTTTGATGGTCATGGTGGATCTTATGTGTCAAAGTTACTTCGAGAACAATTACATTTTCATTTAAAAAATAATAAGTTTTTCAATAATGATATTGAATAAGCAATTTTAGAGAGTATTGATAGCTTTATATTTCTCAAAAATTAGGTTTTAATTAAATGAATATTGATATTCTTAAATAATAACACTTATTGATGAAAGACGGTGGTTCAACTGCTTTATGTGTTATTAATGTAGGTAAAGAGTTATTTGTAATCAATGTTGGTGATAGTGCTTGTGTATTAATTGATAAAGATTTCTAAATAACTAAATTAAACTAAGAACATAAACCTGATAGAGTAGATGAGTCAAAAAGAATTATTGACAATAATGGATTTGTTTTAACTATTAAGTATTAAAACAATTAAAAAGAAATTAGGCTAGAATTAATGGTGAATTGGCAGTAAGTAGATCTTTTGGTGATCCAAAATATATTGAACATGGATTAACTGCTATTCCTGAAATCACTAAATTGTAATTGAATGAAAACTCTAAATATTTAATTCTAGCCACAGATGGATTTTGGGATGTGATTACTATTGAAACTTTACAAAAGCTTCTCATAAATTGGGATAATTTTAAAGAGAAAGAAGGTCTTTCACAATATTTATTAGAATCAGCATAAAAATAATAAACTAATTATAAAAAAGATAATATGACAATTATCATAATTGATTTGATTATTTATTTCAATAAATTATAATGATTTGCATAATTGATAATAAATTAATTTAAATTTAGTCATAAACTTTAATAAAATAAAGGAATTCATATTTTTAATCATCGTAATAAATTTACTTTCTGTTATATGTCAATTAATTTATAAATAGATTTAAGTATGTATATAAATTATTAATATATAATCTTTATATTACTAATAAATACAAATAATTAATTATATGTTTGATCTTAATTGAATTATTGGATCAATAGTACTTATTATAATTATGTATTCAAATAATATATATATATTCTATAATTTCTATTTGGATTATTTTTTATAATATTAATTATCTTGTAAATGACTTAGGAAACTTTGAGATAGTTGGTTAGATAACTAAATAAAAACAAGTTTCTTGTAATAGTTTTTTAATTTAAATTTAGATTGCAAAACCTGCTACAGATGTTTTCTAATGTTTTTAGGCTTTCATCTTGTTGGTTAAAGGAGTAAAAATATAAGATTGGCTTTTGGCTTAATTATTGATGAGCTGCAGTTTACCATAGATGGTGGAGACAATTATTGAAAAGAAAATTGATTATGCAAATATTATTTTGTGCAAAAAGCTTTATCATTTAATACCTCAATAGCAAAATTCTTTAGGAAAACTTATATACTAATTAATAAGTTAAAGTTTAAATTTTTTGGAAAATGAAAAAAGTAAGATATAAAGAAGCAAAAGTACTATGATTAGACATGAACCAAGTATTTACAGTAGTAATTATAATAAAATCATTTAATCTTAAAATAAGAATGCGACTAATCAAAGATGTAAGGAAGATATAAATAAAATATTTTAACATAGAAAATTCATAAAAAATTAAAAGAATAAGGAAGAAGATGATAAGAAATTTGAATTATTGAAAGAAAAAATGAAAAAAATAAATAAAAATAGTTATTTTATATCTCCTAAAAAAATATAATTTGATAAATAGGAAAAAATAATTCTCAGCAATAATAATTCAGAGAGATAATTAATACATAATAAACAAATGAGATCACTTAGATCTTTTAGATCCTCATTTTATGATTGAATAAAAAAACTAAACTAATGATTTTGCTTTACTTTATAAATTAATATAAGTATCCCTATATGATTTCTTCTTGGTTATTATTATTTAATTTATATAAACTTAAAAAAATCTACTAACATATCATTAATTCTACATAAAATCTACTATCTAATGATTTATATAATTAAATAATAAGTTCAAATCTTAATTAAAATTATTATTATTATAAAATGTACTAATTATGTTTATAAATCATAATTTAGTTACATAATGTTATAATATCTGACTATATTAATTCAAAATCTATAAAATGAATCATTCTTATCTTTCACATTTAATTCTTATATTGTTATAAATACAAAATACTCATTTATATAATTTTATTTAATCCATCAAGATAAATAATTTCTATTTTTATCTAATTAATTTTAGTAATTTTAATATTTATCACATTCTTTAATTAATGTTTCTAAATTAATACTCATATTACATTAAAATAAAACTTTGAATTGAATTATTATCATCAGATTATTATATAACTTAGATCATGTATAATATTCACTTAATTCTTATGTGAGTTTTTGATGTTCTCATAGTTAATAGGAGATGTTTAAAAATATGTCAAAATAATCTAAGTTTATTATAAGTTTAATTATTTTATAGTAAGAAAGAAATTCATTATTATTCTCATTCTATAATTCAATAACAATTAGTAATAGTTATTATATAAATCATATATGGTATATTGAAGTAAATTAAAAATATTATAATTAAATACTTTGAAATTCGTTTTTAATATATATATTAATAAATGAAGGTTATTATAATAACATTATTGCTAACTTTCAGCATGGCAGCTCATTTTGATAAAAAAACAATTCATAAACATATTGAAGACTTGCATAAATCAAAATGGGGATAAACTTTGTTATCTATGATGGCATTACATTCATAATCATAAGGACCTGTTGATGAATTAGTTTAGGCAATAGAAGACTTAGTCTCTGATTTATAAGAAGAATTAGATGTTTTGGAATTTAATTTTGGATAAAGAACTAATGAACATCACAAAATTGTAACAACATTAGAATAAGAAATCAATTAAGCTGTTGTTGATTATTAAAGAACTTAAGACACTCTTGAAAACTTACTTTATCCAAGAAGAGAAAATCTAAAAAACAAAATTGAATAAATTTAAGATTATTAAGAGGCTAATAGGTATAAATATTAAATTAAATTAATCTAGAAAGACTTTGGCTGAAGTATAATTAAAGAGAGAAAATGAGAAAGAAGAATTTGAAGCTCAACTTGCAGATTTTAATTCAGCTGTTGAATCAACAGATTAAGCATTAGAATTACTTTACAGTTTAAGAAATTAATCTCTTGGATAAGTTTCATCATCAAATATTAGAAAAATTCATGTTCAATTAAATATGATTGAATAAAGAATTAGAGCTCATAGCAAACATGGACCATTAATAAAAGCTTTAATTTAATTAGCTAATGAATAAAATTTCTCAAATTAAGATATTGTTGGAACTATATTAGATAAATTGAATGAATTTAGAAATGCTGTTGTAGATGCAATTAATGATGCTACAGCACAAGAAGCTGAAAATTAATAAGAATTTGAAGAAAGAGTAGAATAATTAGATCATGAATTTTCTGAATTTGGTAAATAAATTAGTAAAATAACAGTTGATTTAGAAGCTACAATAAGTATATTATCTTATTATAATTAGCTAAAATTAATGAATTAACTGAATACTCAGCCTAAAGAGATGCAGATAGATAAAGATTTTAATCCCAATTAAACATTGAAAATGATAGCTATGCTGAAGAAACTAAAATATATTAAGATATGAAAAATGAATATATTAGAGAATAAGAAGTTGCTGAATCAGCTGAAAAAGTTGTTAAAAGTGCTGATTTTTCGAATATTAAGATATGATAATTATTTTAATACGAAACTCAACAATAAAAAAAACATTATCCATAATCTTTACATCAAATATTTAATGCTAAATTGACATGCTAAATATTCTTGCAATTATTACATTTAAAATCTTGTTACAAAATTCATTTTTAGATTCTATTTAAAGAATTGATTTAAACAAATCTATTATCCCGTTAATGTATATGTATATGTCTCCACATCTATCCATTTCACTACACTTTTAATATCCAAAATATTCACTATCTTTAATATATGAAAATTCATTTATTTAATATAAATCCTCCTATATATATAATGAATCTGCTCCTTTAATAATATTAGAGTTTTTCTAAATTATCAAAAATCAATATCTTCTGATTATGCTATTGACCTCAATATATTAAAAAGGTTAATCTATGTTTAATAATCACTTAAAATATATTTCTTAATTAACTTAGGCATAAACTTTAATTTATTTAATAATTTTTAATTAAAACATTTGAACTCATTATCATTTTAAAATAAAATTTTGTAAAATAAAAATATTATAAATCATTCTATTTATTAACCATCTTACCATTTGGAAATTTTAGGTTAATGATTAAATTACATAAGAACCGCAGTGCCATGGTTCAACCCATTAACAAATTCTCCAAAATATGTAATTCCACTACTATATTTAAATACTCCAAACCCATTTTTTTTACTTTATTTATAAAATCCTTTATACTCTTCTGAATTAGGCCATATAAAGTTTCCAAACCCTTCCATTTCTCCATTCACCCATTCTCCTTTGTATTTTTTACTATCAGCATATTCCATAATTCCAAATCCATTAATTTAATCATTTTCAAATTATCCTTCATATTTAGTACCATCCTTCCAAGTATATATTCCTTTACCATGTCTTTTTCCATCTAAAACTGAACCTTCATATATGGCACCATTTGGAAATTCCAATTTTACTTTTTTTTAAATTTTAGTGTTTTTACTGCAATTATCTTCAAAATCTTTAAACATGCAATTATCTCCTAGAATTTTATCAGCAAAAAAGTCTCCTTGCTTATTGTATATTTAAAATTTACATAATAAGATCCATCTTCATAAATAATTAAACCTTTTCCATGTTTGAGACCACAACAAAATTAACCCTCATAATAATATTATTTTTTCTTGTAATATTTACAATAACCAAATTTGAGTGACATAATTATTTTACCTTTGAACCATTCTTTAGAATCTTCTGATTAATAGACCTTCTCATTAACTTCTTTCTATATTAAGAGTTAATCTCTTACTGTTTTAATATGATTAGGCAAATAAAACTAAAACTAAGTAATCTAAATACGTTGTTAATAATTGTAGAGTGAGTTAAGCTTCTTTAGTTCTATGATAAAATGGCTGATTTATTAGTTATAATTTCAGTTTTTGCATGTTCTTACTTTTTTTAATTTGATGTTGATTCAATTGGCATTGTTTTTATATAACTGATTCTGTTATTTTACTCTATGTCTTTTGATTTCATTTTTTATACAATCTTTAAAAACTAATTTAATAAATATCTACAAAGCATATTATTACTATCATTATAATAAAATTTATATGGTTATCAAAGTTTGAAATCATTTCAAAAGATAAGGAATAATATTTTATTTTAGTTAAGATATAATTGAAATTCACTTTGGTTGATTAAATTTAAATCTTTTTGGGATTTCTTTGATTTTTTTTTCTGAAAAATCACGTTTAGTAACACTCTCATATTAACCCAAGAAAGATGGAATATTTGGTATTGTTAAAGAAGTATCTAATGCTAGTTTTTTTGCTAACGATGGTTAAACTATTCTATGCTATTTAATTTTTATTGATTTGAAAAACCTATGTGATTCACTTAATCGAAATAGTGCTACATTTGGACTTATTGGATTACTATAGGTTGTTAAATTACTTTAGAATTACTTAAATATGCTTTTTCCTCCAAAAATAAGATCTCTATCTGGAGTCAAAGATTTATATTATCTTTAATATTCTGATGATGCATCCAATTTAGTACCTTCCATAATGGTTTAAGGATAATCTAATTTCATTTAATATGGTTCATCCACTAATTTATAGATAAATATGAAATACAATGTGGTTTATCATCATGCAATTTTTGATAAGTAGTATTATGAAAAAAGCCTTCTCTAATCCTTTTATTATCTGGAAGACATGCAGTTTATGGTCTTAATAAGTGATGAGTAGTTTTATCATAGTATTCTATCTAAATAAATGTTAATGTATATACTTATTTAGAAGATTCAAGCTTAAACATTGGATTTTTATCTTTGAATTCCTAAGGTGGATTTATTTTTTTGGCTTTACAATACTTTTTATTTTGAAATTCTGTGAAATATTCTGATAAATGTTAATTAGTAGAGATATGATTTTTCTCTATGGATAATTATCTAGGTGATTTATGTTAAATAATCATTATTATTGATAAATTTTAGACTAAATTGGAAAATACATATATATATATATTAGTATATCATCATATATATTTTATATTTAATTGTCTTTTCTATAATAATTATGTAATTCAAAAAGTCATAATTATTTATTGATTACATGATTGTTTTAATATCTATCTATACTATATTAATATTTTATTTATGTTTTATGTAATAATTTTGGAAGATATTTAATAAGCATGTTTTGATATAAATATAATGAAAAAAAAGAAACAAATAAATTTAATAAATATATTAAGAAATATCTAATGAGCTCATAAGGATGTAGTTTTATTTAACATATTTAGAAAATACTAAATTATATACAATCTAATCGAACAATAGTTAAACATTTACAAATAAACCAAGAATGGTCAAATATTAAGTCTTAAGAAAATAAAATGGTTTAGGATCAAGAATCATTAGATAACTAGACCCTAATGTAGAAGAATAAATTATTGAAACTTGCAAGTCTCTTATGCCAACACGACCAGATACATAATAATCAAAATAAAAAAGTGGAACTTAAACTGTTTTAGAAAAACCAGATACTCGAGAAAAAATGGCATCTAGACTTAGAACTCCAAAATCAGAAGGTTTATTAAGATTTAAGAGTTAAGAAAATTAAATTGAAGACTTTTAACCAATAAATTAATAATTCAATTATGTAGATGAAATTCCATTAGATCACCCTATTTGGAAATTAATTTTGCCAGATGTTTAAAGTGTTAATATTCCTAAACTTATTAATGATAATCCAGATTATTTCCATCATTAATTAGGTAAATTTATTTAATTAATTATAGGTTTTTGTGCTTGTTATAAATGTGAATGTGGTTAATGTAAATGCAATTTCTCTAAGACTTGTAAATTGAATTATTCATCCTCTCAAAATACTGTATATGGAAAAGATTTTTTACATAAATAAACTGAATATAATGCTCTAAGACCATTAAATTAAACTTATTATTCAACTTAATTTTGTAATCAAAAACCTATTGATTAATAAAGTTTGCATTAAGTAAATTCTAATTTTTATTTAGACATCATATAAATAATTCAAAGTACCTGTATAAGAAATGCTTAGGCCATAATCTCAAGAGCATCGAGGAGATTTCTTAGGCAACAGTAGTTACAAAGTAACCTATTAAAAGTGAGATTTAGACTCAATTTAAATTTTGGGGACCACCAGAAACTGCTCATTTTAAAAGACCTGTTCATTAAAGTGTTAGTGATCAAATACCTTTCACAGCTTAATCTTTATATTAAGATTCATTTGCAAATAAACCTTATTAAAAACCTAGTGATTCATTAAAGATGGTTACTGAATTGTAATAAATTTAAATATATAAAATAAAGAACACCTTTACCTACTGGATAACCTTTTGTTTCATAATCATAAACATAATTGGCATATCAACCATTCAGAATTTAAAAGAATCCTAAATTAAATAGTGAAAAAATTAATGATTATGGAAGAAGTCCAAAATATGATACTCAATATAAAAGTCTTGTGAATACAGAATACACTCCAAAAAGACAAAGATATTGTCCAGCAAAGGAATACATAGCTCATTATTAATAAAGAGCATTATAAAAATTAAAATAATAATAATGAAATAAAATTAATCAGTCTTGAAAGATTCTTATATGGTATTTGTAAATTATTCAGTTTATAATTTTTATAGTTTTCTTGTTTCTATTTTATTAAAAATATTTATATTTAAATATTAAGATTGCATATTCATTTTAATTCTAATTGAATTTTTGTATAATATATAAATATGAAGTTTTTATAAAGATTTGAAATAATTTAACTTTAAAAACCATTTTTAAGATCTTATGTATAATTTAATCTTTTTTTAAATTTTATTTTACAATCTAATTATAATTAAAGTATTTACTTATTTTATATGAAACTAATCAAGTTTGATAAATTTGACAAGCCTTGTCTTTATTCTTAACATGAAATCAAATTAATAACTAATTTTACAAGAACTCCTAAAACATGTTAATCTTAAACTTAAATTACATTCAAATCATCACCTAATAATTCTAAAAAAAATAGTATTCATCAATAATCAACTCATATAATGCATTAAAAAAGCTAATTCTCTCAAACATAAAAATCATAGAATCAAATATTATCATAATAAAATACAATCGAAACAATCTAAGAGTGTATTTCAATTCTTTCTGACTTGAAATAAACTTCCTTTTTACTTTTTCCTAATAAATAATTAACCTAAAAATCTAAAGAGAAAATGGATCAATTATTAGACATTGTTGATTAAATGGTACCATAAGAAAGTAATGAAGAAAAGAAAAAACTGAATATACTGAATTAAGAGAAAATATAATAAATGATGAAGCTACTCATGCAAGAAAAACAATAAAAATATTAAGCAATTAAATCTGGAGAAAGCTTGATCAAATAATAATAAGAATAAATTTTATCCTTAGTAAATATTACTTATATATTATTTTCTAGAAAACAAGAATATCTTTATATGTTACCAAGTCATAATGATATATGGATGTAATATATTCAAATTATAGTTTCTCTTCTACTATCATAATATACTGTCTTATTTAACAATTTACTTAATTTAGTCTTTTTTTGTTTTTAATTACCCAATTTGAATGGTGAATCTACTGATGTTGATATTCTTGGAGTATTTATTCTAACTGTATTGTTTTATACTAACTAAACTTATTAATCATATATAGATTTTCCATATTCTAACATTCTTCTATCTAACAAGAGAATTAGATTTGTGAGATCTTTTTCTTTACTTTCTGAAGGAATTTATGATGTTTCACAAAATTCTTATACTACATCCATTATTCTTTTTAATTGATCGAAAGATATTTTTGATGTTTTTTCAAGAGATGATACTTTTGTTAATAATATAGCCACTTTGTTTGGTAAATCAGATTAAATTTAATTTTTTTCCCTTTTTTATTTGATTAAATATTTACGATTACTGAAGAAGTGCAATATTTTTAAGCATTGACTTGATAATTTATTTCTTTTTAACTAATTCAGCAGATATTAAATCAAATTATTCATTTACACCATTTTAAAATTAAGTTTAGGCTATTTCATATTTTAAAAATTATTCTTTCATTAATTATAATTAATCTTAAAAGCATTATTATCTATTTTTAAAATATGTAAGTTCTTCATCAACCTTTTTAAATGCTGTATGAATTTCAAATTTAACAACTTTTGAATTATTAACTTCCAATTCTTAAAATAGTTAAGATAATGATTTTACTTTATTTTGTACTATTTCATTTTCTATAAATATTTAATAAATATTATACCTGATTTTTATTCATAAATTAAGTTCTTCATTTTTTCAACTTCTTTTTCGAATTCATTTATTTTATATTATTCTTTTTCGAGATTATCAATTTTTTATGTTAACTATTCATTTTATTACTTAATCATTTATCTATTATCTCTATTAAGTTTATGTAATGTTTAAGAATCTTATTTCATTAAACTAGTAGATTACTATATTTAAGAAATAGCTTATTTAATATCAATCTAATTATAAAAATTGAATTAAATACAATATGCTATTCTGTATATAGTTTAAGAGCATATTTAGTTTAGAATTATTGAATTTAATCTTACAATTTATTAATTCTCTCTTCAGAATTAAATTTGAATTGACGAATATCAGTTTTAGTTAAATAAATATCCTATACATAAGATTTGAAATCATTAAGCTTTTCACTTTAATTAAATATAAGTTAATCCAATTATTTTTTAACTTCATATGTTTCTTATTGAACATTTGTTTCAATTAATTCTAAAAATAATAATGTTTATATAACCTATAAGATTATTGTCTTATTATTATTTTTCTCTAGAGAACTTAAGTTCAATTTCTTATAAATCCTTATAATTTGGAAAGAATTGATTATTATTGTTAACACTAATATAAATGCAATTACTATTATATTCCTTATCTAAACATTTTTCTAGAATCTCTCGTTGTTAATTACAATTATAATTATGAATCTTAAATACTTATTAGAAAGCATCTAAAATCTCATTAAATTTCAACAGTGTTGTAATAATTATTTCTTACATTAATGTTATTTATATTAATATTAAATGATCATAAGAAATAGTCTGCAATAACTTTTTTTGAATTTGATGCTCTATCTGTTGGAGCAGCTTCAAATAATTTGTAATATTTCTTAAGGTTCTCATCCAACTCAAGAATAGAAGCAACATTGCCACATCTATATATATATAATTAATTAAAAAATAAACCTATAACAATAATTTGGAGCAGACCAAACAGTGACTAAAGAATTGTCAAACATTAATTTAAATCCTTCCATAGCTAATTAATGTGCTCTACAAATTAAAGAAATGCCATTTCTACGATTAAATTCTTTTACAACATCAGCACCAAATACAAAACCTGCACCTCTTGCACTTTGACTCCATCCTTCAATTTCTATAAAATTATATATGATAATTAACCATCAGGATCTGACCACATTAAATCACACATAACTCCTTCATGAGGTACTTCCTATTTTCTATTGATTATTCTAATTTCATCTATTGTTTTAATGTAAGGACTCAAACCACCATGAACGCAGAATATATTATCATTAATCACTGCTGCCAAAGCCAAATAATCAAAAACTTCAGTGCAATACTTCCAAACATTTAAAGTACTATATTTTCTTAAACATTCATCATAGAATCCATAAACTTAAGTGATTTATCTTGATTCATGATTTCCTCGTATTCTATAATGATATTTAATATCATACAATGTAATTTAATCAGGATATCTCACTTTCAAAGCCAATAATAATAAAAATGTCTCAACACTATTATATCCTCTATCTACAAAATCTCCCAAAAATAAGTAATTAGTCTCTGGTACATCTCCTCCTACTTTAAATAATTCCATTAAGTCATAAAATTATCCATGAATATCTCCACAAATCTAAATAATAATAATAATTAAATTACAGTCACTGGAGCTTCAACTCTTATTACATTATCTTCATTATTAAGTATATCTTTAGCTTTGTTACATAATATTTTGACATCTGTTTCTTTTAGATTTTCTCCATTTTTTAAAGTCTCTATCCATTAATCAATATCTGACATTATATAAGAAGAATTTTTTATTTTTTTTTTGATAAATTATATTTTATATTGAATTTTAAATCATAATAACTATTTTAATTTAATTTCTTGTAATCTCTATCTTAAACAATTTACAACTTTTGAACTACTCTTAGTTATTTTTGGTTATAATAATAATTCTTATTCAGATGCTTCAGTTCTTTAAGTCATAGATCCATTCTTTTTTTAATTACCACATTATTAAATTTTATCATCATTCAAATGTACTTTATACATAGATTAAGAACGATTAGAAAATGATCTATTTGTTAATTGTTTTAATACAGATCCTCCTCTACTCTATCTTTAAGTAGAAAGTTCTTATGATTAATTATGATTATTATTATTATTGTTTAAAAGTTATTTAACATTTATATTTGTTGTTATGTTACTTCTAGCTGATTTCATTTATGTAAAAAGTGGTTATATATGTTATTTAGAGTTTGAAACATTAGAAGTAACACTTACATTATGAGCTCTATTTGATACTAAACTATTTAAATTAAGATATAAGCTTGATTTATTTAAATTATCATTTTATTAACTTTAATTTATTGCCTATCCTTCTAAATTACTTTAACATCGATGATGTTTTATTATTTGATTGAATGTTAATCGAAATTCTTTAATTCTATTCCATAATCTAAATTAATCATCTTCTTATCTCATATATTAATCTTTTATAAATTTAATCTCTGTACACCATAAGAAAATAGGTTTATCTTATAGACACATTATAATATTCATTTCACTTAATTATCCTCTAACTTAATAGATTTATTGGATTCTTTGAACCAATGATTAACTTAATATATTTATTTAAGATCTATAATGTGGGGTCAATTTCAAGCATTATTAATTGACTTAATATGAATATGAATCACATTCCTAAATAAATGTATAATTTTTATTCCATTTTAATGAAATATATTATCCTAATTAAAAATGTTCCTACAAAATAATAGGGTTCTCAATAATATGAGGGTATGTTTGATAATGTATTAATAATTATTATATTTATTCAATTGTTATTGGTTCATTTTTCAATTAAATTTAACCAAATCCTTCAACAACATATGGTGATTATATTGTTATTATGTTCATTTGTATGTTATTTTATTTTAGATAGCTTATAATTGATGTTGTAGTACAGTTTATAGATTTTCGTTTAAGGATTTTATTATTTTATGAAAAGTACCATTGAATTTTGAATCCCTAATTTATGATAATAGTTTAAGGTATATGGATAGAAAGTTGAAAAGGATTGGATTGTTAGGCATTCCAAAGCTCATTTATTAACGTATACATTTATTTATATAATGAATATAATAATTAAAAAATATAATTGATAAAACAATCAATCTTAGCTACTAGCTTATATTTAATCTTCTCTATTATTAGAATCTTAAAGTTATTATTGTGATTCTATTTTTGATTCTTGTAATTATTGTTATGATTCAATTTTTAAATTAGATTCTTGTGATTATTATTATTAATTATTATCATTTTCTGAAATTTGCTATTATTATTATTATTAAGTATCCTTCTATTGTTCTTTCATTTTTCTACGAACAATATTATTCTAATTATATATAATAAATATTAATACATTAATTAAATACTTAGAATAAGGATTGAATTTCTAATGATGAGATCTACATTAAGAAGGTGATCGACTTTTAATTATATCAGACATCAATTTGAAAATTTTATTAGTTTTTTTTAATTCAGAACTTTCCATTACTTCTCTATGTTATTATAAGAAATTCAAATAAACTTAATGTTCTTATGCACTCCAATGTCCTATTCATAATAAATAATATAAATACCTGTATTAAATTATGGATTATGTGTTTTTTTAATATGTTTTCTTTTAATTTTATTATCACCTAAATCCTTTGTTTGACTCTAATTAACATTTTCAACTCCCTACTTTATATTAAGATGATACTTAGAATTAATTTAGTAGAGCTGCATTAATCATAAGTTATTGTTAGAGAAGTTATTAAGTAAATAAATCAACCACTCTAGGTTCATCAGCAATGAGTGGTAGATTATTCATCTAAGAGTATAATTGAGCTTATAGCTTTAATTATTCTAATTGAACAGTTTAAAGTAGAAGATCAGGATTCTAGAACATCTATGTAAATTGAGGTAAAAAAAATTAGGAGTCAATCTCTTGTTTGTTGCTTTCTAATAATATAATATTATTTATTACAAATACAAGGAGAATTTTCTTCAATAAGAGGAACAATACAATCTTTGGATGATTAGTTTAGACGATCCATTATATATTTTTTAAATTTTAATTAAGATTTATATATCTGATTCAGATATTAGAAATGAATTTAATTCTCTCTTTATATATTATTATTATATTAAATCATTCAAATTTTTTAACAAACCATAACAGACACATCACACCAACTTCCCAAAAATAGATTATCTCCACTAACCAATCCTCCAGCAAGTCCCTTAGACAAATATCTATTCTAAGATATAATTCTTAATTAATCTTTGTTTAAATCATATACACCTATTGCACCCCAATACTCAAAATTAGTTTATCTATCTAAATCATTATTCTTAACAAAATGATCCAATTAAAAATAATTATATAATTTTGGTATTAATCCAATTACTAATGAATTACTCTCCTCTTAATATTCTATATTGTCTACTCCATTCTAAACTGGAACAAATCTCTTAAATATCAATTCATCATCTTTAATCTAATATTCAGTAAATCCCTTTTCAACTGAATCTGCTACCCAAACTAAATCCTTTTTATTCCAAGTTAAACCATTTCTCATTATTCCTGATGTGTTGGGTATTTACTTACATATAGGTTGAATTAAAGTATTCCCTTTTGTAAATCTACAATCCAATATATATGTAGTCTTCTATTTTGTCAATTAGTAAAATAAGGTTTTTAAGATATGCATAGCATCGGCTTTATGTCTACCTTATTTAGGATCAGGTAATGGCATATAAGTTGTAATTAAAAAACGATTATCCTCTATCACAATCAAATCATTCAAAATTCCTGTATACTATTCATCCATAATAATTGAATGAACATAAGTTAATTCTAATTATTCATCTATTTTGAACACTTCAATTCTTTCACCTCCATTATGATAAGCGTGATTTATTACAAATAAGTAATTTCCATCTTTCTATTTCCTTATATATATTCCATGAATATATAAAGCCACATCTTTTGGAAAGTTTTTCAACTAAAGTTTTATGACACTATAGTGCTTTTTATTAGAATTTATAATTGCATAAATTCCTTATTATTCTAACTCTGGTTTTCCTCTAGCATAAACTTTTTAGAAATTTCCTGAACCTATTATTATTGTTGTGGAATTATATTAAGTCATATCTTCTGGTCCTCTTATATCCTCCTTTAAGTATTTACAATTTCCATATTCATTGTAACTCCCTACAGGTTTGAAAAAATCTAAGTCTGTGGCTAATTTGAAGAAGATTGCAAAAATTACTCCAACAAAAATAAACCAAAATTTCATTTTTATTTTAATATATATTATCAATTATTTTAATACTCAAGTTTTGATTAAATATCAATCATATGATTTGAAATATATTGTAAAAAGAATTTATTTTAATTCAAACTATATTTAAAAAGTAGTCAACTCAAATATTTTACAATATAAAAACATTAAAATAACATAACAATTCTTAAGATATAAAATAGAGTAAAGTATTCAAAAATATTGATAATTATTATATATATATTAATAGAAAACTGATATATTTTAATTAAATTTAATTATAATTACATTTATAATTAATCTGTCTTGTTATATTAAGAATATATTATTCAAAGGTTAATTAGAGTAACCTAAAATTATTATTTTATGAAATTGAAAATATTGTTAATCATATTATTTATACTAATCAAATCGATATTATTTATCAATCAATAGACATATTCATTCATTTATATAGACGAAAATAATTATTATTATAATTAAAAATTGATTAATATTTAATTGACTTTAAATTCTTTAACTCATTACTTTAATGTTTAAGGAGCATTGCCTACTTTAACAACACATCTATATTTTGGTCTTCCATTTAATAATTTATCANCCCTTTTGTAAATCTACAATCCAATATATATGTAGTCTTCTATTTTGTCAATTAGTAAAATAAGGTTTTTAAGATATGCATAGCATCGGCTTTATGTCTACCTTATTTAGGATCAGGTAATGGCATATAAGTTGTAATTAAAAAACGATTATCCTCTATCACAATCAAATCATTCAAAATTCCTGTATACTATTCATCCATAATAATTGAATGAACATAAGTTAATTCTAATTATTCATCTATTTTGAACACTTCAATTCTTTCACCTCCATTATGATAAGCGTGATTTATTACAAATAAGTAATTTCCATCTTTCTATTTCCTTATATATATTCCATGAATATATAAAGCCACATCTTTTGGAAAGTTTTTCAACTAAAGTTTTATGACACTATAGTGCTTTTTATTAGAATTTATAATTGCATAAATTCCTTATTATTCTAACTCTGGTTTTCCTCTAGCATAAACTTTTTAGAAATTTCCTGAACCTATTATTATTGTTGTGGAATTATATTAAGTCATATCTTCTGGTCCTCTTATATCCTCCTTTAAGTATTTACAATTTCCATATTCATTGTAACTCCCTACAGGTTTGAAAAAATCTAAGTCTGTGGCTAATTTGAAGAAGATTGCAAAAATTACTCCAACAAAAATAAACCAAAATTTCATTTTTATTTTAATATATATTATCAATTATTTTAATACTCAAGTTTTGATTAAATATCAATCATATGATTTGAAATATATTGTAAAAAGAATTTATTTTAATTCAAACTATATTTAAAAAGTAGTCAACTCAAATATTTTACAATATAAAAACATTAAAATAACATAACAATTCTTAAGATATAAAATAGAGTAAAGTATTCAAAAATATTGATAATTATTATATATATATTAATAGAAAACTGATATATTTTAATTAAATTTAATTATAATTACATTTATAATTAATCTGTCTTGTTATATTAAGAATATATTATTCAAAGGTTAATTAGAGTAACCTAAAATTATTATTTTATGAAATTGAAAATATTGTTAATCATATTATTTATACTAATCAAATCGATATTATTTATCAATCAATAGACATATTCATTCATTTATATAGACGAAAATAATTATTATTATAATTAAAAATTGATTAATATTTAATTGACTTTAAATTCTTTAACTCATTACTTTAATGTTTAAGGAGCATTGCCTACTTTAACAACACATCTATATTTTGGTCTTCCATTTAATAATTTATCATATGCAGTTTTGAAATTCTCAAATTCATATTCTTCACAAGTTGGATATATTTTATGTTTATTTGCAAATTCAATCATTTCATAGTTTTCCTATAAAAAAATTTAATATATTATATTACTTATCTTGATCCAACTAAAGATCCAACAAATGATATCTATCTACATACCAATGAATAGAATGGCAATTATAACTCAACTTTAGTAAGAGCAGGTATACCAACCATAATAAAATCTCCTCCATTTTTTAATAACTTTGTTTAATCTATAAATTCTTCAACAGTACTAGCATGGGCACAACTCAATATTATATCAAATCTTCCTAAAGCCTTAGCCATTTGTTCTGGGTTTTTAGAAACAATAAAATCAATAGCTCCATATGATTTTGCCTCTTATTCTTTATCTGGAGAAGTAGATATTGCAGAAGTTCTCATTCCCATAGCAGCTGAGAATTTGATAGCTAAATGCCCTAATCCCCCAATACCAATTATAGCAACCTCCTTGTTTGGATTGAAATATCTTTTTAAAGGAGCAAAAACTGTAATACCAGCACATAAAAGAGGTGGAGCTAAATGTTATGGAATAGTATTTGGAATTGGAAAAGCCCATTTAGCTGGGAATTATACATGTGTTGCAAATCCACCAAATTTAGGTAAAGGGATAAAATGTTCATCACCCTTTTGTCCACAAAGTTAATCATTTCCTTAAATACATAATTTACAGTTTCCACAACTATCTCTTATGAATCCTGCACCTACTAAATCACCAATTTAGAATTGTGTAACTTAGTCACCTTTCATTACGACATGACCTAATATCTCATGTCCTGGAACACTTGGATAATTGATTGGAAACCAATCTTAATTAACAAGATGACCTTTTGATATTGATTTCACATTTACAATCAGTGTAACATAGTCCAAAATAAGTTTATTGAATTCTCACTTCGTGTGGTTGGATTGGTGGAAATACAAAAGGATAAAGAAGAGCTTCTGTATTTGGTCCTTCAAATGACCATGCAAATGCTTCTGCTTGTTCTTTTGTGACTAATTTATAAAGAGAATGTTCCTTTGTGGCCATCGATTATTATTTATATTGGATCATTAATGAACTTGTCATCTTGAATATTTTAAATGTTCATGAATCACTTACAAAAAAGAAATTTATTTGTATATTACATTGTAAATTATAATTTTAATATAATCTGGATTTATATATCTAGATTGATTGATTTATACTTTATATATATTTCTATTGATAATTTATAGATCTATGGATTAATAGATTTATATATTATATTTAGATTTATAGATTATTTATAGATTTATAGAATATTTATAGATTAAATATATATACATTTATAAATTTAAACATCTTTAGATTTATGATTAAAGTTATTAACCTTTAGATTTATGGAATATTTGCATTAAAATATTCTATGTAATAATTTAACAAAAATTAACTTTTGTCTAATATAATGGAAACTGATTATTTCTATTTAATTTTTTATTTTTAAATATCAATAGAATTGAAGACTAACTAATAATTTTTTTCAAATGTAAATAGGGGAAGTCTATCCAATACCACCAGAGCTTAAAAATAAATATAAAGAGTTAGAATAATATCAATAAATGTAGTATGTGGGATCAAAATTTGGATTTGCTTTATTATTGTCCATGCTTGATTTCTTTCTAGCCAATGGTGATGAAAGTAGATAAAAAATCGAATTATTACTAACACCAAAGAATTTATATTAAGGATTCTCACTCATTATGGTTGAAAAAATATAAACTTGCATTATCGAGAACAAAAGCTTATCGTAATTCTATTAAAAGTTGCTTTTTATTGATCCTTAATCTTATAGATCAAATAAATTTCTTTTTGAATTTTGCTAAATATATGGAGAGCCTTTAAGAAAACAATTGGAACTAAGACTCACTACTTTAAGCAATATATTTAATTTGTCTTTTCTTATTTTTGGGAATCTGGAAAGCAGAATTGAAAAAAGTAAGCCTATGATTTTAATTTACATAAATTAAGAAAAGGAATATTGTTTAATTAAATAGTTTAATGAAGATATCAAACCAAAAATACATGAAACTCAAATCTCATCAAAATAATAATAGAAGAATTAAAATGTTTAAATGGATATAAAATTTGATTAAATATAAATCTTAGATCAAATTGTTAAAAAAATAAAAATTGAATAAGTCAAATCTAACGAAGAATAAATTAAAGAATCAAAATAATAACCATCTAAAAATATACTTTAATAATAGAATATTGGAATTTTAAATGAAAATCTAAAATTTTAAGATGATTAATTTATTTCTACATTTAGCAATGAAAAGATCATTTAGTCATTATAATAATTATGCAGTAGTTGTAGTAATCAACTCGTATATAAAAGTGAAAATTTTGTTAATAGTTGTAAACATTAATATTGTACAGATTGCTCAATAAATTTTGCAAGATAACCTTTTTTCGATAGAGTTAAATGTACTTGGTTTGGATGCAATGAGAAAATAAATTATGAAAATTTAATTTAATATTTGAAATAATAAAAAATTTAGTTTGAATGCTCTTAATGCCCAATCAAATTTTTTAAAGAAAATTTTGACTTAAACCAAATTTGTGCTCACAATTTATGTGTTAATTGTTTAAATGAGTTGAAATAGAAGTAAACTAATAATAAAACTTTCTAATATCCCTGTCCAGTTCATAAGTGCGAAGAAAATTTAAATCTATAAAGCTTTTTTAAATTTTAATCCTAAAATTAAAATGGGCAATTAGAAAATTAATCAAATACATAATTTTAATTATAAGAATAATTAGTCAACTTTAAGATAAATTAATAGGAAAATAATGATAATTATAAAATAAAGTTAGTGAAGATTAATGGATAACCATTTTAGAATTAAAATTAATGTTCTTTCTGTTATACAGATTTTGGTCTTTTAAATAGAAAATAGATATTAGATTGTTAAATTCATTAACTTGGACTTTGCTGTTTTTAAAATACTTAAAAATGCCCATTGTGCACCCAAAATCAATGATCTATTTTTCTTTATGAAATTAGATTTTATTCAAAATTTTCTAATTTTTTTTTTTTTTCAAAAGTTCAAATCAAATTATATTCTAGTTGATATCTACTAAAACATTAAAGGATTTATTTATTTGCTTTAAAATTTTTTAATTAAATTAAATGTTATTTGAAATGGCGTTAATCATAAGAACTAGTAATTTGATAATATACTCTAAATAAATTACTTCTTTTAAAAGAATTAATTGTTATTTAAGAATAATTCTTATCTTTTTTTTTAAGTTAAGGAAATAATTGTTAAACCATCCTCAAATATATACTAAAATATAATTTAATAGAGTTTATAACAAATAATGATTATTTATATATAGATATTTTTTCAAATATGAATATTTAAATTATATACATAGATTCAATTTTAAACTTGATATTAATTTTAAGGAGTTACCGTTTCATATTCAATTTATAACTACTCTTTAAATTTTGGTTAATGTTATATTTCATCTTTTACTTACTAATTATATATTAACAAATAAAAATCTTCATCTGATAATTTTAAATCATCATCATTAAGTCCTTCATTATCAATCATTTTTCCTAAAAATAAACTTTATGATTAGTTTAGTTATTACATTTAAATGGAATTTTATCGTATTTCAACTGAAACTTAAGGATTCTATAAAAATTAATGGCAATTTTACAATCTTCATAATTTTCATGTCTTCAATTGAATTGCTTTCTATATTTTCTATTTTCAATTCTTATGGAATAATATTATCTACTTTTATTATATTAGGTTTTTTATTTTTATCTGGTTCTTGTTCAAAATCCAATAATTTTAATCGTATTCCAACATCATGACATTCTCTAAATATTTATTTATCACATATCTATGTTAATATAAATTATAATCTAGAAATTTCATATAATTAATTTGTTAGACATAATTTAGCTTAAGCAATCTTCAAAAATTTATTATAAGTTTCTAAAAAAGATAAAGAAAGTTTTGAGTTTTTATATATAATTTATTATACTTTTCCAAAACAATTTTTTTTAAATGTAATATCTTTGATTTAAGGATAATACATTTCAATTAATGTTCTTAATACCTTTAATTCTAAATTCTTTTCATTTATCATGTATGCTATATGTGAAAAGAATAAAAAGAAAGAAATAATTGATCCAATATTGGCCAATACTTCAGATACTTTAGGATATTCTACAAACACTGTTTATTATAAGGTACCTAATTCAAATTCAAAAGCTATAAATATTTTATTTTAAAAAGAATGAGCAAAATAATCTAAATCCATTTATTAGATATAAGATTATAATGAACTTGGAAATTCAAGGATCTCTAAACTTTCTAATAAAAATCCTGTATCTAATGTAATATTAGTAGAACCAACAACAATTTAACTAAAATATGTAGTTTTATTATCAAATGAAGCATAATAATCTTGTTCAACAATATCAATTTTTTTCGTTGAAGTATTATATTAATTTACAAATGTTTATATTTATAATTAATTCTGTTTTTGATTAAAAAAGTGTTTAATTCTATCCTCATCAGCACAATGCCAACCTTCAGGTAAAAGATTTTAAACACACTCCTAGAACATCAAAAAATATTCTTTATTTGGATGATCATGAGATTCATGCTCATTATTAGATAATTCTATATTTTTGACTTCTATTAAATAAGTCCCATGTTTTTCTGATTTTTTAGTTGATAATAAAGGTTTAGGTTCTTAAAATTCATCATTTAAGATTTCATATAATAATGGCAATAAAATTACATTGTTGGGATCAAATGGATCAATTTAATTATGAATACTAGTATGTTTTCTCAAACAAAAAGAGGCTATAGTTACTTTATCAAATTAAAGTGAATAGGTTTCAATTTCTGTTTACAAACTAGTTATTTTTGGTAAAATTTTTCCAGATTTCCATAAAATTAATTCATAGATTAAGTAAGCTAAACTTAATCCATATAGCACTATAGATAGCAACCCTCCTAAACTTGTTTTGAATTAAACTTCTCCATGAGCATAACTTGGTTTGTAACTTGCACCAAATTGATCTATACGTCTTAAGAATTCAGCAATACTATTTAACATTAATAATTAACCTTAATAATCAATACTCTTATTCAGTTATTAATTTGATGACATAATCAAAGGATTTATATTAATGTGATTTATAAATTTACGTCATTTAAATGTAATTAGAAAATCATAACTTAATATTTCGATATTATTAATATAAACTATAATAATAATAATTTTTAATCATTTATAAATATTTATATCATATTCAAAAAAAACTGATTTAATCAAATATTCTTGATTTCTCGATATACAAAATATAAACTAAGTTCAAAACAAATATGTAACTTATCTTATTTTATGAAATTTATTCCTATAAATTAAAGATATTTAATATAAAAAATAGCAAATATCCTGCAAATTAAAACAAGTATTTGTTATTTGCAAACTACTTTTTCATAATTGGTAATCCCCAACATAATAGACATAATCCATTCAATCCAAAGTAGTAAAGTAGAGACATTGCAGAGATAGGAAATACAATCCAAGTTAATTATTGTCTAAACAAATAACATACAATAACAACAGCAATTATACCTTCCCACATCACTGCACTTATGTATATTTAAATAGATAATTCAAAAATTTCAGCAATTAAACAATGTAAATGATACCAAATGAAAAGTGAGACAGAAGATATAATAACTTCTAAAGTCCCTTTTTTATATATTTAATAATATAAGTGAGAAAATCCATAACAAAAATAAACTATTCCAACTACAAATCCGAATGGAATTGAATTTGCTAATATAACAAAGGTAAACCATTTAAATGGTAATGAGAATAAAAACAAGACTGAATTTAAAAATCCAATTGTTTATAAGAGTGACATTATCATATAACTAAAAATACCCATTTTTGTTGCATATGAAAAACTACAAAGTCTTAACATATGTCCGTTCCATCTTGATTTACAGTACCAACAAAATTAATGTTGACAAGCTTTACATGTCATGTGTTGACAACCTCCATTTCTTTAAATTTAAACTCCACATTGAGGACATTCATTGGTAAATAAAAAACAATATATGAAATCCTTGATATTAAAATACATATTTGAAAACCCATATTCTAACTGAACTACCTAAGATGATATTGATAAATCCAACCATTTAGTCTAACATGATGTACATTACAATAATTAATCACATCTTGAATTTAAATCAATAAATCCGAAATTCCTACATTTACCATTAGGACATGGTCTGATGTCTTAATTTTTTAAATACTCTTTTAGTAAGATTTCAGAGAGTTATTATTCATAAAGTGGATATTTACAAATATTTTAGAGTTCTTATCTTGAGTAGTTATAAGAGCAATGTTAGTTAGGACAATTGAAATTAATTATTTAGGTTTCATTGTTTTTAATTCCAAACCAATTTATTAAACAAGGAATACAATTTTAGCAATTGCAAGGAGTTATAAATGATTCATTTGTAAAACAAATTTGACAAACTTTCATTTAATTTGACAAATTAATAATATTTTAAATCCAAAATTTTATATAAATAGTCAAAGAATATCGTAATATTGAAGCACTTATGCTAAAGAATCCTTTTTAACTGGTTTAGAGATGTAATAATCAATACCATTTTAATAACATTATTCTTTTGTTTCATTATCAGTAAATGCAGTACAAGCAATTATAGAGATTGAAAATTTCTTTTTTATTTGTCTAGATGCCTCCCATCCATCTAAAAGAGGCATATTTATATCCATAAAAATAAGTTAATATTATTTATCACTACATTTACTACAATATGCTATATATATCAAAAATAAATACTTTTTTTTTAATTTGAAAATATCAAATCTACACATTCCTTTCCATTAAATACTTAATCTGAAGTTAAATTGAATTACTCTAATAAAATAGATAATGCCATAATATTAATTTATTCATCATCTGCAATTAAAATTGATGGACAACGACAATCTAAATTTTATTAATTAATTTTTATTTAGCATTATTATTATTATTATTATTATTATTATTATTATTATTATAATTATTATTAGCTAGATGCTTTAATATACTTAATCCTATTTTAATATTCATCAATTGAACATTCCTTATTAACTGAATCTTCAGAAACAGCATCAATTAATTTTTAAACTAATTTAAGTTTATTATGAGGTCTTCTTTCTCGTATTAAATTTTACTCACTATAAGGTACTTTATTATTCAGTAAATGTGAGAATTTAGATCTCATTTAAGTCATTCGTAGATGTTCAATCCCAGCATTTACTTAGGTTTATCTTGTGTCAATAATAACTTTTTTATTTAATAATACCAAAGGACTTCTTGGATTATTTGGTTTTATAGAAGGACTTACAATTTAATGGTAAACAGAAAACCAACAATGAAATCCTTTACCAGTTGATGTTTCAAATCTCAATCCTCCACCTTTTTCATATCTTTATTAAGATAATGCTTCTGCAATTTTATTACTAATAAATAAACCTAATCCAAAACCAGCTGTATTTTTTGAAATCTTTGAAATAGATGGTACTCCTGATTATAATAATAATGTTAAACGTTCCTATTCCTCTTTTGTCATTCCTATTCCTGTATCTTAAACATGAAATATTATTTCTTAATGTTTTTAATTTAAAATTTAATTTTCTGCTCTCATTCTTATGCTACCATGAAGTGTAAATTTTTATGCATTAGATAATAGATTAATTAATATTTATTTAATTCTATTCTTATCTGATAAGATTTCTGTAATTTATAGATTGTTTTCAAATTCAATTTCAAGATTCTTTTTTTTTATTTGATCCTTAAAAAGAGATATTACTTCTAAAATAAGTTCTTAAATATTAAAATGAGAAACCTCTAAACTAAATGTTTTACCTAAAATACTGTTATAATCCATCATATCCAATACCATACTATGCATAACTTTTCCATTTGCTAAAATTGGTTTAAAAAATTATTCTTAAATATATTTTGGTACTTGCTTATGACATTCTGCAACTTAAGCCAAAGCAAGAATATAATTTAATGATGTATTATATTCATGACTAAAGCTTTTAAATAATTATTGCATTGTTGTTTATGTAAATACTTTTTTAATCTACAATTTGTATTCACCTACATTTTATAATACAATTGTGAAAGATTTACAATCAAAAATAAAGATTTTTAAATAAAAGTCATTATATCCTTTTATACAAAAAACTTCAAATTCATATGGATATTTTTAAATTTATTTAATTTATTCCAAAAGTTCTTTCAAAGTATAACTATTTTAAAGTTCTTTTAAATCTTAAATTGAAGGGAATTTACAACTAAATTAATCTTATAATAATGATTTGGTTTATTTGTCTATTGAAATCACAGGACTTTCTAAAATATATTAAATTTTTATGTTTTTTAGTATATTATGAGCTCTCGAATTGCACATTATAAGATTGTATGTCCAATCAAATTTCATTATGCCTACCAAATTATTTTGCATTTCCTATAAACGATCTGAATCAGAATTTGTTCTAATGTGTATTGTATCCTCAAAGTCAGTATCATTTCGTTTTAATTATTTGTCTTGCTCTTTTGGGATAACTAAAGAGAATAAGATTAAAATAAATATTATAACAATTGGTTAACCATTATTTAAATTTTGAATGACTTTCCAAACACATAATGAAACAAAGTGTAATACTTTACAGATAAGGAAATAATATCTCTTAGTTTCATTTCTATTTAAACTATCATATATTTAAATAGGTAGTAGGAATAGAAAAAGTCTTTCTTAATTCGCTGCAGATATAATAACTATGATATGAAAAATACATACTTACAACATTCAACATTAAGAGTAATATTGGAACTAAAATACATAATGATTCTCTAGTTTTTTGTAAATATTGAACTGAAAGGAAACAAAGTATTATTACAAACTCAATACCATGGTAAAATAGCTGTCTCTATCATATTAATATTGTACTCAATCCCAAGCACCATTTCATAAATTGTGTTACAAAGCCACATGCTACTATATAAAAAAGCCAATATCATTTAATATAAAAATAATGTATTATCAAAAATATTAGAACACCAAGGATGATTAATACAATTGCACTGATTATTGAATATTTGAAGCATTTTTTGTCACTTTTTTAAAATGTGACTAGTTAATCAATTTCTTGATTATATTTTTCTAAATTCTCCTATTCAACAATCATATTTTAATATTCTATATATTCTTAATTTAATTATTATACAACTTATTCTTCAATTTCTTTTGTATCCTTATCATTAGAGTCTCTTTTCTCTTAAAATTATTCATTTTCTAATTCAAGAAGTGGCTATTTTAAAGATAATGATAATCCACTTTATTTCTTTGATGGAACATTTAATATTTAATCATCTTTTGGAAGACTATTTGGTATTGAATTTGATGAAAGTTTGAGTTTAGATTGACTTTTCTGTAATTCATTAATTTAATTTTCTTAAAGAAATTATGATTCTTGCATTGACAATCTATCAAATTGTTCAGAAATAGATTATTTGATAAGTTATTTAATAATGACTTTATGTTGTTCCTCATATTTGATAACTTTTTATTTTAATTGTTTAAGTTGGAATTTTTAATCTCTATTTGCAGTTTCTTCAAGAGTGGCAATGATCTATTTTATATCCTACAATTCTAATTTCATGTCTGACTTGATTTCTTTCAATTATTCTTATCTTTCAAGCTTACATAGTAATATACTTAATCATTTAATATTGCATAAGATTTTCATTCTATTTCTAAATTTACAATATACGGTTGTCTAACAATTTCTTTTGTGTTTCAAAGTTCGTTTCAAAGTCTTCAAAATCAAAACTCATTTAGATTCAGAATATTTAATATTAATAATATTTTAAAATATTATATAGATATTAATATCATTTAGCTGATTCTATATAGGGGCTATTGATTTCACTTGTTTAACTTAATGAAACTTGCTGTCTATTAAAAATTTGTATTAAAGAAGTCTTGTTGCTGTTAATGTTAAGATCACTCTGATATACAGTAAGATCAGGTGGAGTGCAAAATTAATTATAAGATTCTCTAGAAGTATTTGACATGATGCTTTAAGGTTCACGTTAGGCAATCTCAGAACTTGAATAACAATAATATGAATCTGAACTTTATTCACTAAATTCTTAAGGTTTTTTTAAAGCTTTTTCTTGAGCCTTTTCTGAAAATCTCTTAAATGCTTTGAAACACATCATCACATATAACAATTATACACAAGGATTCACTCCATTAATATAAATTCTATTTTTTCTAATTCTTTATAAAGTTTATTCTTCATGTTGTTTAATTTTAGATTTAGCTTCTTTAGTGGTTTTTTACATAAATTATTGTTGGAACATTTTCATAATGGTAAAGAAGACATAATGATATTCCAATTCTCCATCATCTGTAGCTGTCATTTCCATAGTCATGATCATAGTTGCAACTTTCTTTTTAGAATCTGCTGTTACTATATTAATGATTCTATCAATATTCTATTGAGTTTATTTAACCTCTTAATTAAATTTCTTCCAATCATCCAAAGCTAGTAAAATCTTTTCATTTAAATCATAGCCAAGAGGAGATTTAATTGTTAAAACCAGACTGATCAATTATTTAACTTTGATATAATTTCCACCATATTATTTAGACAATGGTGCCCATCCATCAATAAAATCTTATTCAAATTCTTTAAATCTTTGAAGTGGATTATCTGAATTGATATAAAATCTTTCATATTATTGAATGACAATTAAAATAAACAAATTTAACATAATTCTTTGTATTGCAATAGAAAATACAATAAAGAATAAGCAATGAATTGCTCCATGAGATTCCATAATATCATAAATAATCTAATATTAACCTTCTCCTGTAGTGCATCTAAAAAGTGTTAATAGTGCATGATGAAAATCCTTAAAATTATAAGTATCATCAATAATGCTACCATTAATGACATCAGAATATAAAAACACTGCTAGGATTGCAAATATACAATACATTAATAACATAAGCAAGATTAATTCAAATAATTCTGGTAATGCAAAAGTTGCAGTATCAATAAGTTTTTTTAAACCCTTCAATTATTTAACCAACCTAAATAACTTTGTTACTCTCAAAACTCTAAATACTCTAAATAATTATGGGCCAGATGATAAAAAAGAATTCTAATTACTTGCCCCACTTAATTTTAAAGTAATATCTAAGGCAGATGTCAATACTACAAAGAAATCAAATTAATTCCAACTATTTCTAAAGTATCCTCTTGGACCATAAGCAATTATTTTTAATATACATTCCCCAATAAAAATAAAATTGAAACACAGATTTAATGTTTCTAAAATAGAATTGTAATTGCTTGAAGATTCTATAATTAAATTAATTATTACCGTCATAATTCAAAGATAATACTACAATATTAAAAATTATAAGAAATATTATTGTTCCATCAAAATATTTATTAGATATTAATTTAAAAATTGCAGCTCTATATAAATTCATGGGAGGATAGTATAATGCAAAATTTGGACTTGAAGCAACAATCATTTTCTAAATATTTATCCAATCCTCTTAATCAGCAGATATCACTTTATCTTTCATTGAAAAATCAGCAAATTTATAATTAACAAAAATTACTCCTGTAAATAAATCCATCAATAATATAGATCCTGTATATATAAAAGTTAAAAAATATATTATTATCCATAATTAAGCATTTTTTTCTGGACCATCATCACTTGCATCTATATACCAATATATTTGTTTATCCCAATCATCTCTTCGACTTAGAATAAATAATGTAAGAATTGCATTGAATATATTATCAAAATTCATATTCCTATTACTCCATTATCCTCCTAATTCCTTACATTATTATTAATCATAATAATTAAACTCATTTCTTGTGATCATATTGCAATAATGCATTTTATCTTAAAGCAAACTAACGCCTAGAATACCAAACATTATAAAAACTAATAGTATTATAATAGTCACATTTAATACACCAGAAAGTGAATTTAATAAAGTGGTAACTAATAATTTGAGTTATTTATTTTCTTTGACTAATCTTAAAGGCCTTAATGTTCTCAATAATCTAAGTACTTTTATATAACTAAGATTTTAATCAGTGTAAGGTATATCAATAATCGAAAAAATTATAATGATAAAATCTAATACATTCCAACTATTTCTCATATAAGTATTTGGTTCAGTAATAAATCCTTATGCTATTACTTTTAATAGAAATTCAAACAGAAAAACACATGTTATAAATATATCAAATTCTATAAGGAAGTTATTAAAATATGTATCCAAAATCAATTTTATAGTACTAAAACATATGACAAAAAAGATAACTAAAGAAAACACTTTGTGATTTATAATTCTTTAACAGATGATTCTAATAAAATTTTACTCATCAAATAAAAATAAGGAAATCTTACACTATCTATAATCAAAGTTATAGGTAAAAGCATTTTTCATTGTAGACATTCTCATATCATTTGAACTTGAATTACTGAATTGTGTCTTATCCTTATGAAAAATAGGATTTTCTGGACTTTCTTCATTCACTTTATCTACAAGTGTCACAGAAATTTAAGGTCTTTAGTATTGAATTGATTCTTATTAATACTCATCTTCAAAATAATTCAAAAGACTTGCCATCAATAAATTAAGTAAAACATAATTGCCAATAAATATCCACATTAATAAATAGATAATTACTAATGAATTATTTACATCTGAAAACAACAATTCATAGAGCACATCTATCCATTATAAAATCAAAATTTAGCTTACAACTAATAAACTATCTAAAAAAGTATCAAAACTAGTTCTGTATTGAGTATTTGTTAAAGCTCCTTAAAAAAATGACATACCTAAAAGTGTAAATATATAAATGAATAGGAATAATAGAAATGTTATATACATAAGTGAATAGAATGCATTGCTCAAAATTTAGATCAAAAAGTTTGTATATGCCAAACTCCTAAAATAATAATTATTATTAATATTACCTCACTAATTTTGTTACTCTAAATATTCTAAAAGCCCTAAAAAGTCTTAGTGATCTAAATGCTTATAGGTGTGATCCACTTCCAGATGATAAAAAAAATAAGTCAATCAAACTAATTAGAACTATACACAAATCAAAAATATTCATAATATCTTTGCTGTATTTAGAAATACCATATGTAAAAATCTTTAACAATTATTCAATAGTAAATAAAATTGTAAAAAATAAATTAAATTTTTCTAATTCTGTTTTATTGCTAACTAAACCATCTAAACCCAATACAATTGTGTTGGCTAAGACGAAAAGATTAATTATATACTCAAAAGTATTTGTGCTTAAAATTATATTCATCTTAAATCTAACTAATTTGTATAATCCTACAATTCCTTTCATATAAATGTAAAAACTGTCTTAAGTATAATTTAAGGCTTTAATGATCTTATCATATTTATTCATCATAAAAGGATCGAAATCAACTGCTTTGACTTCTAAAATTGAAGCTTCAGTTATTAATTCTCCATTCATATTTTCGATATCTTATATTTTTTATAAATGAAATTGCTAATAAAATTTATGATTATGAAAGTATTCTTCCTTTGGTATTTTTATTTCAGGTTCCTTTATTTCTACTTCCTCTATTCTATTTCTTAACTATTAATCGGTTAAATCAAGATTAAATAATTCTTTATATTGTTTATATGTGTATTTTTAAATCTAATTGTAAGGTTTATAATAAGATTTTCCAATCATTTTTTGTCGATTGCTTCCATTAAATGAAGAAGGTGATCTAGCAATAAAATCAGCTTATCTGGCAAATTTTGATTATTATTTTATAGTGTCAGGAAAAATCTTCATATTTTTATTTGAAGATTCCTTTGAAGAATCATAAGTAGGCTTTCTATCCTTTTTTTCAAATTTCTTCTCAATAACTTGAATTTATAATTAATATCTTAATAAAACCTTCATATTTCTATGCTTTTCCTCTCTTTTTTATAGTTCAAGTAATTGAGTTTCTCTCTCTAAAGAAGGTAATACATCTTTAATTGATTCACAAATATGTTCTTTATATAAGACTCTTGGATATAGTTTAGTTTCAAAGAGTCTAATCTTTAATTTCTCATCTTCTTTGCTAATCTCTTAAGACTAAGGTTTAAACTATTCACCTCTTTTTTATTTTTTTGATGTAGGTTACGTTTATTTTTTTTGTTCTTTCTCTGCTTTTTCTTCTTTATCTTCCTAATATTGAATATCTAACTCTTAAAATCTCTCCTTTACTTTTTCATCAGTCACAGACTCAATTTCAGTTAATGAAACACTTAGGGAATTATCTTATTACTTTACTTCTTACTCAATTCGACTTTTTCTTAAAGCTTATCTGACTGTTGTTATCAAAGCAGGAGCTCTCTAAAATGAAGAAGCAATTAATTTCACATCTTTAATTAACTTTGATTGAGCTAATGTCTATCTTGGATTTCTTTCCTTTTCTCCTTAGAGCATTTATTCTAATTCTTAAAGTGGATTACTCTCTAAAATACTAGTTCCTCTTTTGAGAATATTTCTTTAAGTGGCTCTTCTATACAAATGATTATTAGAATCATTATTTTTTTATTTTTAATCATCATTCTTAACTCCATAAATTCCATGTAGTGTTATCATAGTATTATGATGCTTAAGTTTTTTAGGTTTACTATATTCATTAATTAATAGTGGTTTAAATGGCAATTTAATTTGAGCAATTTAATTAACAGAATTCTCTATAAAAGTAGGTTGTTTAGGTTAAATCGATCTAATGATTCTTGATCTTCTCATACTTTATTGCCTATGAAAATTTTATTTTCTTTTATTATCATTTATTGGTTTGTAAATATTTAATCTTTTTAACTATCTATAATTGTAAGACACTTCTTCTATTTATGTATCCTCAATTTAATTGGATTTCTTAAAATTTACTTTCAAAATTGCTAAAGTTAAATGAATTAAAAAATATGCACTAATTATTATGAATGTGATGAAGTAAAGAACTGCTACTTCTGAAAAAGTGTATATAATGGATGCCATAATATCAACCCATCCCTCAAGGTTACTTATTATAAACACTTGCAATAAGGCTAGACCAAAATTATCAAAACTTAAATATCCTTTCCTTGGATTGTCTAACATTTTACCACATATAAAATTATCGAGACATTTATGACAATATTGCTGATCTATTTCCAATGATTATATTCCATTTTCATCAAAACATCTATATTTAGTATATCCTTGAAATAGTTATAATCCAATTATTGCAAATATTATTTGTGTGAATCCCAAAACTAACAAGGCATTTGCCAATTCATTAAAAGATAAAAAGAAAGTTGTCATAATTTGCTTTAAAGATTTTATAGATGAAATTGCTTTTATAGGTCTTAAGACTCTTAGTGATCTCAAAGCACTTAATTATACAGAAGTGCTCATGAAATATTACAAAGAACCAGCCACTATAACTAATGCATCAATTACATTCCAAATGTCTCTCAAATATGCACCTGAATTCAAAATTAGCCCTTTTCCAATTATTTTTATTAATGCTTCTATGTAAAACAAAATTAAAAATGTTAATTCGATAGTTTCTTGGTCATCATACTAAATTGAAAGTAAAATTGAATTTATTATGATTACTACTAGAGTCAAAGCTTCAAATAATTAATGTTTTGAAATCTTCAAAGCTGTGTATGAAATCGTTTTGATCAAAATAAGTATTTATTTTCTAATACGCAACATCGGATATCTTAGCTACTTTAATAGCTGACTATATACTTATCTCTATAATAGTAAGCTTTCTATAAAGAATTCATATGGATTAAATCAATATTAATCTGCTCTGGTACATTTGCTGCCTTATATTCCTATTCATATTCTTCATCTAATTCCTCCATGAAATCGTTTTGTAATTGTTAAACTCCATTCGTTATATACTCTGACCTGTTAAATTCTTCATTCTCTTTCCATAATTCAACCATTTGATTTAGGACAACTTTGTTCTATTTTTTCCGATCCGTAAAAGAACCCTTAATTAGCATCACTAAATACATCATCACTCAAAAAGCCATCTTTATCAGCCATTAAATGATAAGTTATATAATTTATAAATTCATTATATTAAAATCCTCCTAAAAGTAATTTATTCATTGATAAAACAACTACAACTTATTTAAATTAGAACAACTTTATTCTAATCAGATTAATCTTTTTAAAATGAGTTCCTAAAATTTTTTGTTATTATATTTATGTATATATTTAAAATAGCATATTGCTTTAAATATAAAATAATTATAATAGCATTTAATACAAAACATTAGCTACTAGAATTTTTCTAAAGAAAGAGAATTTTAATTTAAATCTGAAAAATTTAAGCTTAAACAAATTTAAGTAATAATTTATTTTATTATTTCCTCATTCCTTATACCTTTAGTTATTTTATTATTAATATTATGCTTAGCAAATAATAAAAATTTGAAATAATCTATAATGACTTAGCATTAAAAATATATTGTAAATTAATATTAATTTTCAAAACTTAATAGAATCTAAGTGATATTTTTCTTTTGTAGAAACCTCAAGACAATTACATTGTCAATATATTATAGAAATTTTATAAGTCAAAACCGAGATATTCTAAATCTTTATACAATATAATTGTCTGTAAGGTTTAATTATTTTTTATAACTTAATAAAAAAAGATATGATTAATGAATGAAACTATCAGAATATAAGAATAATAGATTTTTTCTTCAAATTTATGATCAAGATTAGCTCAATTTTAAAACTAAGAATGAGAGGCTTGATTTTTATTAACTGTATTTTAATAAATAAGGAAATAAAATATATTTTTTTAAAATAATTATTAAAAATTCTTAAGAATTCCTTTTAGATTTTAAAAAATATTAAGAAAATGAATGAATCTAATAATCAATTATGAAGCAGAAAATTAATAAAATAGAAATCTAGAATTTTTAAAACATACTTTAATTAATAATTGAAATCTAAAATCATATAATAAACAAAAAAAGTGTAAAAATTTGATATTAATTATTATATGTTATATATTAAGATCACCATGTTATTACTTTATATTATAAGTTGTTTTGATGCCTCAAATCTTACATCGATATGCTTAAACATAGGACTAATTTGCACCTAATTTGGAAGTATAAAATTTGAGACAAATCAAATTTTTCAAATGTATGAAACCACGATTTTATCCATTTAAATTAGTCTGATAACAGTATATAATAAATAATTAATACCTTACAATATTGTTTATTTGCTACTGATGAATGACAGTAAGAGAGTCAACTAATAAGTTTTTAGAAATTTGTCACTTTTAGGTAAAGAGTTTACTGTAACAAAGGAATTAGTATATTCGTCATAATTAATGTATCAAACACTTTGGTTGACTATTTTCGCAATGCAATTTTTGCTTTAGGAGTGTTATTAATAATTATACATAAATAATTAAAAAACAAAAAGGAAATTTTTAATCATTATTTTTCAAATACAACCAAATCTTAAAGTCCGAGATAATTAGAAAATTAAGGTATTATGCTTTTTGATAAAAAAAATTTGAATTGCATATATATGAATGAATACATAAAGAAAAAACTGAATAACAAATCTTTAAAAGTTAAAAAAGTTGACTTTTCAAGCAAATAATAGTTGGACTTTAAGTTTAAAAATATTGAATTAATAGAATTACTAAATCAATTTAAATTAAAAAAAATAGGTTAAATGCAGATATTAGATAGTGACTTATTGCCAGATCATATTATTTAGATTAATTAAGAAGAGAATAACGATTTGATTAATATCACTTTTTATGATAGTAAAGAGAGAGATGATTATCTTAAAAGACAATATTTATATTAAATAATGAAATAATTATTTACAACAATCTCTCATGAATTTGGAACACTTTTAAATTTCATTTTGGCTATTGCATAAGTTGCTATTGACAAATATCCATCTCAATAGTACTATTATTCAATAAAAAACACTTGTGAAATTATGCATAACTTTATATTAGATATGGTAGATTATAATGATATTCTTGGTAGATAATTCAAATTATAATTGGAATAATTAGATATTTCTAATATTCTTGAATCTGTAACAACTTTGTTTCAAGAATAATGCAAATAAAAGTAATTATAATTAGAATATTTAAATCACATACCAGATGGTTAATAAATTATATCAGATTAAAGGAGAATCAAATAAATCTTAATTCATTTAATATCTAATGCTTAAAAGTTTACAATAAATGGTTCCATTATAATTTCTGCAATTTAATTAAACGAAGAAAATATAGAGTTCTCTGTTACTGATACAGGAATAGGAATGAGTAAAGATGATGAAATTAATTTAAGGGAAATGTTAAAGTAAGATTTTAAGAGTGAACAACATATATCTGCAAATACAGCAGGATTTGGGTTAGGATGTTATCTAGCCAATAAATTATGTTTACATTTATCAAATTAGCAAAATGGTTTATAGTTTAAAATTAATGAAGTAGGAACAACTTTTTGGTTTATGGTATCTAATAATATTTTGCCAACTTCTAGTTTGAATGGATTAGGAATCTAAAAAATAAATAAGTATTCTTATATTGATTTAAAATAAACTTAAATTGAGAAAAATGTTGGAAGAAGGCTAAGTAGGATGGGTAGTAGAGTATCCTAAAATTCAATGCCAAAAGTATTATCTTATAGAGGATTAATTGATCAAATCAAAGAAAATACTGAAAGTCTAATAAATGAGGAAGTCAATTCAATTGAAAGGAAAGCAAGGACCACAACATTGAATAGAAACATTAAGCAGACTTTGAAATTTTTAATTGTAGACGATGAAATGATCAACATTATAGGATTATCACTAATATTAAAGAGGATGGATATTGAAACTGATTATGTTTTTAATGGAATTGAATGTTTGAAAAAAGTGCAAGAAAATAGATATGCTTATTAAGGGATTTTTATGGATATTAATATGCCATTAATGAATGGATATGAAACAAGTAGAAATTTAATATCTCTTTATGGTAATCAAATTAAAATAATTGCCTGTACTGCTTATACAGATAGTGATACTAAATAACGGTGTTATGATATAGGAATGAGCTATTTCTTGAATAAACCAGTGAATGTAATAGAATTATAAAAAATACTTATTTAATTTTAACAATGATACTTTTTAATGATTATTCTTATTTCCTTAACTTTTTAATAATAGTGATTAAATAATATTATATTTGAGTAAAATCAAATCTGATAATGAGATAATTTTTATTCTTCTAAAAATGTCTCGTACTCTTATACTCTTTTTGAAATGAGTATTAGGTTTTGTGAATTTGTCATTATTGAGTTAATCTTTATAATATAGAAACAAGAAGCAAAATAAAATTATGATTTTAATGTGATTATATTTAATTATGATTAATCATAAAACTTCAGCAAAATAAGGGCTGTATATTCTTTAGATTGTTTACGCGATCATAGAATGCACAAGAGCCTCATTATCTAGTTTGATATTGCTAATCATATGTATATGCATTAGTTTATTTTAAATTATACTATTGGCAAGAAATAGAAACTTAAATATCTATGCACAATTAGCAATCAATGTCATGAGCGTAGTTGCTAAATAAAATGATCAATTTTTGTTGCTCCAAACCTTTGTGGGATTTGCTCTATTTTTGTAAAATGAACAAAAGAGATGGGTTGTAAATATCCTCACTTGTTTAAGTAGTAATAGGAATTATCTTAGTCCAAGTGACCATAATTTGTTTCTATTCATAAAATAATGAAGTCCAATCATACTTTATGAGTATTTTCACTATTATATTTGTAACATACTTTTATTGGGCTATCAAATTGCCAGGATTAAAAAAACAATCCAGTGGAACAGAATTTTTGCCTTTGCATCAACAAAATTCAATTAAATCTATGATTTAAGTAGATGAAATACCTTAAAAATCCTAAAATACAATTATACTTGAATAATAAACTTTAGATATTAAATAGATTTCAAATTCTCTAAAAGACTTATTATTTTATGATGAAATATCAGAATTCAATTTATTGGATTCAATTAAAATTATCAAAGTTGATAAATAAACTCAACGTAATCTTAACTAGAAAATCAAAGGAATTACTTTACGTTAATTAATTGATAAATGCTAAATTCTTCAAAAAACTGATGACATTTTAATTATAAAAACAAATGTTCTTAAATTAGAATATCATTAGATTAAGTTAATTTTTTCAAAAGAAGTTATTACACTACAATTTGAAGATATAAAAGAATTCGCTAAATATATTAAAAAAAATTCATGTTTTGCCTTAATGAATAAACTCTTTTAATCATTCAGTCATGAGTTCGGGACTTTGTTGAATTAAATTGCCCTGATTTCTTAGAATGGCAAAATCTAAAATCCTAGTATGAAGGAACAATTTGATTTCATATACAATTGTTGTGTTATTATGAATAATATGGTCAAAGACTTAAAGGATTTTCATTAACTAAGAAGCAAAACATTTTAATTGGAAATTGTTGATGTTAACATTGATGGATTATTTAATGAATTACATCATCTATTTAAATAATAAGCAGTTGCAAAACAAATATCTATGTTCATGATTAATAAAGTGAAAATAGGGTTTAAGTAAGATGAACAGAGAATAAAGTAGATCTTGCAGAATTTGATACAAAATGCAATCAAATATACTAATTAAGATGGTGCAGTATATGTGACAGCTGAAAAATATGATGACAAAAGAATTAAGTTTTCAGTTCTAGATTCAGGTATAGGAATCAGTGAGAGTGTTACATAAAATATAAAACAAATGCTTAGTAATGATTTGATTTTAACTTCCAAGATTTCAGAAGGAACTGCTGGTTTAGGTTTAGGATTATTAAACTCAAATTACCTAACGAAATAATTGTCATCCTTCAAATAGGCCAATAAAGAATTCTTATAGTTTAGTTCTAAATAAGGAGAAGGTACTAATTTTTGGTTTTATGTGTGGAAATACAATTTGTTAGAGTCTCCATCTAATCAATTTGAA